ACTGTCTGTCTGTCGCTCGTACGTGATGGTGACACAGATACGCGTAGCAGACGATAAAATTAAAAATATAAATTTTCATTTAAATTTTTTAATACTGTGTTTTTGTTCTCCATTATGCATCTTACCGATACCGATTGTTATACCCATTGTTAGTAGATACCGATTGTTAGTAGGTGGTTCGCGCTGGAGATTGCGGATTGCACAATGACTCCCTTGGGCTATGATAACGACGGCAATAACAAGTAACAACAACACTCAACAATCAAGGCTGATAATCTGGCAGATTGTTTACACAATTATATTATTAATTTTTCTCTTGCTCGGCGATCATTTCCATGCTTGCGTACGAAATTAAATGCGAACTGCGAAGCCATTGCGGTGAAGACCGTGCAGCTGACTGCAGCGTATGTAAAACAGGGTGCGCAAATAGTGTGCTTACATACTGCATATAGATATACGTACTCGTACATACAGTACTTAACGACATACTACTTTAATATCGTAATAATATTATAAGTAGTTAGTACTTACTGTATATTAGGTATATTATAATCATACTAAACTTTATTACAAACAGACAAGTAATTATTTTATAAGTTAAATTTGAACTAAAATAAATTTGAACTAAAAAATTTTTCTATCTGTTTGTACTGCTTCTCAGCTCTCCACTGTATCACTGATATGTTGTACCTCTTTTGTTTGCGTTTTTGTTTCTAAAAAGTTGTTGGTTTGTATTGTTTTGTTTGCGTTTTTGTTTCTCTTGTTTCTCCATATTTATAGTTAGGTGACCACTCCGTACACACCCTTTTACTCCGTACACAACCATTCCGCGATCGGCACTATCTTTATCTGCGTGCACTACCTTTTATTTTTTTTATTTTTTCACAGCAAAGTTATTTCTAGGACTGCCTTTTTTCCTCATCAGTAGTTATTGCTAACAGTTATGAAAGACGTTAAAAGGACATAATATTATTGCAGTAAACGTTTAATAGCGTACTGATAGTAGGGCTGCATATGAATAATTCTATTCCAATATACCGTATAATATAGGTTTAATCCATGGAGACAGAAATTGATTTCTGCTTTTCTGTAGTAATATAGATTACAAGGTATCTATATATAAAAGTGTGGTAATGTACCGAGTGAATGGTAGTGTCAAAGGTTTTGCACGGAATGAAAGGTAGTGCAAAAGGTTGTGTGCGGAGTAAAAGGGTGTGTACGGAGTGGTCACCTTATAATTATATAAAGGGGAAAATTGCCTTTTTTTACTCATATCGGAGAAATACATACGTGCGGTAAAGTTGTTTTGACCATTCGGAGCGCAGATAAACACAATTACAAACCATGGCGATGTTCTTCGTTTTCCTCGTATTTAAGTTTGTTTCAGCTTCGGCTACTTTAGTTCTAACCGTGTGGAAAACATTCGATGGTTTCCATGTAAACTGTAAAAATTTGGAAACACTTAAGAACAGTTAACCGGCGTACGTATGATCATTTTGACTTACGCATGCTGCCATGCAGTATTTACTACTTAGAGAGATTTCACGTTTTTTGGTACCGTGGGATTCAGTTCACACGTACAGTTCCACGTCACTGTCTATTATAGATACAAAAATTTAGTGCTATAAAGAATCGGCCAAATACTACTCAGTAGCACAAGTACGGTATGCTGCAACTGAGTGCAACCTCCGAAAAGCCCAAACCGCGCAACATGCAATCGCGCTAATTCCTTCCGTCCAGATTATTCTATGATCGTTGTCACCAATATTGCCTTAATACCTGCAAAATCACACACTGAGTACAATACAGTAATAACAGAAGGATGGAAAACAGCTATTTTTTTTGCGCTCCGTGCATGTTGACTTGTTAGCTGCAACTCGATTTGCATCATTACTGTTCTAATTTAATAATACTTTGGGAAATTAGGGATGTGGTCATTTTTTATAAAATTTCAAACCGTAGCGATTATTTATCTCGGATTGTAAAAAATTTATTGTTCAGTTCATAGTCAACATACTGCTAGCATCCAGACACCGGAATCGTAGCATTAATGGTCGCTTGGAGCACCACGGATCCGTGGACGGGTCTCGTGTGGAAACGGTGCAGTTGGACTCTTGCCAGCAATCTCGTCCGATTCCGAGCTGCTGCAAGTTGTTAGTCCACAGATCCGGACAGCCCGGACTGCCGTACGTCGTGAAATTGGAACTGTACCGTCCGTCAATCATCCCCACCAAGTAACGGTGGCGCTGGATAGGGTGATCGTATGGCTCGTCACGTGGGCAACGTACTAGGAACTGTTTTCCCACAGGAATCACCACCTCGGTCCAATAGTAATCTTCGACAAACCGTTTATTCCCAGGAAACTTCTTATCTATATGGCGAGGTACAAAATGGTGCTTGATCTGTATGCTCGCATCAGTGTTGTTCTCGGCTACCACCTGTTCAACAGATGAATCTTTAATATTTACAATGCTGAACATGTCACTTTCGGTTTCCGGATTTCGCTTCTGTCTTTTCGCCACGAACATTGCGCTTCCCTAATGTACACTAGGACCAGCCCAAAAATCCGTTTAAATTATGTATAAATGATTACTTTCATATTTTATCGCTGTATCGGTTTGTATATACTGTACATAAACGAAAATGACTCAAATTTGTAGTTTTAACACTTTGTGCAATCAGTAAGCAATGTTATTATATGGCGGACGTAAAAGAAGCGGTATTTACCCACATCAGGCAACGAAATTTATGGACACTTTCACGTTCTGCGCATTCCAGACAATTTCGTACGTAATATGGATTTGCGTACCGGACACCAGATACACTATATTCCTGCGCTATTCCACATTAGAGACTTCATAAGTTTTTTTTAATCCCATGTACAAGCAGGTACAAATACAATAACAACAGCTATCACGAAATCAGTTTTTGAAACGTTTCTATCATGTGTAACAATGCAGAGACTGCCGTGACTCTGGTGTCCGTGGTATGCAAATCCTTATTACGGAAATGTCAGAATTGCAAAAAACCTCGGAGTACGGGTGGGTATGTCCTAACACGTGTTAACACATACCCACGTACGTGCACTTGACTTTCAAAATAATGCTGCACCATTTAAAAGTCCAGTGCACGTATGTACGAGAGCAGTTTCGCATCCGAAACCCCTAATCACACAAACGTTCCTCAATTGACTCTCTCTTACCGCTGCAAAAAGCAAAAAGAACAAGCCCGGCACCAACACGTCGGACATGTCTCCAGATTCAGGGAATACGTTGGAAATTTTAAAAGCGGATATGGCACTGATACAAAAACAACGCGACTCCCTACTGACGGCTTAGATTCGTTCGATTTAACGAAACAAAGAGAAAATAAGGCTGCAAACCGCCTGCATATCATGAAGTCGGTGAAAATATAAGCACCGTCATTCTCTAATTATTAGACAGATGTTAGTGTTCTCCGTTTTTCCGTTTCACGGTAATTTATTGCTTAATGAGGCCGCAGGCAATGTACTTACTGAAACTTTCGTTGTTGCAATTAAACGTATCCGGTTTTTCTCCCTGATTAAAAGGTTGTACCGCTCGTTCATAATTTATCGTAGCAATTTTATTGTACTCTGTATAACAGTCTCGATACTCATTCAGCGACTCGAGATAGAACTGTTCGTTAAGTATCAGCCAGCGAGTAATAGGCGTCGTTATACCGAACATCTACATTATTTATGGAAGTACTAGTAATTAAACTGAGGATGCTAATTAACTAGATTAATCTACCAACCAGGCTGCTGTCACTGGCATCTCTACATTGTAAGTTGTACCCAGTTTATATTTTAAAATATAAATCTCTGATAGCCAACAGATAAATTTATCTGCTTAGGCTTTTTGTGAGGTTGTAAAATAATAATTATTAATTAAACTACTGTACAGAGTAGATATTGCCAAAGGAGTTAAAGCGTGTAACTTTTTGAAATTGTTGACGCGATACTCTGAAATTTGCTTTTAATAAGAGATTAAAAGGCATTCGTCTGGTTAAGAGACTCATTGTATCCTGATTCCTGACTTGACAAATCGCTGTTGATAAAGAAAAAAACAAGAGAACCACTGATTATTTCTAACAACGCTAAAGATTGCGTTTGATCGGGCTTCTACCAATAGATCGCAACACTTCCTTGACGACAGTTCCGGTGGAGTGCCGTGTACAAGTACCGCTTCTGCGCCACTGCAGTAAATGTTACTCGTAAAATGCTGCTGAATAGGTTTAACCTGAAATCTGTTTACCGGAATTGGTATTTATTGGCATTTCACCACCTGCTCATTCACCGGCAAGAGCCCATCCATGCGTCAATAAGCCCTTCGGCCGGCCGGGGCCACTCCACTTGCTACAATCACCACTTTCTTAAAAACAGCTAACTCTTTTTACCGACGTTGTTGTGCAGGCGTAATCGGGCGAAAAGTCACGCACGGCCGCCGGGAGCCTGCCGTATTATTCGGCGTACAGTGGATGGAGTGCAGCGATAATTGCTGATTCGACTTGGTACACAATCCACTGACCTTTAACGAGCTGATGCCAGCTGCTCTTAACCTTGACAACCCGGCTTCATTATAACCTCATTCGCGCGGATATAACCTGGTTCGTGTACTGTATGATTTATCAAATCACTGCACGCCAACGGGAAATTAACCGGGCCGATCAACACAAACGAGCAATACGCTGCTTTATGCTAAAATCTGCTGCATGTTTATGGGCCCATGCCGATTGTTTACACACCCCGTCGTAAAAAATCCCCCATCGCTGCAAGGTGTGGCTGCAGCGGGTAAAAATAGGCACTGATAAAAATCCCGTCGATATCGAATACATTATTGATTTTGCCGTTAGCCGGTTAAATATGCGATCTCCCGTGTTCACAGCTCCGTCAACTCACGCACATACCGCACTGCCATCGTTTAATGATCACTAAAGAAAGCCGTTTTATCTCTAGTAAAAAATCTCGATGTTAATGGGCAAAAACACGCATAAAACTCTCATTTTCTCCCTGTGAGCGCCCATGCATTAATACACGGCATCCCCGGGGCGGCCGGTCTTAAAAGCACGGACGACTATCCAGAGAATGAAATGTTATAGCAGCTTCGAAACGGAAGATCAGTGCTCTAATACCGGTTATTATTTTTATAAAGCTCTTAAAACTCTAAAAAACTAAAACATAGAATCTGTCGCAGAAATGAAGAAAAAGCCCGCGGGAGCCGTGTGCACAAGAAGAGGGCGCGCGGCGGCGCACGGGGCAATGATGAATGGATAAATTACGCTGGTCGACGTCAGCTGCTTGCTTCGGCGTATATTGAACAGATGGTATTGATTTCTTGTTTTTGGCTGCGGCCCGCTGGAATGGATTGGTAGCTGGTGTGTGTGTTAGAAGGAAATGCGGCGATGGAGAAGTGTTATATGGTGGTACATCTGTGTATGCAGCCGGGGCATCTTGTTCCTGTAATACAATTTAGCAAGTCAATTACAATTTTGTCAGAGGGTCATACAAGACGGCTTAATTACTTTAGCTCAACGAAGAACGATGGGAGAACGCTAGCAGCTTTTTTTGAGGTGTGGCACGGGAGAAATACCACGAAACAGCGGTGGCTAGATTACGGCTTGGAGATGTTATTCACTTGTGTAACTTGATGACAGAAGATTATTGTTAATGGAAACCAAAAACATTAGCCTTTTTTTGTCGGTGAAATTCGAGGTTAGTTTCGTATCATCCCCTCTTAAAATCAGCTTCTTGCAAACATGCGTTAGCAGTACAGAAAAAATTAACGCATTGTGTAAATAAATCAATAAAATTAGAATTAGCTTTTACACGTAAAAAAATTGGTACGCCTCGGCAATTTTTGGTATTATTTCCCTGCCCATTGATTTATTATCTTTCTAAATGAATTTATAGCATGTATTTCGTTGCAGTATTGAAACTTAACGCATTATGAAAATAAACCGAAACAAATAGTGCAACCAAATAAAACAGAAATAAGAAAATAAGAATAACGAGTAAACGAGAAAATAACAATAAGCTTTAACACGCAAGACATGTGACAGCAGTAATATAAAACAATCAAAAATTTTAATTTTGGGTGTCTGTGTTAAATTCAGCTCGCTAATTATATGCAGGTTACGATGACGGGGGAATTAACGGTATCTTTTACTGAGTAATGCCTACAATCAAGCCTGTTGACGAAAGGCAAGAAAAGCTGCGTGCCTGTGACGGAATCCGTGTAAATAATTAAAATTCTCTCCCACTTTAATGACAACCTACGTGTTCTACAATTACAATGTCGTATGCAGAATTTATGTATGCCATATTGAAAATAACAAGATTTGGTAAGTAAGTAAAAGCGGATGAAAGTTTTAATTATTTTACACTCTGTGTCCGGTAATCCCGGATTCGGTTCTTTATATTTTCTGGGAAGGGATTTTAATCATGCATGCGGTTTCATTACTGCCGGCTGGTGGTGACATTTCCCCAATTCACCGTAATGTAGATCACGGTACAATGTACAAAACAGAAATAGACGTTTATATGCAATCCTTACCATATGGTGGCTTATTCCTCATTAGCGTCATCCTTCTTGGGCGCCCCGCCGGCGGCCGATGCACCGCCTCCACCGGCAAACATGGGATTGACAACCTCAATCTCGCCGGGCGGCGCTAATCCCGGGCACTCGTACACCGTATAATCCCCATAATCCTCCGCCTCGTCATCATCATCCTCGGTGTCATAGTCCGAATGGTCACCGCTGCGCGGCTCGGACGTACTACCGCCGCTGCTGGGATTGTTGTCGGCCGACGATAGGATCTGTTTCTTTTGGTGTTGGTAGTGGTAGGTCTCGGCCGACTTGGCCAGGGACCGATCCCCGGACAGGTCCAGAAAGGTCGGCTTGACCGGGGGTCCGGTGACCCCGTAAGCCGGCTCGGCATCGTCCAGGTAGGCCGGGCGTTTACGCCGGTAACGCCGGTAGATGATGGCCGACGCTATACAGGCAAACACCGCCGCACACGTCCCGGCCACCGCCACCGGGGTCACGATAGACCAGCTGCCGTCGTCCTCCACAGTGTTGCTGGCCGCGGCGCGCTTGTCACCCAGGGATTTGATCAAAAAGTCCAGCTGGGGAGTGGCTACGAAGGGGGTCTCGGGTGGGGCCTGCAGGTGGTGAGGGGCCGCCACAGGGGGCAGGCTAACGACTTCCGGGGCTTCCGGGATTTCCGGTGCCCTGGTCACTTCTTCCGCCACCATTTCCATCGTCGTGACCGTTTTTTCCTCCTCAGTATCGACCGCCGCGGCGGGATCGGGTAGCTCCACCGCGCGCCACTGACTGAAATCCGGGAAAGCTAATCGCTGGGTGAAATCGATCTCCGCCGGCTCCCATTCCAGGAATCGTGGCTGTTTTTCTTCCCCCTCCTCCTCTTCATCTTCCGGTGGCTGTTGTTGTTGTTGTTCTTCCAGCGGCCACATTGGCTCGTACACCGGCTCCGATTTCTTCTCTTCCTCTTGCTCATCTTCCAACGTGACCTTGGCCAATGGGGGAGCGGTCACAGGGACAGCGGGCGCCAGTGGCGGGCCGTGGCGACCATCTTCCTTCTCGGCGTAGTTTAGGTACAGCGGTGTCTCATCGCTGATGCTTGGAATGTGCACTTTCACCGGGACGGCCTTCTTCTTGACCACCGGTGTCGGTAGCGCGAATTTAAACGGTCCGGCACCGCGGTTATTGGTGGCATCCTCGGCTACCGGCTGGAAACGGGTGCGGGGCAGCGCGTTCAGCCGCTGTAATAAATCCCGGTTAAAGAGTGCCGGTGTCGGCTCTTCACTGGACTCTGCATCATCGTCTGGACTGCTGGGATTCCAGACGTTCTCCCGCAGCGCCGCATAATCCGCATCATCGTTGTAACCCAACGGCCAGGCGTCGAGCGCAGCGAGGCAGACGATGAGCAGCACCGGCACCCGGATGATGGACGTCGCCATTCGACTAACAACCTAACTTCCGTGCCGGTGTCGTTTTTTCTAAAGCAGTGTTTAAGAAAGAAACAAAAAAGGGGAAAAACTAAAAGCTGCTTGTCAGATTAATTCCATATGGTCGGAATGTTGAAGGGATGTTTCACAGCAGAGTGCAATCACGAACAAGATCCCGCTGACGTCGGTTGATATGGCAGCCGTATAAGCCTAGCACGTGAAGGCCGTATCAGCGGCTCTTTGCCTTTATCCGATCGATAGCCAACACGCACGTATAGACTGTACGAGAATGCATATTGCTTCAATGGAGAGTTGATTTCTCCAGTTGGCTTCCTGTTGGCTAGAGGCGCGTGACAGCCGGCGGATGCCAGTGACGCACGTCACGGGAAGAGAGGAAGGGAGAGGAGAGAGGGAACAAACTGGATCGATCGTAATTTCCATCAGCTTCCTCTAAGTGGGAATGAGAGGCCGTGCGGATGCTGTGTGTATGTGCGCGCCCTATACATACACTGCACCTGAACGCATTCTCATCAGCCGCTCTAAAGGGAATTGCGTCCCCGGCGCTGATGGACGACTTTTCCGTCTGTGTGTACCGGGCGCGTTGTATGCCTGTGTGCTTAGTGCGATGCTGTTCTTTGGCTAATGATAGAACAAATGTTTGCTTAGTGCACTGCTGAAAAAACACCATGGAGTGAGAGATGCGACGCCGCAGCGGCACTAAACGGGCTTCCTGCATAATTAATTGCCCGGGTCGTTAGCGTGCACTTGCCGGGAGAGGAAGAACACGATTAAAAGGGAAAAATATTGCACAGCGCGCGTTCGTTCAGATTGTGTTTGTTTTATGGCAGATTTTGATACCATTTTTATTCAAACTCAGTTACATAAAAACTACACGCAATCATGACCTTTAGACCTGCAATAATTTATAAGGCTATTAAATTCTATAGCAGCATTTTTGCACAATTAGAAATTCTATTTTCTCACGAAGTCGTTGGCGTTAATGTCAAACTGGCATTTAGGTCGTTTCTCCATAATAAGATTGTCTATGTTTTTCTACCAAAAGGAAATATAGGACTTTCCATCGATAAAAGCCTGCATGAATACCCATGAAACCGAATGAATGCACATAAAAGCCATTGGAATCTGGGACACCATGTTTACTTTCCAGTCTGCTTGACAAGGGAATCGACAGCCAGTTGGGAAACAACATGACATTGTCCCCATTTGTACAGTGTGTTGATTACACGGGTGTATCGATACACCATATCCGGCGTGTATAACACTTTTGACCTTGACAGCACCGAGCGCCGTGATATAGCGTGTTCTTTTGTCCTGCCCTGTTCATACATCAATTTCATCGTCCTGGTATTTTCACCGAACCGATTGTAATCCGTCCATCGCGGATAATAAGAGATTGATGGGAGTTTAGACGGAGTATGGCACGCGTGGCACGTGATACCGGCGCTGCATCAATCTGCTGTTAGATAATCACCGCGACGGTGGTCGTGAACTGTATATGGCAGTGTCAGTATGTGCGCTGCCTTTTTGTGTGGATTAATTAATTGGATGGAGCCCTTCCCCGGCATCCTGCCGGTTGGGCTGAGTGCGCGCAAGCTGGTTGATCTGGGACGCAGAATAATTATGTTGCGCTCAGTAAAGCTGTACAGCTTCCGTGTGCCGGCTTGTACCGTCAAGTAATTGGGCTGTGTACCGCTGTTTTCTTTCCCGTGACGCGGCAGATTGTTTGCTTGTGTGCCTTGTGATTTTATGATTAATTACGCGGTAATCTGCGATCGGCTCAAATGACGTTGCAACACGATCTTGCGCGCACGGGAATACGTACAATAACATACGCGCTTTGAAAATATTTTCACGAATGCAGGTGTATCATATGTTTTTCCTGTTTTCTCCACTGTTTAGAAATTGTTGAACGTTATGTCCCAAGGAAAAACAGAGCACACATTGCAGAATTGCTGGTAGCAGATATACGAATCAGAGAGATCTAAACTTCATTCAATTTTCAAGAAATTCGACTGTACATACAGATACTGTACTTGTACATACTCAGTAAGTGCACAATCATTCGACTGCGTTAGGCTATTTCTTAAAACTTTACTCACTTTTAAAAAAGCTATTTTGCCGTTAATTTCCTTAGTTGCAAATTCGTACATAATGCTTTTACGTAGTAGATGGAAAAACGGATCATAATATTGCGACATAGTATCTATTTATGGATAAACAACACGAGTATGATGTTAATAAACAAGCACGCATTTAAACACAAGGTTAGCGTAATCTATTTGTAGATAAACAACGCAAGATCATGTTCAAAATAAGTATACGCGCATTTTAAATTATCATGTTAATATCTGTGTACAGCAGGTATGCGCATTTTGTATGGCGTTGGTACGCCGGAAATAGACACATAGACGGACAGACTGCATTTGTTTCTATTTTCGTAAACAAAATTGCGTAACGACCGTCATCGCTATAGTCATACTGAAAACCACCTCGGGGCCGTTTTCACATCGATTTGATGGGAATTCCCTGCATTATGTAACAGCGAATCCATTATGTCGTAAATTTTCATCACCGGAAGATGAAAATTAAAGAATATACCCGTGCCACAAATAGCTCTTGCCGACGCCCGAGAACACTTGTTTATTTACCAGAGACCGCGGAATAGCAAAGTAACGCGTACAGACTTAACAACAACAACAACACCGTTAATCTCTGGTAATTGCAACCGGCGCCGTAATAAATACATTTTATTGCAGTACGAGGCAAGCGGCAACTCTTTCCCATCGCTTTAGTAAATTACCTCACTTTCCCTGCTGCATCTTACCCGTGCGCAGGCGCTCACGTGATATTTGATTTCAGCCGTTTCACGTCTAAACCGGTTTGCGGCTACAGTTGATTACGCAAACTGTCATAAAGAATATAGAGAAAAGCACGGCAGGCGAGATTTTATCGCCGGCTCAGTGAGCGCTGATCAGTAATCACAATGGTTACGTTATCACGTGAGCGCCTGCACACGGGTAAGATGCAGCAGGGAAAGTGAGGTAATTTACTAAAGCGATGGGAAAGAGTTGCCGCTTGCCTCGTACTATTAATAAAGGCGTAACGCCGATAAAGGGCCTATTACGTTGTGTACCGGAAACGGCGATTACAAACTGTACATTTGCATCGAGACCCCGATAGCAAACATGCATCATAGCCCCGAATAAATTACCATGATATCATAAACATTCGGAACAAAGAACAATAAAAGGATGTGTATGTTTACCAACTGGAGCCTGCGTTATATTAAGGTTTGACCGGATAGGCTTGTCATTAATGGCTCCGGCGCTATATAAATCACGGCTCGATTCGTGTATCGGCATTCTCTAAAGCAGTTACATTTCTTCACTTGTTAACGAATAGTTTTGCATAATGCGTGGTGTATTGATTGTTGTATTGTGTTTGGCAGGGTACCGCTGCGTCCAGGGCGGCGGCTGTCCGGCCTCACAGAATCCCTCCGGGTCGTGGACGGCCCCTCCAGGCGGCTGCAACAGTGTGGAGTGTGTCGTGTACGACATCAGCTCGCAGAACACCTGCCGTTATGTCGACAGCGAGAAGGCCACGAATGATGCCCGCTGGAAAGCCGGTCTGAACGCCGATGTGGATGTGCAGATCCTGAAGGGGAAGATTGCCGCCTACAAGCTGCAATGGTTCAACGGTGGTTGGTCGGATTGGTATGTGCCCGGCAAGAACGACATTGACACCAAGCTGAACGGATGCAGCATGCGCCGACAGTGGTCGTACTTCTTCGATCACGTCCATTCTTACATCATCTGCCAGTAATCGGTACGATCGCCTGGCTCCATGGTTGGCGAACTGACAAGGCTCTGTTTTCCGTTGGCAGTTTCAGATGCGCTGTTAACGGTTGCTACTTTGTGTATGTTACTAATGGGGCCAATGGGCCATTAGCCATGGTAATCTTCACGTACGCACTTCGTTTCTCTTACAATCTAAGTAGTTTGCAAATTTAATCAGTTCTTCATAGAATTTCTGAGTATGCAGATACAATAATATTATCTGATTGTATATACTGAGTGGTGCTCGTTGAAAAATAAATCAACACATAATATTACTTGTCATATACGTCTGCGACTACAGTAAGGAAGTAAATACGAACTAACGATAAGTTACGTATAAAATTATCACGAATGAAGTTATCTTATTACGTACTTATAACGTATATACAGACCATGTACTTTACGAATAAAGCTATTTTGGTACGTACTTATGTGGCACGATCTGGTGAATTGCACGAGGCAGCAAAGTACGAGTAAACTGCATCTGATAATCGTATTTAAAATGGAATTTACTAGTCCGTCGTCAGTGTGATCGGTACGTTCAACTTTGGAAGCAAATATTTAATAAAAGATGATTATCTTTGTAACAAATTTGTGCCCATCGTATCATTCGTACCCGTACATATGGATGATAAATATAGATATTCAAAGTCAAACATACATAGCCACTGTGGCACACCATACTGTACTACCCGAGTAGTACCAGTATTGTACACAGGCTAATACAGCGAAAGCCATGCGTTCAGTGATAGTCAAACTGTACCGGACTGTACAAGTTAGTTATCTGGTAATTCTGGTTTATGCGACTGCGATATTTCTGATATCATTCTGAGTTTCTAAAAGCCTGTAATTTTCACTTTTTCAGGCGTTTGCGATAAGCGTAAGTATATCACAGTTATGTATTAACATCAAATTTTTAATAAATATTTATATCTGCGTTTGTGTATGGTTTTTTGACTTTTTTCCCTGTGTAGTTGCGTGCTGCTGGCTAGCATTCCACCGGGACTACAAGCTCTCCAATGGCAGAGACCAGTCGTGCAAACTGGATCGAAGATAATGGCTTCCGTACACTGGATGATCTGCGCTTGGCTCCTCTGTCAGTCAGTAGTAATTCGCCACCCACCCTTGTACCAGTGACGAGCCAGGAAAGACCCAAGATCGCCAACTTCGATGCGAGCACATTCCGGGAGAAGCTCTTTCAACTGGTTCCTGTGTTCCAGCACATTAGTTTAAAAGGAATAGCCACTGTGGGGGACTTCTTGGTGGACGCGCTCTTAGACCGCACACCAGACACCATCCATCTGGTCTTAATGCTGGAGAAAAGTACCGAGGATTTCGGTGCAGCCGCCGTGTCCACAGCGCTGACCGAACGCGCTCGGGACTTCGTCGAAGAGCTGCTCCAGTTAACGGATCCCGAGGAGGTATCCGTGGCGCGCTGCCGGGGTGTGCACACCATCGAAGCGCCATGCCTGCCGTTCCCGGTGCGGTTGGCTTGCTATGACAATCTGACGGCGTGGTTCGATACCACCGATATCAGCTGTGCTGAGATCGCCTACTATCGCCACGAAGTCGTCATGTCGCAACGCGGTCTGGATGGTCTACGGAACATGCGTTTCGTCATCGGACGGGAATACTACAAATCCCGCAGCAAGATGCAGCGTATTGTCCGGTACTTCCAGATGGGATTTGATATCGTATTGGAGCATTTAAAGATGAACCACGTCACCGAGATTCCGCGTCCGGTTGATGGTACCGATACTGTGCTCCCGCTTCCGTATTTGACGATAACGTTCGAGGGAACCGAAGGGAATAAAATTCTTGTCAATACTCTCCGTCCTGCAGATGAAGCAGAGGTTTACGCTAATATGGGTGTGGATGACGCCGTTCCACTGGAAAACCAACAGAAATATTGGATCGAACACAATATTTACTGGCTTATCCACAAAAAATACAGCGATATGGTGTTTTACGGAAAGGGCCGGAATGTTCTGGAATCTGAAGCGTTTTCGTTACAACTAGCCTTAACGCCGGAAATCATTGCTGAGTTTTATGAGGTCTTGAGAATGGAATTGGTGGAACAGGCTGTACAGGGTGTTCGTATTGATCCGCTGGTGCTGCAGGAATACATTATAGTGCGAAGCACCACTCAGATTTGTCTGGGTCTGTTTGCGCACGTGGAGATCCAATGGAATAATTCACCGGAATCGGGGGCGCTGTGGATTTCGGATGAGTTTGTTCCGCAGTTGCAGGTTTATCTGGATTGGTTGATAGCAGAACATGCCAGAGCAGCTCAGCGCTGCCTAATCGATTTTGCGGACCTGGTTATGGATGGATCCATCCATTCCCTTGTAAGTGAGCGTCGTAACGAATTTTCCACCAAATCCCAGTGGTATGGGCGTGTTTGGCGACTGCGGTTCTTTTAGGCCTACCGTGCTGGTCTTTCAAAGTGTTAATCTTCGGTTAATGAAATCGTGTGATAAGTAGAACTGCTTACAAATTATCATAAAGTTAATATTAATTTGCTCACTTGGACCGTATTAGTTGGCCCACAATGGGCCAATGTCAAAACGACGGCGGAATTTTCTGCCGGCGGAAATTTTGTGCGGTCAAAACGCCGGCGGAAATTCTCGTGGTCAAACTGCCGGCGGAATTTCCTGAACATGCATTTTTTACGGAAATCACAAATTGATACAAAACCAAGTTATTGGTAAACTAATTCATGCAGTAAGTACAAGCTGGAAATTCTATGTACTGTATTAAGTATCTATGTATTCTGGTCAAACATCCTTCTGCTACTGCAAGTTTCAAAACATGTTTCATCGTTCGGCAGATAAACAGTCAGCAATAACAAACGAGAACAACAACTTTGAAAAAGTAGAAAAATTAAAAAAAGCACCAGCAAACCAAAAACACACTGATGAAAGAACATACGTACGTGCTCGAAGACCAATCAGCCAATCCTAACTGGGCCGCTAAACAGCTAACAAAATAACAAAAAAAACACAGTGACAAAAGAACATACATGCCTTGAATTCACCACTACTGCAGCTAGCGCCTATACAGACTGTACATATATGCGGCCCGATAAGGAGGCTTATATCTATATTAATAACGGCGCGCCCGAATCTATGTAAGGTACATTTTTCTTCCAAAATTGTTTTTAAATATGCACAGTAAATGAAATTAAAAAGTTACCAAAATTCCGCCGGCGTTTTGCCACACAAAATTTCCGCCGGCAGAAAATTCCGCCGTCGTTTTGACCACACAAAATTTCCGCCGGCAGAAAATTCCGCCGTTATGTTTCTAGAAGATTTCAGCTATCACGCAGTGAATTCCCTAATAATGATATTCCATTGACTGTTCAATAATGATATTCCATTGACTGTTCAATAAAAAAGTACACAGGATTTTGAAATCAAGCGGTCTTAAAAATGAACTATAGCGTGTGAATCGGCATCTACAGAGTACTTGTTGCTGTTCTGAGCATTAAAAGCATGCCTAAACGGTGATCGACAGACATACTGTATTGAAGTCAAATGCAATACTATAACTGATTCACAGAAAAGTCGTATAATAATAGTCTGCATAAAAACCAGTGAACCGCACATTTCATTTCCAATCCCATTTATCTGACGTTATGAATACAGTCGATATAAATTCCCGCGACTCGGTAATCAAATGCGCTTGAGTCTTGTAATTCACGGATGGTGATTTACAAAATCTTTTATAGCGAATTCCCTAAGCGATGGATTTCCTTGTTGTCGATAATATGCACTCCCGCCGGTTCGTTGCTGATGGTGCTGGCAACCATAGCTTTAGCGAGAAATTCAATGGGCACGGATATTGCGGTCGGAAACATGCACGTCACTGGTTTAATCATGGCGACCATCTATAAAATACTGAATTGTGTCGGTAAAACGAGGCTGGAAGGGGATGGAAAATTAACTGTAAAGGATCATGCTTGACACCTTATAGATGAGTATCTGTACTTCTACAGACACTGTAACTATTAACGCCATTTGGAATGTCTTGACAATACGTAAGAAGCGTACGTCTTGACAATACGTAATCTCGAAGCGCTCGTGGACGTTGGTGTTTCGCATGAGCGCGGCCAAATCATTGCAAACCTACCACTTTCTCCATGGGGCGCCGCTCTGCACGATCCGTTAATAAAAACCTGCGAAATAAGATTTTGTAGGGCGTAATCAGGTTGTACCTAGAAGGTATGAACTGGTGCAACATACCCAGGTCGATAAATACTTGTGCGCTCAAAACCTAGTTCGCTGACTTCCCGATCCGTTTGGCCCTTCAGAAAGAACAAGTAAGTTAACAGGGCTTCTTTAGATGAAACACCCACGCCGTGGAAAAATATGCAACGATTATCTTTTGCACAAATGTGTACCTTCACGCGGTTGTAAAGCAAATGGCTGTTTTCGTCCACGCTTGCTGCAGATATCAGGTGGAAATGCTTGGCACCGCCGAGTTTCGATGCTTTGGCAACGCTCAGTGTGTAATCGTGCTCGATTTTTATAAAACCTTCCTGAAAGAAAAATGATATACACAGATAATACACACCCTCTATACATCAAGTCATTATCCGAGGTACAAACTACTTTATTTTAGCACGTCTGACACCTTGTGGGCTGCCGGAATTATTTTGCGAAATTACCACAAGCACGTTATTCTGGTGTAATGAGTATATTTTCATTCTGCTGTGAATGTTACAGATCTGTTCACGAGCATTACTTCATTGCATCGTGAGTTTTCCATCCACAGATTAAAATTAAACTAGGAAATTGCACTCGTTTTTTTAAGGCATGCGTAAAATTTTTTTTAAATAACGCAGTAGCATTGTTGCAACCGATTAGCCGCACTTCCTCCTACCTTTCCTGATTTGCCCCGGGTAGTTCCCAGACAGCTGTAACCCACATCAAATCCTTCGAAATCCTTCTGGTGTACTTCATCAATTTTGTCGAAATCGATAATGCGCTGCTCCTGAAATTTTTATTGCCCATATGTAAAAATCTGCAAGGTATGTTTCTTTAGAGCTTCAGTGAAAACCCGCTACGTTTCGCACAGAAATTCGAGAGACTCATGATTGAGCAGATACGTGAATAATTCTTTTCTTTCAAAATTCTACATAATTAATGGAACAAAAAATTTTTCCATCAGTAAACATGGTTTTGATAACCGATCTTGCACATCACTTACTGCGACACCGTAGTTTTATGTGCATGTGTACGGAATTAATATGCGAAATTATAAGTATTCACGTACGATACGTAGGTACACACCTATTACGATCTCTGAAAATTACACCTTACTGCTTTATTAACACGTCTTTACACTTTTTTTGCACTTACAAGCTTTTTTAGTTCCTCATCTTCATACTCCAGTTTGCGCCTACTAATCAGGACGATCCGTGAGAATGGCTTCAGTTTAATGAGTTCCTTCAGCAGAGCCTTTCCGCTTTCCCCGCTCGCTCCCACAATAAAACAGCTTTTATTCAGCTGACGAAAATTCTGCAGAAGAGCATCCATTTTGCGATATATTTTTGATTGCGAGGAATCAAACTACAAAAATACAGTCGGTATGCAACGGAGAAATAGAACAAATTTTTCAAGATGCGCGATCGATATCCCAGCGCTGTAACAACAGCAAGTCAAGGTATTATGCAATAGATGGAGCTGCTATCCAGTTTCCAGTCGGTTGTGTACCGGCGCTCTTACAAGCTGATGTCAGCAGTATTTGCCTGGTGATGGCGGATGTAAGGCGAGCGCTGAGCAGATGTCGGTCAATGTTGTACGATGGGATATTGATAACAGACAACCGGCAAAGAAAACATATCAAAACGTACGATGCCGGCACACACTAAGAACACTCCAGAAGACCGGCAATATTTATCTAGCGATAATGACACAGCTGATTGTTAAGACCGTGTAAACAGATGTAACCAGCGCAGCACTTTGCCAGCGTTTACTGATATTCATTATACTCCAGAGCACAGATACCGTAACTCCAAAATTTTACATATGTTTAGTGACGCTTTGTTTGAAAAAGCCAACGAAACACTTTACGAAGAGTTCTAGTTTTGTAGTTCTAGTTTCATAGTTCATAGATCTAACTGCTGAGGCTAAGATGAAACAATAAACGTTTTAAGTACATCTTCTTTACAGAAAAACTTGAAGCATTCATGGTAAGCTTAATTTTTATAGTTATTTGCTAAACCGGTGTGATAATTGATTATTAGAAGTTACGCTGTACGCAGCGTATTTTCAAAATTTTATTTTTTTAAATTCTCACTCACTGATCATTGCTAGCACTAAATGCTTTATGAAGCCTTTATGCTAAATTTTCGTGTACAACCCTTGATTTTCTCCGCATTCAACGGCCAAAAACTTTTGGATTTCATTGCATCTCTTTTGAGGATTAAGATAACATCCATTTGTTAGTGCTAATATTTTTTGCTGGGCGGAAATTACCTCCACAATGTCATGGCTCTGAACAATGGGTTGAATTACCACGTGCCGATCAGCGTGACGAGAATAACTATGTACTTTTATTTTATGGCTTACGTTGTTGTACGTTGAACAAATGCCACGCAAGAATAAATCTGATCTGTACAGAATTTTTAAGTGGCGACAATACAGTGATTTATTATCAATATTTTTCTTGCAGATACTGACGAGCTTTCAAGACAATTACTCATTGGTTTATGGTTGTGAATTCCAATTGTGATAACCGACATTTCACTGCACATACTAATAGGATTAGTACTTGTAGCCCGGTTGGCAGACGTTTTTGCCATAGATAAACTGCTGCACATCTCGTCATTCTCACAGTTGGATTTATTTTTATTTTATTGTGTCTGCAGTTATTTACGAGCCTTGTTTTGTGGTTAAATCAATTGCGTAGATCATGGACAAGTTGATCGTATTGCTGCTTTGCTTAGGGGTCATTATACAAGGTAGGTGAAGTTAAAGCAGAATTTTGAAATTGCAGTTTGATGCCGTATTAGAAGGTCGTTCTCATGTGAAATGCATACATAGTAATTGAATTATCAGAAGAAAAGGATTTGCGTTTTAAATCATTGTAACCGGTGTGTTTGAAATCCCTAGTTGTTCTTTCTCTGGAATGCTACTCAGGCAGCACCCCGACCGAAACCGTAACCTGTCGACGAGGCGAAGTGTGCTTCCGACGAAAAAAGCGAGGTAATAAATTTATTGTAGAGAATTAGTGCTCATTTGATTACGGTTATCAATAAACAACAACCAGGGCGGATAAGTTACGACTGCCACTTTTTCAAAAACTGGATATTTCTTGTCGGAGACTGAGATGTTCGTTACAGGAGCTTTTAAACATGGATGTTCCGGGAAACCGAAGTTGATGGGATGTACAATCGAGACGGACACCGAAAAAGACCTTTGTTATTGCGACTGGGATTTCTGTAATCGCGAGAAAATCTTGTACTCGCGCAAGCCTACCCAGTAATTCCATTTTTAAGTTGTCAATACAAGCACTAACCGTATTTTGCAGTAGCTACAGAGTGCAGATACGTATGCTTTACTTGTATAATACATAGTACTAACGTTTGCTGTTAATGATGCATTTTGTGTCTTTATAATAGAGGAATTTTCTGTATTTCTTGTGAGCAGTGGTTAATTCTAATATCAACTTTTGCATGACGTGAATAATACCGAGGAGAAGCGTGTGATTATTAATTTTTATATGCTTACCTGTTTATGTATGCAATGTGTGGTCGCAAGAAAAACTAGCCTACATGGGTGCACATGACTGAAACAAATCATTACCAGTACAATTATTGACCACCGCACTGCAATTCAGTGAAATATTTTAAAAGGAAAATTAGACATCGTTGCACACGTTTTCCCGCTAAATTTGTTGGTTGTTATTCGGATTCCGCTACCGGAAGTTGTAGTGATCGACCACCTATCAAGTATTTAGCGATGCACGGACAAGATCATACATAAATGACCAGCAAATACAGTTTTGTGTTTTAACACGTTCCTACGCCGAATATTACCATCATCAAATAAATTTTTCCGCAGGCTTCCACGTCAGCAGATATCACGGATGTCTTCCTTATAGCACTAAATCTCATAAATATTTTCGCCGAGCTTACTCGTGATTTAGAAACCGTTTTAGCAACATTTATTTTTTTAAAGATGTATAATAACACTTCGCTTATTTCGTTCCTGTTAACGAACAAAACAGTATCCGCGGCGCATTATGCCGGTATACCCTATGAATCAAAGGTCATCGTGACGTTCATGACCCTTCTGGCGTTCGGCACCACCTTCTACAACGGCACAATCATCCTGGCGTTTGTTAAATTCAAGAAACTCTTCACACCGTTCAACGTATACATTCTCAATCTGTCCACAACCGACTTTCTCATCGCCATCATCGTTATGCCGGGTTACATCCTACGCACATTGAACCTCCCGCTGCATCCGTCGCTGTGCTGGGCCGTCCTGTACACCAACGACGTCATCATGGTGTCGCAGTGTCAGGGCATGTTCCTCCTCAGTCTGAGCCGTTTGTGGTCGCTGGTGTTGCCGTTGTCCTACAAGAACCTGGCTAGCCCACGGGTGTCGGCGGGGATTTGTGTTAGCTGGTGGATTCTGTGGATTGTGGTGTTGCTGCCATACCGGATCATTGACCGGAGTTATTCACCCAAAAGTGAACTGGCGACTTGCCATTCGAATTACGCAGCGCAGAGAGCGTACGCGACATTTATTGAATTTGTGGGATTTGATGCGCCGGTATTCCTTGCGTTGGGGATGAACAGTTTCGTGTTCTTTAAGTTGGTGCAAAGGAAAATGCGGAAGCGGAACCAAGCCGGGCCGTTTAGTACAAGTACTATCTCACGCACAGGTAGAAAATTCATTAGATATTATTACTGAATTTTTTTAAAAGATAAACTTCCAAAACGCCTCAAAACTGAACCACGGACGATTCGAATCTTAGAACAAAATTTGGTACATAATTATATGAATAATCTATCACTACGTATATAACAACATGTAAATTAAATAAAAACATAAATACAGATGTAAATTTAATTATTATACGGGAATTTTTGCAGATGCGCCAACTATTAGCCGACATGTAACGGATACTGTGACCACCTCCATCGACCACTCAAAACCTGTATCACGGCCTAAATCGGTCAGCGATGATGCAAAACACGTGCGACTTTTCGGATTATTAGCGGTGTTTGTGCTAGTTTGCTATATGCCCATCTTTTGCTACTACATATTGTCCGACCTTATCGATGGATTTTACTATCCAACCGTTCGCAATGCTCTGACCTGTGTGGAGTTCTCAGCATGCATACTGAACCCGTTGATCTATCATGCGAATTTACCGGAGCTCCGGAATAACCTGCACAAACTGTTCAAGCGGAGCTAAAGAAGTTTATATTATAGACTTTTCTTCCACATTGCTACATACAAAAAAATTCTCTCTCGAATGTCTGCAAATGCTTTCCTGGTTTATTGTTCCGGGTCAGCTACTTTGTTGTTGCGTATAATCTGACGAGGAACGTATCGAGTACTATCGACTATCAAAGGCACATGGAAAAAGCCATTTTGTTTAATGTAGACAATTTTATTTCAAAAGAGCTGACCTAAAAAATCGATGACATGCGCGGACGAATATTCCAATTGTGCAATTATACTAGGGTACATATACACGTCCAGCTTAAGAATGAAAAGGGTTTCGACTCAAATCCGGTTTTATGCACATATCCTGCTTTCAAAGTCAATGCCCACTTAATCGGACCTGTCAACCAGAATAAACCAGAATGAAAGAGAGCAGCGAGTACTGCTCTAATTACTGTATGTGGCCGTTGATCTTCCAAATAATTTTGGGCCCAGTATTTAGTCGACTGCAAAGCAATATGCAGTTTACTTCGCTTTGATTGTTGGACCACCTGGTGCTGATACTGGCCAGATCATGACTGCAAATGGTTTTCATTAGCGACAAATCACAGTGACCTTTGACTAAATTTCAAAATTTTAATTTGGTCAGAATGTAACCGCCCTAATTTATCCACTACATATACTAATTTCCTGATTTATTATAAAAGAATGAGGGAATCGCGCTCTAGGTTATTTCGGAAAACCACCTACCAGTTAAAAGATCGCCTGAAACATCTGGGGAGGAGCACCGCCGGCAACAAGGAAGAGTTAGTGGACCGCTTGTTCAAGGCTTTACAACCGGTCCGCAACAAAGTTTATCCGTGTGTGTGTGCGCCACGCGCAGCGGGCCTGTCAGCAGCTGACCCACAGAAAGATATTCAGGAAGGACAGAGCGGTGAGCATGACCCTTTGATTGCAGCGATACAGGGCTCGTCGATGCCGCTCGCAGCGGGCCAGCCGCCAGTGATCACGGGTAAGCAGGAACAGCACGATGAGCGTGACCTTTTAATTGCTGCGATTGAGAACTCGCCGACGCTACCAGCAGCGAGTCAGTCGCCAGTGAACCCACAGGAAGGCAGTCAGCAAGGACAGCGCGATGAGGGTAACCTTTTAAGGACACTGACTGAAAACTCGCCAACGCCGTCCGCAGCGGGTCAGCCGCCAGTGCTTCCGCCAATATGCAAGCAGGATGGACAGCGCGAACAGCGAGACCTTTCGAGTACAGAGATTGACGATGTCGCGGGGAAAATTGGTCTCTCCAAAGAGGGAGCGGCGCAGCTCAAGGCCAACGGCTTCGTCACACATGGTGACCTGGAGATGCTACGAAAGAAACCAGATCTGATTCCTAAAGCCGTTAGCATTCTCTGCGATCAGATGAAATTGACCGAACACTTGTCCCCACCAGACGGGTCTCCCGGTAGCGGAAAAGAACAGCCGCAGCAGAAAACACCCAGACAACCACAACCGCGGTTCAGCTTTCAGTCGAAACGGGCACTCCCAGGCTCTCAAAGCCGTAGTGAGTGTTCAATGCATTAGGCTTGGCTGCTTTAATCTGCGCTGATAGTTAATTATAAACACATTAAGCTTGTGTCGCGTTTGAGGGAAAATTGTAAGTACGAGCACATGCTCACTGCCACATAGTCCTACTACTTCTATTAATGCAGTACCTACATTTTTACGAGATCTTAAGCAGCCTCCGGAAATGAAGTTCTTTTAATATAGGGAGAATTCAACTGCTGAGGCCAGCAGTCCCTGTGCGTGCTGCCGTCACCCGGCTGGAGTTTTACTTGTGGCTAAACATGGTGCTTATGTACCGCGCCTGATTTAACCGTATGTACTGCCGTAACGTCACACTCCAGGCGGGTGACGGCATCAAGTACAGGGAGTGCTGGCCTCAGCAGTTAAATTCCCCCTATATTTATAAATCCTTACAATAGGTAATGGACATTTTCCGCGCCCCGTGTATTCATATAGCGACGGTGCACCTCGTTTTCGCTTACAAGGAGAAAGCAACCAACCAGTCAGCGGTTTTATTTCGCCTGTCATCCGTGGAACGTAGGATGGTGTAACGATTTCTCCTGCCCACTTCCGCATATCTGCGAATTGTGCACAGGACATCACCAAGGGCGATTCTGCCCCACCGGAAGCTTCAACGCTCCGCCGCCTTATCTACTACCAGCATTTTGGTAACACAGCGGTAAAAGTCCCGCTAATGGACAGCCAAAAGCAGATCACGGCGGATATTATTGTTTTTGGTGCATGCTCTTGTTTCTTAGTCATGAAAGTCTTTTATTTGGTAAACTGCGGGAATAGTTACAGTTGGATGATGACTCTAATTTGATGCACCGATTAACTTTTACGCTGTAAATAAAATAAGCAGTGCTAGACGATAGTAATATTATGATAGCACTATGGTATTGCGGCGTACTACGGTGCGTTTTACCGTTCTACCAGCTGTTTTCGCTGTTACGTTGCTGCATAAGCTTCTACCCAATTCATGATCAACTAATTTAGTCGCGCGCGTTTCATTGACGATTAAACAGTCATGTTGCTTAATGCGGATAATTTCTGTTTTCGCATGATCTGAGGAAAGAGATCAATGAGATTCGTGGATGAATCCTTGAAAATTCAACTACACACCCTCATGCCACACAAGAAATTCCCATGATTTTCTAAATCATTTGATGGCGTGTTTTCGCGTATATATGAACGGGGCTTCTGGCTTCCCGAAAACATTTCCTGGTGTTATTATGACGGTGATCGATAATAAAGGAACTATTAGGTGTTCGAAAACTTTGTGCAACGGCACATCAAACAAGTCTCTTTAGTTAATCTCAATAAAGCACGAAAAAGGAGTTTCGAGAGAAAAAGATTTGCATGCGGAAATGCCAATAAAACATGTGATAACGTAATTGCAATGCCCAGACTATTATGCCCTACTCACGGAGCTTTGTGTATTGCATACAAAAATAACTCTTTTTATGTAATACAATAAAAACCTTGAAGGGCGACCTGACACCCGCTCAGCTCTAACACACACAACAACACGGTGGCAACAACGGCTGCCGCGCTATGTCTTATTAAATACTACTATGCCATCTCACTGCACCAGCAGGACCTCTTATTCGCAAATGATACCACAATAAAAAGTAGTCCGGCTTTAACAAGGACAACCTCCTAGCGAAACACCGAGCGGACACGCATATCGTTTTGCTAGCCGGTACGGTAAGAATTCAGTTCCTGGTCACCAAACTCCGCTTTGGTGAGACTGTTGGCTATCTTTAGGACAATTGAAAATGCGTGCAAAGTCCGGAGTATTCACCACAATACCATTCACCCGGTATTTTCCCGGGCTATGTGGATCCGTCAAAAGCGATAATTCTGGACGGTACTGCTCACAATAACCCTGAAGAACAGTCTCAGCACACAGACAGACAAATATGTGCTCTTTTAACAATCCGTCTTACATATGCGTACGCCAGGTAGAACATCTTGTCAAAGGGCACACCCTCGAAACCCGGAAGCGCTTGCATGGTGACGCCGTCGCGCTCCAGCTTCCGATACGCCTACGTTCGAATTTGACAAACATGTTGATGTTATTGTCAGAAATCTCATCGTGCAACATTTAGTGGATATCTTGCCAAGAAAGCTGCTTTGAAGCCGCCGCCGTCTGCAATATTCTCGCCCTGTGTTAGATTCCCGTTAACGTGTATCCCGGTAGTGTAGCTTTCGTACATATCGTACTGTTGAATGACTTCGCTGGCCTTTTGATCGTATTTAGCTTTGTCAGCCGGCGTCCACCAGTCCCGCAGGTTGCCGTCTTTGTCAAACATTGAACCTTTACAATTACATAATAATTATACTTGCAAATAAAAACAAAATCTAGAAATGCATGAGCTATTCCAACATTACCGGCATCGTCAAACCCATGCGTGAATTCGTGTCCAACTGTTGTGCCCATTCCGGCATAGTTGAAATACTCGGGTAGCTCGGCATCGAAGTACGGATACTGCGAAATTCCAGCCAGTATTCCTAAAGCGTATATTTTTATTGCAGTGACAAACTCAGTGACACGATTAGCAAACTCTTGGCAGAGGTTCTGCATTTTCATACCCACCTATTCCGTTTATATTGGGCTCGTAGAAGGCATTCACGTCAGATGTCACCATCAACGATTCCAACATTTCTAACCGCGTTGGAGGGTCTTCTAACCTGCGGATTTCCTTCTGATATTGTAAATTCATTCCAAACCGCGAAAGCTCAAACAAGGATGCATTTGACTTGATCTGAAACGTTCCTTGTTGAATCGTGTTTGCTTCCATTCTTCAGAATTTACTTCCTTAATTTGTTAATAGGCCTTTGCATTTTGTTATGGTGGATTAATATAATACTACTTGATTTGACAGAATTACAAACCTCGGAGTAATCGTGATCGAGTTTTGCTGGATCGACAAACCAATCTGGGTACAGTACGAACTCCGCCATATTGTCCAGCTTAGCAAGCGCCTCCTCCTTGGTTGCACGACTCATCCAGCTGGTGCCGTCGATCATTTCCCGCATCGCCGCTTTCAAATCCTTTATCATTTTCTGGAGTGACGCCCGCGCCTCTTTGGGCACCGCTGCATCAGTATACAGAGCACCAACCGGTAGCGGAAACAATTCCGAAGCATAAGAGATACAGTCCTTCCAGCGCGGCTCCTGCTCCTCCATCCCGGTAATTAGGCGACTGTACTCTTCGAAAAACCTCCTCACGGAAAAAGGCAGTGTGCTGCTATACAGGTCTAACAGCCTCCAACCCAAGAATGTGATTAATCCCCGCTGACCTCGTGGATCGCTTTCCAGCTGAAGAAGACGGTTATCTAATGCTTGAAACGCGGCCGGATTCGTTACATAAATATCCATATCCGGCGTGATCTGATACGTGAAATTCCCACTGGAAATCATATTTTCAAGAAGATCCCTGAAGTTCTTTGCAACGGAGGATTTCGAGAAGTATCTTGATTGCAGCTCGGCAAATGTCATATTTATGAACGCTTTGTTAAGCTTTCTTGCAACAACTGCAGGTAATGAAATCTAAAACAACACAAACTCTAGAAATTGAGTTATCGTCCGTTTACTCATGTTAGGATGGTATCATTACGTTGGCGAGAAAGATCTCCCACTCAACGATACTGGTCGCATCGTTCAAGATACTTCTTTCATCGATTACTCCCGTAAGGTTCTTGGAATGTAGTAGCGAGCTGATAACATTGCTGACCATATCCAGGGTACCGTTAACCGACACATCCAACATTAGCCCATTAACAATTTCTTTCTCAAAACCGGAATCAATTCCGAGATAAAGCACCATTTGCGATGAATTGTGTAGAGATTTGTCAACGTTCAACTGAATCAATGAGCGCGCGTTGTATAACTTTGACAGGCGATAAAGATAACTGGTAATTTGTGGAGATTTGTCGTTCCATGCAGGAGTTATTGGCGGCCACTGGCCTATGGTTTCAGTGAGAGCGTTTTGTACAAAGGTCATCCCATCAGCATTAATGCCGTCTGCAGCAAACGATAGTAGCATAACATGTGCTACACGAGGAACTGATTACGTTATCCAACGCACACAATTATTATTATTTCTATATCATCTTGAAAAATCCGAACTATACCTTCGTTAACGCACTTTTTGAAGAAATCTTTCACCATTGCTTTTGATTTGAATATCTTCTCGGAAGCAGTAGCGTACAGCACACCTTAACATCGCAATAGTTGTTATCATTTTGCAGTATCGGGTAGAGTATTGTTAAAAAAGGGATTCGCAAACCTACCGAGCAGCTGCTCGTTAACGATATCTCCCATTTCCGACAGGATCGAAACGCTCTGTTTATCCGATGGCACAGGATGCGATTTTATCCAGTTATTGCATGTGTAGGCAAATAAATCCTCGCATGGATCTACGTTTGGGTCAATGGACGACAGTAGTTCTTGTCCTGCATGTCGAGGACTGATTGTGTTAATGTAAAAAGCAAGCTGTAAAATTCTAGAAAATCTTCCAGTACCTTGACTTTTTGAATTTGAAAATATTGTACATGAGAAGAATCCCAAGAAGAAGAAAAACTCATGTATTTGAAGGTACATGAGTAAAGTAATGATACATGAGTAATACACGATACATGAGATACGTGAGTAGAGTTTATAAGGTTGACGTTTACTGTGCACTTGTTCGTCACTAGAGAAATGGTTTAGCGACAGTAATAAGTAATAAAAACAAACAAGAAATATATGCAGGCATACCTGCGCGAAGACAAGTTGGACTTTCACAAACGGCGCTTTTTGTTGCCTTTGTTGTACCATTGTGCGCGCTGTGCCCGATGGATTCCGGCGATTTAATATTGTTATGGACATTTTGACCGGTGGCATTTTTTCCGGTCTGCCATCCGGAGATTACAACGCTCACCATCATCGCAAGCGATTGGATGTGATCCAATATTTCCCCAACGGAAAGCATTTTTATCGGACTGCGGACCGATAACTCTTTTTTTAAACGGATTTCAACTGGCGTGTTAATCAATGCCGGTGATAAGTCCTACTCATTACAGGTTTTATCACACGACTTAAACCGTGAACAGTGTGTTAACCCAACCTGCTCGGGCCGCTGTTTGTTTGAACTGTTCGCTTTCTTGCAGAAGATTCTGCAGATGCCTGACTTTTTTCTGTAAAGTTTGTGCTTTTTTTGCAAACGATTCCATGGCGAACACGTGCCTCTATTGGATGTGAACAAAGATACTGTTTGTTAAGCAATGACCGGTAACCGGTTAATTTCTATTTCAGGGCCATTATCGTGGGAAAAGTACAGCTTTGGAACTATTGCTGACGTTTGCAAGAACTTTCTCGACACCACCATGCGACCATGTCGTCTGTGCAAACAACCGGCTTTCAAGAGGAAAATGCGGCGTTAGTGCAAAAGCCCGAACATTCTAGCTTTGCGTTTAATATCATGCGACGACATTTTCTCCTGACCCAGCATCGGCTGCTGGTCCCCAGTTACTATCGCTTTATCCTCGCACGTTGCACGTACCAGAAATCAGCTACCGTTCAATGAGAAGACTAGACGCATCATGATGTTTGATCTGCGTTGGGAGTAATGCTTTGATGTTTCACTAATCCTGTTTTCTTCTTTCTAACCGTCAGCAACGTCCACCGTTATGCGCTGATCTGCAAGAGCATCAGGGTTGGTCCAACAGGAATTACTGGTAACCTAAGACAACAGCCACAGGCCACAGAAAAACAAACAATCTATAACTGCGTGTCCCTAAAATTCTGGTTTTGTAGCAGCCTTTCTTTTCTTCGATAATTGCTATGTAGAAAACTATAAGCTCGTATCTTTTATTCATGTATTATTCATGTGTGATTTATTAAGCAACACAGTAGAAAAGCGCCTGGAAGTTGATTAAACGAAGTGACTATGCACAGGCGTTGATGGTACTGGTTACAGTTCTTGTTAAGAGTATCTGAGTAGGTATTATAGGAACGCATAGTTTTAATTTTCATAATGATGCATAATAATGCTTGCTGTTTTTAATGATAATGCATTGTTATATTCTCGAGTTGCATATACTGTATAATCGTAAATAATTAACCAATGCTACATAAATTCATTTACGAACGGTAATATAATTATTATGGTAATAATAATCATGGTAATATAATCAGTATTAAAGGGTGTTCCATCGTAGTTAGATCACTCTTCTGGACAAAGGAGCAGTTTTAGACTAATGCTAGGTCCATTACTTCAGTTGTAAGAAAAAGTTGTACAACAAATCGTAGTCTTAAAATGGGAACTACGACTGCAACATTCGTAGTCGTAGTTTCCAGGATGTTGTAGCAATGTTGTCAGTTATTACTTTGTGCAACACTTCCCGGCCATACTCAACCGCAACAAAAATTTAAGCCAACCCAGCAGAGATACGATTGGCGGAGATAATCCCTCTTTTTACATTTATTAACAAGCGGAAGCAACATTTTTATTTATTACAAAGGTCCTCCAAAGTTAGTTTCTCTATGTATCTCCCGGCATAAACGCCTTTGGCTCTAATGAACCATATCTTTAGAAACGTCCCTCATTAACGAACCAAGTAAAAATATAACTCTACCTAATTACAATCAAATGGAGAAGAACTGCCGAGAAAACTGTCAAAGGTTTTACGCACTTTGCCACGTGTTTTACCTAGACAGTTTTTAATATTTTTCTTAGATTTTTTATTTTTCTTTTCTCAGTTTTTCATTGAATCTTTTGATTCTTATTTCCCTGGTTAGTTTACATAATTACTTATACAACAAAAATATATCACATGTTTATTGCTTCAAATGGCGGCGAGGGCAAAATAGGAAACTTAGTTTGGGCCTCCGTTGTAATATCACACGAAAATGTACAGAAGTACAGCATACCAATCAATGCGCTATTATACCCAAAAAACCAGTCCAATATATACCAAGACTTATGAAGTTGCTATTGGTCGCAGGATATCGAGTTTTCTAAAAATTTGTCGGTACAGTTATATAATACAGAGTAAGAAACATGTAATTGATGTTACTAAACAGTTTGAACTTTGAAGTATTGTGCACTACAATGCAGTTTCTGGTTATGGTAATCAGTTCATAGGTGACATCATAATGATAACAAGTAATTAATGAGTATTATTGTTTTAAATAAGTATGCATGTAGAGCTGCACACCTATACACATACCTATGGTAATTCTGACAAAACTCAGAAGAAAGTAGAAAGGAAGAAAAGCCCCTCCCTCCTACAACATCAATCTACAACAAATTTTTCGTCGTGCAACTTTTTTCTGCAACTTTCGCGTCCATACTACATAATTCATTACAACAAAACTGCTGCAACAAAATTAATCGCGCACATACTTTTCTACGATTGTTGCAAGATTTCTATTGTTTTCCGAATTACAACTGAAGTATGGATCTAGCATAATACAACGGCGACCGAATCGCCCAAAGAATATATTAATAAAAAGAACAGCAATAGATTTGGTGCCCAATGCCCTGCGTCTATGGTCAGTCGGAATTTGCCCCCGGCTGCATTGCAGTGCCAGTACCAAATGCCCTTCAATTGGCCTCAAACAACGTGGCTTAAACATGTAATCAGCATGATGTATACAATATACATCATACACAGGATACGTGGCTTCGATTAGTAAAACACCAGAAGCTTTTTAATTAAAATCCGTTTGTTACGGAATCCCGGAGATACGAACAATGGCCTTCAAACCTGACCTGGCAAATTGAATAAAGGTAATAGCTCGTATCATTACCAGCATTGCATCATGCACGTTAACGATACATCCTTGATGATTTGTTGTTCCAGTATTTAAACATTCGTTAAACAGAATATGCCGTTTAGTTGACTTTCTTTTAGTTGACTGTTTATTTGCCCATACCGGACCGATTATGCCTGTAATAATTATTGACTCTGTTAATGCTCAGTCACAGAGTGACCATTGGCTCATTCTCGATAACTGCCTGTAGGCCCAAAGGCGGTAGTCCTTATTTATCCACAGTATAGCTTAGCGGTGATTAATTTATGATGGAATCGCGCAATAACTTGCTTAAAAAGACCAACTATCAGTTGAAAGACCATTTAAAGCGTCTTGGGAAGAGTACCGCCGGAAACAAGGAGGATTTAGTGGACCGTTTGTACAACGCTCTGAAATCACCCGATAGCAACGCTTCTACACCAGCGCCGCCCGCGGCGGGCCGACTCTCTGGGCTGCTTGCGCAGAAAAGCGTCCAGCAGCCGTTGCGCGCTGCGCCTAAGCCTGCGAGTAGAACGATCGAAAATGTCGCGGCGACAATTGGTCTCTCCGCAACAGGAGTCGCGCAGCTCAAGGCCAACGGATTCAACAGTGCCGATGACTTGCATCTACTCCGAAAGAAACCGGATCTGATTCTTAAAGCCATTAGCCCTCTCTGCGATCAGTTAAAGCTGACCAAACTCTTGTGTCCGAAAGAGACTTCCAGAAGCGTAAAGGAGGAGCAGAATGCGCAAACGTCCAGCGAACCTGCGGCGCGTAATAATGTCCAGCCACCATCGGCCCGTCCAGCACCTCATGCAACACCGGCCCGCCCAGCACCTGCACCTCCAGTAGCAGTCTTTCCAACATCTCACACGAAACCATTTCCAACACCGGCCTCTCCACCGCCAGCCTGTCCCCCATCTTACCGTACACCGTCATCCCGTCCACCACCTGCCTGTTCATCACCGGTTCGTAATACCTTTCGAAGTTCCGGTAAGTGCGAATCAAACAAATCCTTTAGACTTCCGTTCTTCAAGTAAACTAGTTGTCTACACTTTTGCGTTATTTAAAATCGCCGCACCGGATAGTGTTCGCGTGCCTTGCACAGCAGATAACGACTGTAAGAAAGTGGGCCTCGCGACCTTTATCGTTTATGTATGAATTTATCTCCTTGGCACCGCAAAAAATTGTCGCGAACCGCTTATTGCGAGACAGTTGGTCACAAACTAAGGCCCATTGCAGGTTAATTGCCACAAGATATTCAGGCAACCGGAGTTCGGTCGGGAGGTGCCGTCGCAAAGTCTAGTGGTCACAAAGACATTTCGTCAGAGCGACAACTTTTTTCGCACCATATGTCGAAGAAATCTATATTGCATTTTAATAGAAAACTGCTTAATTCAGCTAATATTTTCGTAGACAGCGGACACTTTTCGCGCGCGGCCCATCCATATGCCGGATCATCTCGTCGCTCCCAAATGACAAACAATCAGCCAATCCGCGGTCCTCATGCCGCTTGTCATCGGTGGAACGATGGCAGATGTAACGCACCCGATAACTGCATATTTTCGCACAAGTGCCAGTTTTGCGCTGGACAGCATCAAGGACGGTTCTGCCGCGCTCGAAATTCGGTTTATCGAGGACCGGCATACCGGTAGAAGAGCCGTAAGACAGCGTACCGGAAATCGTGTCTGACATAGTAACTGTTTTTGACGCACTGCTTTACTTCTCATGGCAACTGGTAACTTCTTTTGTTGGCTACGATTGTACGTGTTATACATACTATTAAAGGTTGTTAAGCAAAATTTTGTTGCGGTGTGGCATACTCGTTAGCGTTGTATGATCATGCACTAAGCGATGCATATGTGAGAGCAATTTTGTTTTGCAAGGTATTACTGTGAATTCCGCTGTTGTACGTACTCTGTACATTACTAAAATTAATTACGTACTCCCGAGGTGTACAAAATTTGTCATAGCACGCTCTCGCAAACGTTCTCTAGTTATGTTCAAGTCTATACAGAGTATTCAGGCAACCCGAACCGTCAGATCTATGTCGTATTTTTGTGTCCGACTGCGATGCGCGCGCACTGCACCGGCTAACCAGAACTTGGTTACCAAACTCCATCAGCCTGTGACCGTTCACCATTATTCGTACAGTTAAAGATGCGAGCAAAGTCCGGCGTATTATTCAATATGCCGTTTACACGGTATTTTCCCGGACTGTGCGGATCCGTTAGAATCAACATCTTCTGCATTTCTGGACGATACTGTTCACACCAGCTCTGAAAAATAACAGTGCAGCTGCACACCTTAGGTGTTTCTTTTCGTATCCAAAAATCTCTTACGTATGCGTGCGCCAAGTAAAACATTTTCTCAAATGGGACATTCTCAAATCCGGGAAGGGCTTTCATCGCAACACCATCGCGCTCCAGTTTTCGGTATGCCTAGTATTAGATTCGGATACGGTTGTATTAAGTGGAAAATTTGTTATACAAAATATGCTGTTTCTTACCAGAAGTGCTGCTTTGAAACCACCACCATCGGCAATATTTTCGCCCTGTGTCAGATTTCCATTGACGTGCAGGCCAAAGCTTTCGTACGCATTGTACTGCTGGACAACACCCGTCGCTTTACGATCGTACTCAGCTTTATCTGCCGCGGTCCACCAGTCTCGAAGATTGCCGTCTTTGTCAAACATTGCACCTTCAAAAAAATAACATAGTGTGGTCGTCATCTGCTGTGAATGACATTATTTTTGGTAATTATATATAAGAGAGAAATACAGTAAAAGAACATACCCGTATCGTCAAATCCATGCGTTAGCTCGTGTCCCACAACAGCACCCATCCCGGCATAGTTGATATACTCTGGTAGCTCGGCATCGAAATATGGATACTGCGAGATTCCCGCTAATATCGCTGTAAAATAGCACCTCTATACAGTTTATACAATAAATTACATGTTCGCGTACAATGTATGACAAAAAAAACAGAACTCAGTCAGTCGATTCAATTTGCAAAATTGTAAGTGAAATCGCTAAGCAGTGTGCGAAAACACATTCGGTGTGCTTCCATCGACATTATTGTTTCAGAAGAAAGAAGCTATTTCAGTCACTTACGTACTATGCCTATAAACGAAGCATTAGATTATTTAGCATACATTGTCCGAAACCCACAATGGGCGCCCCTCATTCCACCTCAGCTCCGGATTGCTTACCTATACCGTTAATACTGTTCTCGTAAAACGCATTCACTTCGGATGTAGCCATCGCGGTTTCCATCAGTTCTAATCTTGTTGGAACACGATCTAATCGACGAACTACCGTGAGGTAATTCAAATTCTTTCCAAACCGGGCAAGTTCGAATAACGACGCATTGGACTGAGCCTGAAAAACTTTGTTTAGCACTTGGCATTCAAACTGATTCCTTCGATGGGGTCGGATGGGCATCATCTATCTTACATAGTAAGTGAAAAATTGTTAAAACAACTTTTCATACTGTGATCGAGCACCGACCTGGCCGTAATCGCGATCGAGTTTTGCTGGATCCGAGAACGAATCGGAATACAGTTCAAACTCGGCAATATTATCTAGTTTAGCGATAGCGTGCTCCTTGGTTTTGCTGCCCATCCAGGTGGTGCTGCCGATTATCTCTCGCATTGCCGCTTTCAAATCTTTTACCATTTTCTGGAGGGATGTCCGTGCTTCTTTAGAAACCGCTTTATCGACATACAGAGCACCGGTCGGTACCGGAAACAAAACCGAAACGTAACCGATGCAGTCTTTCCAGCGCGGTTGCTGTTCATCCATACCAGTGATCTTGCGGCTGTATTCTTCGAAAAACTTTCGGATGAAAAATGGTAGTGTATAGCTGTACATATCCAACAATCGCCAGCCGAGAAAGTTCATTAATCCTCGTCGGGCTGCCGGATCATTTTCCAGTTTTAGAAGACGATTATCCAACGCCATAAATGCGTCCGGATTCGTTACATAAATTTCCGTATCGGATGTTATCGGGTAAGTGACGTTGCTGTTAGAAATCATATTCTGCAGTAGAGTGGTAAAGTTCTTGGCAAGCATGGATTTGGAAAAATACCGAGACTGGAAGTGGGCTACGGTCATATTAGCGTACGCTTGTTTTGGATTTCTTGCAGTAGCTGCCGGTAGCGAAATCTAAAGTTAGCGCAGAAACACAGCGTTAGTCCTTTCTAATACAATAATGCCAGCGGTAAGCTTACGTTGGCCAGAAAGGTCATCCATTCAACGACACTGGCAGCATCGTTTTGCAAACTGGTTCGATTAAGGATTGTTGAGGCGTTCGTGGATTTTAAAAGCGTTTCTACAACACCACTGAACATGTCCAGTGTACCGTTCACGTACAGATCTAGAGTTGGCCCATCGACAATATCCTTTTCAAATCCGGAATCGACTCCCAGGAATATCAACATCTGCGATGAATTAGAGAGGGAATGGTCCACAGACAACTGCACCAGGTGACGCGCATTGTACAATGCCGACAACCGAAACAGATAATCGGCAATGGGCACCGTTGTATCTTTCCACGCAGGATTGATCGCTGGCCATTGGCCAATGGTTTCGGTAAAAGCTTTCAGTGCAAAACTTACGCCATCATCATTAATACTTTCTGCAACAGACATCGCGCTTAGCAATAAACTAGTGTGAGAGGCAGGTTGTCGTCGTATGGTCTGCACCTTCGTTAACGCACTTCTTAAAGAAATCTTTCACCACAGCTTTGGATCTAAAGATGTTTTCCGATGCAGTATCGTTCAGAACACCTGTGCAATATTAAATCTTGCAAAGCCGGTAGTAATTGCAAGCACAATAAATGGATTCAGAAGGCAATAAATAAATGGCACAATAAATGGATTCAGAAGGCTGATCAGAGTGACCATGCTACCTCGAAGCTGCTCGGTAGCCGTATCGTCCATTTCCTGCATAAGTGAGACGCTGGCTTTATCCGCTGGCATAGGATGCGATTTTATCCAGTTATTGCATGTGTAGGCAAAGAAGTCTTCGCAAGGATCCACTTTTGTATCAAGGGAGGATAATAAATCCTGTCCTGCTTATAAGACAAGAATTTTGTACAACGGAAGATGGCAATATCGGGAAGATTTCCCGGTTAACTAAACCTGAAACGCCCAAGTAATTCGTACTAAGCGCTCTTAAACCATTTGCATCAATGATATATTATTTCGGTGGTATGCACATTATGAACTGCAATCTTAATATCGGAAGAAAATCCAAGACATACGAGTCAAAACAATAAAAAAATCAACGGAGATAATAATTATGAAGTAAAAAACGTTACGTGTATTACGTAGAAACGTCTGACAGCCATACCTGCCCGGCGACACATCGCACTTTCGCAAACGTTGGTATTGGTTGTCTTAGCTGTCACAGTGGGCACGCCATGCCCAACGGATACCGGCGATTTCGTACCAATCTCGAACTTCTCATTGGTGGTATTCATTACAGTCGGCAACCCGGAGATGACTATGCTCAACATCATGGCAAGCGACTGGATGCACCCTAGTATATCTCCAATGAAAAACATGTTAACAGATTCCGCGGAACGTAAATTTTGTCAATGCGCCCGAGCACCTTAAATTAGATCTGCTGTTGTACCGGTACATGCAATGCCGGTCCCATAGCCTGGCTCGTTTAGTGTTTTGTTGATTTAGCACGACATGCAGAGCGGCCTCGTCTTGCTAGTCAAATTTACTCGCGCCATCTTTTGTCCAGATTGTTTAATTTGTTGGAAAACGTTCTGGATATGCTTTGCTATTTTCTGTGGAGTTTGTTTGTGCGGGTAATTGATGCCTTCACTATTTTCTGTGAAGTTTGTTGGTTTGTGTGGATGATTGCACCGATGGCACGCGCCTCTGATAAACGAGAACAAGGTGCTGCTCGTCTTGCAATGACCTGTAACCAGCCGCTTTTCATACTTGAATTACAGACTGTATTCGCATAGGAATGGCTGAACAAAAGAAACTTGCTAACGTTCACGTTTTTCTCCGAAGGTCTGGTTTTAAAGCATGCGTCTGTGCAAACAACTCAAATCCACACGAAATGTGCGGCGCTCGTGCTTTGATGACGCATGACGGCATTTAAGGATGAAAGACAACCTTGTTTAAAACTGAATTGCAGTAGAAACATTCCTTGATTGCGCTGACGATGATGTGTGAGCTATAACGGAGGTACTGAAGGGTCTGTGCTTTATGGGTGACGAAACGCTATGCTAGTGTAACGTCCTTCGCGAGGCCGCTTCTTTCGCTGGCTTGATTACAAAAATACAACAAAGCTACACTACGTAGTGTAACTACATCCGCGGAGTGTCTCCTTGTTGTACAGTATCGAGCCAGCGATAGAATCTGAAATATTTTAAAGTAACACTTTTAATGAAATCTGTAATTTTAAAGTTTGAACAAAGTGCAGATTAAATGTGAAATATGCGCAAAAATGGGAAATAAAATTTAGAAAACGTCAGTGGACTTTGGCATTATATCCAAGCAAACGTATTATGTTTTTATTACGGTCGTACTCGACACGGAATGTTAGTAAGTGATTGTTTCTGAATAGCATCTATGATGAGCTAGTCGAAACACCATCACACGCCTGGCGTCAACTCAATTTCACTCATAAAAGGGGTACAGTTATAAAACAATTAGTATCATTCTCTTATATTTGCCATCAGTTATAAAACTTTTAAAACATGAGTTTAAAAAATTAAATAATTGTCAGTGAGCAATGAAGCAAAACGGATTCCGTAATACTGGTGGTTAACACGAATACTGGTCATCAAGCACAGACACACACACAATCCATTCCGATTTCTACCGTTCAAATTTACATCCGAAGCCTGTGTTGAGCACACCGCCCTAGTATCACCCAAATGCCCGTTTTCAAGCTGGCTGCCCAATATCCACCAGCATCCATGTATACAGCGGTCGTGATTCAAAGGCGCGGACAATGTACGTCACACTGGACAGCCCATCCGTATCGAACCGCTCTGCAGCGCTTTCCAAAAGTGCGTAGCGCTCGGGGTTTTTTGGATTGCCGGTATCGCTGCCATGTTTGATCATAGTGTACTGACCAACATCCACCGGTGATCTGTCCCAGTCGCCGATTTTCGCGTTAACACGCGCAAACAGATCGTCGTCTTCCCCACCTATAAAAGCAAGCACATCATGGTCCACAGTTCCGAATGCATCATTATACCCTCAATATTCGTAATTAAAGCCGGCTCGAACAAAGCTACTCGCACAGCTTCAGATTGCTTGAAAGCTTACGGTTTTGCAGTGAATGATATACTTATGGAAAGCGCCGCTGATTTTTATGGAAAAGGGTTTCTTGATATTTTAAAATTAAATTTTAAAATTAAAATTTATTTTAAAATTACAGCTGTGTAATTTCGCATTTTCAGCAGTTTTGTCGAAGTCAAGTCGTTGTTATATGTACAATGTAGCATTCCGGGGAGAACAGCTTAGAAAAAAATTCTAAACTATGTATAAAAACACTGTTGACTAGTTTACAATGCATACATTTTATTTTCATTTTTCATGATGCATGCTAGCCTTTTGTATCGCCAGCTATGACTTATCAGTATGCGCCAACGGCGGTAGTGTGGCCGAGAACCGAGATAGCAGATGGGTTTCAGATTTGCTCTGTATAAGGGACGGTAGGCTTTTACGGTACTTACCCCAGCCCCAGTACAGATTAGAAAATCCGTTAATACTTCTAAACTGCTGACTGGTGAAGGACACCACGCCGCCGAAATAGATGGCGTACATGGCCTTGTATTTAAATTTCTCCAGGGCAGTGGATAACAATGTCGGGGATTCCGGACAGTTGTAGGAGTTTTTATCGTTCTCCGGTATCATATCAACGTCATGGAAGACAAAGCAGGTGTAATCACGGATCTTATTGGCCTCCAGGAACCCCACATTAAACAATTTGGCTGTAAATAAAAGTCGAGAGCATTGTAAGCATAAATACAAGCAGCTTATAGCTATTTTTCAACATCTGTATTAATAATCAAAGTAATAATTTCAATACGAGTGGGGTGGTTATACATCAGAATGGAGGGTTAATGACATAGAACGGAGGATCAGAGCTGACTGCAGTTCTGGTCTCCGTTCCGCATATTAAATTCGACTGTCAGCTTGACAGACTGACTTCACTTTAATCGTAAAATTCAACATGTATTTTTAGTACTGAAGTCTTGAAGTTTTAAAATAAATTCAAGGCAAGACGCAGCGAGTCTTAAAGTTTTAAATTGTTTACAGTTCCACTCTTGAGTAGCGACGTAACGTACCGCGGTTAAACGTTTCGTCTCCAGCTTGCTCTACAATAAAAATCCTGTAATCCAATTGCTGCCGTTGCAGAAAAGGGTGAAGATGATTCAGGAAAACTTCTAAAAAACAGAGTAATCATAAGATCTGAATTCGCCAGACGTTCAACGAACAGCTATCACTTTTGCATGCCCCTGCTCATAACTGACGACAAATTCTGAAAAAAAGTGTTTCGTGTTTTCAGTGTTCTCAGTACGTTGCCGATCTGATTCTGTTGGCTTTCCTAAGTTTTCCGAACAGCACATGCATCTGATCAAACGGCTTAAATTTCGGGGTGGTACTATTTTTCAAACAGTATTTTTCGGAGGGGGGCGCTGTTTTTCAAACCACTGCGCATCGTGTTTTATGGAAATTGAACCCAGTAGATACCGATATTTGCAGTTTCACAACCTTGGGAGCAGCATTCTGAAATTTAGCGCCACATTATTTTTGTGACCGTTTACTGTTTATTCGTTAAATCATAACAATTATTATGAAGCAATTTTGCGAATTTAATTGGGCGGCGGCGCTATTTTTCAAACGGGTTATGGAGGGGCTTATTACGAGGGGCCTTATTATGGGGGGAGGTGCAAATTCGATAATTACGGTAATCAAACGGTTAATGTTCATGTGAATTACAAAAACAGGACGATAAAAGTTAAGAAGCCAACAAGGCCGCCACTACTGCGAAACGGGCTCGAAAATCGCCGTTACAATATCGCCCGGCAAACTAGAATAACAGCTGCAACTCCTACGCGGACTACTATTTTTACACAGTTATACTACCGTTCGCAAAAGGAAAGAACTCACGCAAGTGTTCAGTGCGATTGCGGTAGACAACCAACACGGCCAACCGATGCCGTCCCCGCTGCACGCAGTGATCAGGATTCCAGTGTCCTCCGTGTTGCACCTGCGGATTGTCCGCGATTATATCCGCATCTGAGCGCACAGCCAAGTTGACACGCTGTCGTCCAATCAGCGTTGCGGGAGCCTTGTCGCACAGCTGTACAATATCCGACCCATTGAGGGGGTCGTGCTGATCGTAGAAGATACGCCAGCGCACGGGACGATGGTGGTAGGCATCGTAATACCCGCTGGCATTGCACACATACTCCTCGTTGTCTTCCAGGGGAAAGGGTGCAGGGGAAGGACAGTTGCGGGGTCGGTGTCTGCTTACCGATACGATGAACACGAAAATCCATAGGAGGGTGGCAAAGGAGAAGGCGCAACTGAAGAGGAGAAAAGCGATGCGGCGGGGACGAGGTAGCTTCCAACGAGTGTTGCGGAATGCCGACAGCGTTGAATCAGCACCTGTGGGGATCTCATGGCAGCGGGTGTTGATGCAACACTTCACCCTGCACTGACGGAAACAACGCGTCCCCATTATTCTTGCGATCGGCGATGATCATTCCGGAGTATGTAAGAAATTTTCGACTGCACGCTCATAGCAGTGACTAGTGAGTTAAGTAAGCCATGTTCGTTGTTGAGGGAAGAGAGCAACAAGACTTCACGCAGAATGTAAATGCTCCCCTGATAAAAGGGTAACCAGACTTTCACATGCGTCAATCAATCCGGTTTTCGGAAATCACCTTTCGCGTTCCTTGAAAGGAAAATCGTGACATGTATTTTAAATCGGTCATGCACCGACAAAACTGTATAAAATTCGATCAACAGGCAAACATAAAACGCATACCGTAACACATGATTATTCAGAAAAGACAGGTCTGCAATCTCTGCAGTCTACACACAAGTGCGAACAAGTCTACACACGGTGGTGTGATGGATCGGACGAGATACCAAAGAATCTGTGACACTAGGGACTTTCTGTTAATTATTTGCTCAAGTTATCGCACGCTAACTTACGATAAAGTGCTGGTACACAAACCTTGAGTACGGTAATCGCCAATGAAGCATAGATAACTATCCAATAACTGCAAGCGTAACGGCTGTGATGTTATACAATGCTTGGAATTCCTTGAATACAGAACATGCTACTCCTACAATAACACTACAATAACATATGACACATGCAGTAATACTAATGCCCCGCGTACGATTAACGTTAAGCCACACTCGATAATTATAAAGCCCAACGTTGGACCAAATTTCAAAAATTACGAGTTTGAATACGGACGTCAATTGCAGCGTATATTAGCATGGTATACCTGCTGATGAATTCTACAATAAATGGTGTAGAACGCACCAGTATAATAATTACTGCGATGGCATAATTCGCTAACGTAGTACTTATTTCTTGAGAAAATCTTTTACCATATGTCCACAGGTGTTCTCCTGTTCTGCAGCGTTCAGTACACTTTATCCTCGGAAAAGTAATTTGGAAAAAACCGGTAACGTAAACAAATTATTGATACAAAAATTTACCGAGAAATTGATCGTTAACACCATCTTTCGTTCCTGAAATGACTGAGACGCTGGATTCAATCGAAGCACAGACAAATGAGACAATACGCGGTTTTATCCAGTTACTGCATGTTTAGACGAAGAAAATCGTTAAAATTTATGTTAGTATCACTCATTATAAATGAGTAACCTAATATTATCTGATCGTATGCAACCATTACACCGATCCTTTATTTGATGATGCACAGGGCCGAAGTCCTGTGTCACTACTTCTGACGTATGTGTGACCGATGTGCCCTGTGTGGTACAGTACTTAAAACATTGTCAGTACTCATGGTCAGTAATGCACAATACGGCGGCAAGGGTATTGGCTAGTTATAGGATGCTTGTACATTGTCAAATTTTATCAAAAATTGTAGCACAGATCCAGCACGGCTGTATCAAAGGAAGACTGGAAATTCTGACTTGCTTATAAGATAACAATACGCTCACTCAAAAATCGCAAAGTCCTGGAAGGCTGGACTACTTTTTACGCTTACTACAAGTTGCGCGCATTTCTTATGGAATTAAAGTTGCTTGGTCTGACTACGAGTAGGTGGTCATACAACAGCGAATAAGTATACAACTAGTATTAGGCCTTCCGAAAAAGCCCGAAAATGAAGCAAAGCAAAACGTGAATCTGAGGCGCTTTCTAACAAATAAAAATCAGTTACTCTGCAACAGTCACAATTTTGCTCGCTGACAGTTGAAGTAAGTCTAACATTTTTCGCTCGCTGTCAATTGAAGTAACTCTAAGATTTTATTAACTGCTCAAAAACCACAAGCTGTAAGCTACAGTGCACGAAAACTCAGAAGTGATCGATGTAACAATACCGGTTTCACAACTCTCAAACAAGGACGAATATCTCTGTTAGCCAATTAAGACAGCCATTAATTTTTCTTCCATGCTCACAACAAGATTGTCTATCACAAATCCACCTCTGAGCAATGCATAACAGTAGTGACAGCACCACACAAATGCCAGCTTTCACCGCGGCTGACCAACATCCACCAGAATCCACGTGTACAACGGTCGCCGTTCAATGGTGAGGGCGGCATACGTAACACTGGACAGCCATCTGTATCAAGCCGTTCGGCTGCGGTACCCAAAAGTTTGTGACGTTCGGGATTTTGCGGATTGCCGACATCATTGCCATGCTTAATCATGGTGTACTGACCGATATCCACCGGTGCCTTGTTCCATGCGCCGATTCTCGCATTTACACGCGCAAGTAGATCATCATCTTCCGCACCTACGATGACAAATGACGATCATTACGATCCCCAAGGCCACTGCATTCGCATTCACGTTTAGCAACTGCTTCACAGTGAGTTAGAAAATTCTCCGATTTTCCTCATAATTTGGTCACTTCAGTTTCAAGCACACGTTTTGTTTTAATATGTTTAATTTTGGTCTGCTGACAAAACGAAGTTACCAGAAATGAATAGTTATAGTAAAAAACGTCGCGCATGTATTTCTAAGCACAAACATCAACAAATTTCCGTAAAACAATAAAACGAAGAACGGGCATTGGACCGGCGCAATGTAAAAGTACTGTAATGTACTCTTCTACATTTACAAATTTCAACAATTTCGATTTATTTTGGTAACCGCAGAGCAGTGAAGAACACGACGATCAGCAGCTCATCCTCGTACGCTCTCGTACGATCTCCTCGTACGAAAAAACTCCTCGTACGATCAGCAGCTATTAATGTAGCGCCACATGAGGGTTGGTGCCAGCGACCGGTGATCAAAATATAAAACCGTACACTTACAACCAAAATAGGAGAAAAATCGGTGTACCCCTAAGGTAGAAATCGGTGTACCCCGGTGTACCCCTAAGGTAGAAAAATCGGTGTACCCCTAAGGTAGAAATTAATCACCCGGCTTGTACATATATAATTCGCGTATTCGTATCCAAATGTACAGAAGCTTTCACCGAACGTAACCGAATGACATATATGCACCGGCGTGAAACTTAAGGATATTTTCGGCATACAAATTAACGTACAAAAGGAATACTTCCAATGCGCATGCTAAAAGCGTTTGCCGGGTCGCACTGAGAACCGGGTTTGAGCACAAATGTGCTAATTTGCATGAAATGATTGAAATGAAGCCTGGGTATTTTAATTCTAACGATCTATCCGGCATCTGCTAATTAAGCGCTATTTAACGCTTTTACCACTCAACGATCGGTTGCAAGAAATATTTTGTCACACAGACTGTGCACTGTTTTCTCACACTAGTGACAGAGTACCGTAAAGGTCGTAGCCTGGGGCAAACGCAGTGTGTAAAGCGGCTCATGTTTCCCATTTTTTAGGCTGCATTCTTGTATGAGCATATTTTACTTACCCCAGCCCCAATACAGGTTTGAAAAGCCATTAATTTCTCGAAAATGGTGACTGGCAAAGGACACCACTCCGCCAAAATGGTGGGCGTACATCGGCTGATAATTAACTTTTTGTATGGCTCTTGCTAACAATGTCGGGTATTCCGGACAGTTGTAGGAGTTTCTGTCATTTTCCGGTAGCAGATCCACATCATTAAAGACGAAACAGGTGTAATTACGGAGCTTATTGGTCTCCAAAAATCCCGCATTAAACACTTTGCCTCCAATAAAACAGAAGAGCACACATAACGCAATAAGCCTACAAAACATTTCTGACTACTTCGAGTTCTCAGGTCCCTTAAAAGAAGATAAAACCGACAATTCTAAACATCTGACGATTTTAAGAATGAAAAATTTAAGAATTAATTTTAAGAAAGTTAATACAAAATACTGATTTAAAAATCTAACAAATTCGAGAAACCAGTGTTCTGCTGCTGCTAATAACGGCGGCTTAGGTGCGGCAAATTCGTCAACATGCGGTTTCGACCATACTGCGGCAAAATAATAAATAGCCACTTCATTCCCGTCTAATCATTCTTCAATATTGTATAAACTTATAAACACATACAAACATATTAATATACAGTACATATAAACATATTTCTATACATATACAGTACGAGCCCATTCTTGCGCTACTGACTCTTTTAAACGAAAGCCTAACCAGTTGCGCTTTGAGTCAAACATGGTGACGGAAATCGAAGAATGCTCGTGGTGGTAAACCAGTAATTTTATGCTGTCAAAAAAGATGGGCTATTATAGCTGCTAAAATGTAGCATGCACACAACAATTACAACTACTCGTACTTGTACCACAAACTACCGAGATACAGGGCGCTCTGAATAATCTATCATAAGTGTACATACGAACTTACGAATAGTGATGCACCATACCTTTATTGAATACACCATTTCCGGCTTGCTCCACAACGAAAAGGGTGTAATCCAACTGCTGCCTTTGAAGAAATGGATGCAAAGTATTCAATAAAACTTCTGAAAATAAAAAATTATTAATTCGAGAACCAATGTAACAACTAACAATGACAAAATCAGGGCAGTTAGAAGTCAACATAAAAACAACTGGATAGTGGCTGTAAAATTTAGCTCTCCACGTACGTTACGTTAAAATTATGACGTGTTACGAGAAAATCGTAATGGAAAAACATCGTTGGACCCTCAAGTTCTGCAGATTTCAAGCTATCCTAATCGGATTTAGGGTTTCTTCAGATACATTTTCTGAAAATCCTCTAAAACTTCTTCACGGTTGCCATGACTATGTTTTACCAAGACATTAGAATTTGCTGTTTCGGACAGCGGATAAAGATATTTTAAGTGTACGACGACGCAACGACGGTAATGATTTTTTTTTAATTTCTCCTGGAAAAACGCTAAATCCGAATTTTCCGGAAAAAAGCCTTAAAGATAGATCAGGATATTGTAATGCAAATACACTAGCCGCAAAATAGTGACAGCGTTTATTCTCATCGATTGGAGAATCAAGTCATCGAACAGTGAACATTTAAGTAAGTATAATTCATTTTAATTTGTCATGCTTAGTGAGATTAATGGAATGGCTGCACATTCTGCACTGTACAGTATTTTGTCGACGCAGACTGAAATACAATGCAGTCGTGACATTCTAGGTACGAGTAAGTAAGGTACCTATCCCGCAAACCCGTGTAAACTTTTTCTGGCCTACGAAGTCGACAAACGACACGGAGTGAAAGTTCTCACTATCATCCCTCTCCTAAATTCTGAATCGTCAAATTTGCTAGCAGAATCTATTAGCACATTGTGTTAAATACAGCAGGGTTGTGAATTCTGCTTTTGTGTCAAAACTGCATTGTCTGACACGTTTAATCTCTAAGCTTCCAAAACATTATGACGCCGCGCTGTAATTTCGACGAAATTGATCCAGGTTTCAGTAGTAGCACGAGAACGTAAAAGTAAATAACGACCCACCCCACTAACACCAGCATAGAACTGCCAAAACACAGTATCTTGTGATAGATTGCGAGTATCAAAAGGAGAACACTCACGCAGATGTTCTGCGCGATTGCGGTAGGCCACTATAACAGCCAACCGACGCCGTCCTCGCTGCACGCAGTGTGTGGGACGCCAGTGCCCTCCACGCTGCACATGCGGATTATCTGTGAGGATCTCCGCATCCGTGCGCACCGCCATGGGGACACGCTGCCGTCCAATCAGCGTCGCGGGGGTCTTGTCGCAAAGCGGCGTAATATCCGACCCATTAAGGGGATCCTGCTGATCATAGAAGATCCGCCAGCGCACGGGACGATGGTGGTAGGCATCGTAATACCCGCTGGCATTGCACACGTATTCCTCATTGTCTTCCAAGGGAAAAAGCGCAGGGGAGGGGCAGTGTCTGGGATAGTGCCTGTCTAATGAGGCGATGAAAGGGAGAACTGAGAAAAGCGTGGTGAGGGAAAGGGTGCAGCAGAAGATCAGGGGGAGGATGCGGCGGAGTCGCGCTGGCGCCCAGCTGTTGAGATGGGATGTTAAGAACGATCGAGCAGAGCTCATGATGATCTGATGATATGGGCCTCCCACATCATTAATATACGCTCATCCAGACTGTAGAGAGTAGCTACGCCTGAGTGCGCTACATTGATTCAACTATTACTTGTTGGAGGATGGCAGTCACTGCGAAAAGATGAAAATACAGGAACTGCCAACAAGCTAAAGCTTTGCTGATAAAGCGAGAAAATTTTTCAGCTTCAAGTTCAACCCGCACAGGGTGTTAGGAATTTAGGAGGTAAGGCCAAGTTGAATCACCACCTGCGCTTTAACAGGAAGGATAGCGACACGCAATTAAAATCAGCTTTGCGCTAAAAAAATTAATCTAAAACGTATTAAGTACAATGAAGTTATCAATAGCAAAATCAAATGTTTGCTGCGCATGTTCAATGTGCACAAACATGCACCACGGAGAAGATTTATATACGGTGATGTTTTCGATGCATCAGAGCAGCAAAACTGTAGCACTGCTTTTCAAATACTCTCATTTACTCATTTCGGCGATTTCGCAAAAGGCGAGAAGGATCGGTAACGTCCGCTTAACGCACAATTGGTACTTACCTGCTACAGTGACTGCATGGAATTTTTACGGTGGAAACCGGAAATTCAGTATAATGCGTAATTGCAACCCAATATTAAACGTATTTTTAATATGTATTCGGTTGATGAAACGAAACCACCGGACTGTTTGAAGCTATAAAGCAGAATACCTTCCTAACTTTGTAGAAGTATTTTTTTTTCAAAATAAAATACTTTACAACTGTACAAGATTAAACATCCGGAGCCGTTCAACGTATCAGCGTACCTTACCGATATGATCGACCTTGGACCGAAACGGAACCCATACAGCTTGCGCAACGCCGACCAAGTGACCATCAAGAAGAGTGCGGCAACGAAGTGTGGGGAGACGACGCTATCCTGGAGACTGGGAAAACTTCTGGATAAAGTTAACGAAAGCGGCAGTAATATTCTTGATTTACCTACACTTGGCTGTTTTAGAACCGCTCTGTACACAACTAAATTCTGTTAATCTGTTTTAATGAATCGCTTTTTCGTATATGATGTATCGCTGTTTTGGTGTATGTGTATGGAGTCTTCAGGTCAGTTTCCCACTCACTGATGTTTTCTAATTAGCGTTTCGCCAGCCAGGTTTAAAATCCCAGGCTAGATGTCATCCTAGCCGGATATGGGCTACCTGCACTGACTCAAATTAAATTAAATTAAATTAACTATAAATAGCTTAAAACTTTACGGTACGATATGTGGGACTTCCGAATTGCATCGCGTCGTAGTGCGTAAGAAGCGCAATTACCCACTTCTATGCATAAACGACACCGTATGGCGTATTCCATAACAGTCGAAAACGCAACGCTAACGGATAGCAAGTTGAGAGTTTGTTCGCCGTACAACATAGCACTTGAACGCATTCAACAATTTGTGCACTAACACTATCTAAAAATATTAATATGCAATTTTTGCTATAACCTGCCGATCTGCAACGCAGTGGTTACTGGTTTCCGTTTTGTTGTCGTGGTTTTTACAGCTTTATGCACCGGAAGTACTATGATACTTTTATTACTGTATGTATCTGTAGCAATTGTCTGCAAGCTTTATTAGCGTAGAGAGCAAACGTACGCAGTTCACGAACGGCGGCATCGTTCCAGTTATTTGTGTTATGCGCAACATGGTTTTTGAACGCTTCTGCAAGTTTACCACATTAATCATTTGCAGGATTTCGCTTTCCTAAATCTCTATGCAAGAATGTATTGCATGTAGGGGAAAGCGTTACAAACATAATTAATTAATTATTAACGTTTTCCAACCCAGATTACAATAAAACAGTAATGTGAATTAAAGATCACTAATTTTATTTAATTTTTTATGGTTTTTGACTGTACGTGTATTAGTAGGTTGTAACTACAGACTGTATCACTGCTGCCATCATGCGTTTATCGGGTTTTGAATTTATGTAAAAGCAGCACAAACGGTAAGATGAAACCGGTCAACAAACACTGCAAAGCGAGAGGGTTTGGTTACTTCCGTTACGATTGTTGACATTAGCTGTGGTTCCTTTATAATGGACGTCAAGGTCATAACTCTATCGAAGAGAAAATACTCAAAGGTGCACGCTAGCTAACATTTAAAAGGTGATAGAAATTATTCTGCCATTCTGTCTATGTCTGAACAGCTGGAACCGATCCGAAATTTCTTTCAGGCAAAATTTTGATAACGTCAGCGCTTCACTGGCTGCAGCAGACTTGCAAAATATGGTGAAATTGTTTCGCAGTTTATGAAAATAACCAGCCGCAGCTGGTGGCCCCATCACTGCATGCAAGTAATTGTATCGAGAATAAAATTTTTACCGAGAACTGCGCAAACACAATGACCCTTTCCAACAATTCCGCTGATCCCTTTTTGAAGAATATTTTTATGATATGGACAATTATTCTGGCAATAAATGGGTATGGCAGCTTGCGACGTCCCAGTACCGATAACGGTTTTCTGACCTTCATTACGAGCCTAATACGGCTGCTATGGAGCGTATGGCTGACTTTTTTCATGTGGATCCAAGTCGTTATCGATATATTTACAGTGATCAGTGGTGCCCGCAAAACCACCTCACAGGAGCTCATCCTGCAGATGCTGGGTATCGCCAGTTCCGTGATGAGTCGTGTTGGATGGACGACACTCATGCTGATTTACCATGAATGGCAGGATATTGTCCAGGATATCTGTCGGGTGTGTGCTCCGTATCTGAACACCAAGACAAGGAAGAAACTGGTGTGCCTTGTCACGGTGCTTTGCCTGATTGCTGTACCACGCTTCTGGTACTTTGGTTACCGGTCCTTCTACGCTTTTCCCTTTCCAGCGGATTATTCCAAAAATGCGTTGATTAAGATGTGCGCGCGGGATCCCGGTTGTCAGAATTCGCACTGGCAGACTGTGGCGGCGATTGTGGCGTCGGTGGGCATTCAGATGGGTCGTTTGACCAGCGGGATTTGTGGTTCCACGATTGAGTACTTTGTTCCCACGCTGTGTCTGGTTCTGGGAATATCCTTTCGTGTACTGGTGAGAGAAATGGTGCTGCAGATGCGCAGCTTATTGGAACCGCGAAAAGGGTGTGGAGATTTCGTTGGGCATTATATGCAACGCTACCGTGTACTGGAGAAAATTGTACGGCGCTTGGACAAATTGTTGTCCGTGATTGTCTCGGCGCACTACTTCGGGCAGGCGTTGAAGTTGCTGGATACGCTGCGACCGCGGAAGAAGGGATACTTAGCGGTGACCGTAACCGAGGATTACATTATTAGCCTGTATGAGCATCCACTGCTGATCGGGTTACATGCTTGCGCCCTGATTTACCTCAACGAAAAGGTTGGTTGCATAATTGTATTGCATCACTATACAGGTGTTCCCGTTTTAACAGTGAGATCGTCGTAGGCCAAATCAGTCATCCACGTTCTAGAGGAAATACAAGCGGGAGACAGCGATCTGGATGCTGATCAACAGCTGCAGGTCGTCGGACATGTCAATCGTCTCGCGACAAGCAACATTGGAATGACACTGGCCGGCATCGCCACTGTCGATCGACAATTTATTTTATCAGTAAGTCAGGGTTTACTTCGTTTTTTTGAAATTATGAGATATCCATGTTGAATGTGTCAAGGCAACCTTTTGGTATCAGAAATGGCGCTGCTATCTGAGGAGGACTTAACTGTATTATTCTAATGGTGCAAAAATAAATTAATAAAATAATTATCAAATAATGTTGCAGCTCATTGGCGTGCTGGCTTCTTACATGATGATCCTAGCGGAATTAAATAAACCGGATGGAAAGAATAACCAGGCTGCCAGCGACATGTCTTGTGAAGTCATCGATACAATATGCCTGCGGTCTGAACGAGACTTCAACTTTAACTTCAGCATGGTTTCTTGAGTTCCTTGTATGGCGACAGGGGTTTACTTAAACTTCCAGTCGCAAATACGCATCCTACCTAATTATTTTACATGCATGATTCTAGCGTGGCAACAGTTGGCAATAGTCTACTGTACATGCTGTGACACCTACCAATTTGTGCAACTAGATGGAAATAGATGGAAATAGTAGAGTAGCTTTTAAAGAACATTAATATTTTATGCATGCGTGGAATTTCAGTTTTATGTCAATAGGCGCTCGTAGCTGGTATGACGGTGTTTTAGATATTACAGATTTATTAAAGTGGCGAGAAATCTTCGAAGTTGACAGTCAAAACAACGAGATCGTAAAAATTAAAGCAAAAAATAATCCCGGTCATTTTAAACCGAATAAATTTTCTTTATGACCCTTTAAACTTTACAGTTTACATCAAATTTTGCTGCATCGAAATAATAACCGTTCCAGAAGGCTTGGTGTTTAAACTCTGAAACGCTACCCTTGTTTTCTTTTCCCTGGCGATTGGATTACTCCCGCACGCATACTTGATCTGTGTCTGCCAACGGAAGTGTATATATGCTTAGGTGAAGCAGCACTAGTCGACTACCACTTTTGCCGCGTCCCTCCATGATTTTGATCTTTACTGATTCTAGCATCACCGTCTCAACTGCAACCGATGTGGTGGACACTATTTACAGAATTTCCCTTTGCACTTACAGCAGCAATCACGACTTTTTATCGCCCATCCGGCTATCGAAATATAACATGTCATACGTATTGTATCTAGGCTACTGGGTACAGCGCACATACAGATCTATGCATCAGCAAGCTCTCAATAAATCAGTCCACAATCCACAGAGAACTACAGTGCATTTTCTTGATTGTCTTTTGGTGACACCAGTTTCCCGCACAACCTCCGCATCTCGCCTATGATGGATCGACCGTTTTTAATGAATCTCATGACACCGTTGTCACTGGTCTTAACGTTATCTGGTTACGGTGGATTTCGGTCACCATTAGGAAAAATTGGGTTGGGCCAGTGTTTGACCCGCGCGCTAAGACTGCTGTGGAGCAGCTGCCTGCTTTTCGTCATGTGGGCTGACGGCGGCGTGGCCGTGTACAAAATCCTCGGTTCGGGACAGATCACACGTGATGACCTCATCCCAGTGGGCATTGAATTATTAACACAACTGACACGACGTGCAGGACCGACCTACTTGATGCTGACGTTCTCCCGTTGGATAAAGGTCACGGAAGATATCTACGCTATATGCTCGCCGTATTTGATTGTCAAACAACGATTACTCCTCATCATTTTGATGACAATGCTTTCCGGAACTGGGGTGTTATTAGTTGCTTATACAGCGTACAGCGCGTTTATTTTCTTCCCGGCTGTGACGAACCGTTCATGGGACGCGATGGTTAATTTATGCTCCAGCAATGCCGCTTGTGTGTCGTCCTACTGGAAAAGCCAGCTTGTCAATGCAGTGTCCGTTTTTGCGGCGGTGTGTTCTGTTGTCTGCGTCGTCGGAGCATACACGGTGTGCTGTTTCTTGTCGGTCCTTTGTACAGTTTTCGGGTTAACTTTTGCCTGTGTAATTCAAAAAATGCAGTTGGATTGCACCAGCAAAAGCGGAATCCAGACCGTAAATCAGCATATCATGCAGTACAGGATGATTGAAAAGCTGGTGCGCCGTTTGGATGCAGTAGTTGCATTCTCTACACTGGTTCTGTACATGGGACAAGTTCTTGAACTGCTGGATTTGCTTAGGCCTAGAAAACCCTTCGAATACCGAAACACACCAGCGGAATACGGCATCCATGTCGCCGAGCATGTATTCGTTCTCTTGTTGAGCGCTGTAACACATCTCTTTCTACATGATCAGGTGAGCGGGCGCAGCCGGTGAAAGCTAAGGATTACCAATTTTGTGTTAAATCTATTAAAAAGAAACTTTTAATTATTTAGAGTAATTAATTGTCAATACATTTATCAGTATTATTATTTATACAATTAACTATCGTAGCCGAACTCATTTACGATAGAAACGAATGAAGGTAAAGGTAGTTTCACTTTGCAGGCAAAAACGATCATTCCCCTTTTACACGAATTACTGGCCGATGCCACCGACCTTCGGTTTGATCAGCGGTGTAAGATTTTCGGTCAACTTAATCATTGGTCAACCAATTGTGCAGGCTTTACGCTCTGGAACACGCTCGTGGCGAATCGTGAATTTATGGTGTCGGTAAGTCCTTATTATCTGTTAATGTCTGCGGCATAAATGTGACTTTCATCACTTCTCCGTTTTTCAGCTGTTTGGAATTATTGTGACATACGCTCTCGTGCTGGAAGAACTAGCCGAAGCCGACGTGAATGCCAGTCGACACCGCAGGAATATTACAAGTTGCGTTGATCGATTTTGGGTAGCCACTGTCTACGCCAGATGTGCGATAACATGACACGAGTACCCGGCTATATTTAACGTTTCTTGGTTATACCTTTGGTGCAACAGATGTATTAAAATCTGTTAGTTTTCTTATTTGTCGATTCTTTCAAGTGGGAAAACTCCATGTTTCTGCAGTATCTGGCAGAAATATGTCACAGAATCATAATCTGTAGCCGGAGCATGAACTGAAAAGTGCTGCAACGATACAAGGGTTAAACCTCGAATTAGATTTTATCATCCTTTATAAAAACCGCGAAACCAAAGCTCTTGTCTGCTTTAACGGTTCATGCATTAGATTCGTGCGTTGCCTTTGAAGTTGTTGAAAATCGCAGTTCAGTGAGATAATTTATATGTAGTTTTTTACTAATCAAGGGAAATGCTTTTTGACGTGCGATCCAGCCGGTGTATTCAAAAATATTGTAGCACGAATCAATGCATGTGGATGGTAGAAGATTCCAAACTTCCTTAATTTTGGCCTAACTGCTTCCCTAATTCAGGCCTTTCAAATTAAACCGAGTGTCGCTGTGCTAGACGATCGAAGTAATTTAGTATTATAACATTTTGACATCCCGCTATTACGCAATGTCGGCTTAATGCAACCTGTTGTGCTAACCGGACAGAATAGCTGCTTAGAATAGGTTATATCGTCACTGGCATGTCATGAACCGCGTCATTGGTGACGGCGGTTATCGCGAGTTTATGGTGTTACTCGGTGTAATGTTGCTTCTGTATTTGAACAGTGCTTCCTGTTGCATAATCATATGGTGATAGTGGCACAGGAGAAAAAAGGAGGATTGGGCAGCACCACAACGCCCCAGAAAATCATCCAGATACTTTAACGCCAATCTAACCCACAGTCCCATTTTTTAAATTTTAACGTCACGGGAAATAATAGCGCCCATAGCTGGTTCGGGTTGCGAATTCTTTAAGCGCATTATAACAGTCTTATCGTAGGTAGTTAATAATATCGAGCATTGAAAAACATGGACTAAAAAATCGAAGTACAACAAAATCGCAATAATAATGAGGATGATTACAAAATTTCAGTTTTTCACTTACGCATGTCCTCTTTTCAATTTTCCTCTTACGACTATGACCTTTACAGTTTTGCGGTTGTCTAATAAGACCGTACTAAGAAGAATTTTTAAGCTTGAGCTGAGAACTGTTGTCCATATTTCCTCTCTGATGATTGGATTGCTCTCGGTGCCCACCTGTTCCTTCTCTGCAGAGACAGCAAAGTGCATGTATACATAACACTAGAGAACTAGCACTTTTTGTAGCATTTCCCCTTGTGCTGATTCTTACATTTCATTTGATGTGACGGTTATTGTTTACAGAATTTTCCCTTTGCAATTAAACTAACTGCGAGTTTTTATTACCCTTTCGGGCTATCGAATATGCACTGTCATGCTGTATCCTGGCAGATACGTCCAATTTATCCAAATATTAGCTACCATCCCCTAAATCATTCCAAAGCGAATTATACATGCCTGATGGTTCCCTGGTCACAGGCCCACAGCTGTTACAAGCACAACCTTCACATTGGCCGACGACGATGGATCGACCGTTCTTAATGACTCTATTGACGCCGTGGACAGTGGTCTTAAAAATATCCGGATACGGTGGTTTTCGTCTACCGTTTGGAACTAATGGGATGAGCCAGTGCATAGTCGGAGCGCTAAGATTATTCTGGGCCATTATTCTGCTTTTCGTCATGTGGGCTGACGCCGGCTTTTCGATGTACATAATCCTATGTTCAGGACAGATCACTCGCGATGACCTCATCCCTATGGGCATCGAGTTATCCACACAAGTGGCACGCTGTATGGGACCGACCTATCTGATGCTGACGTTTTCCCGCTGGACAAAGATCACGGAAGACATCCATCTCATATGCTCGTCGTACTGGACTGCAAAGAAACGTTTTTTGCTCATAATTTTCGTGACACTGCTTTCGGGAGCAGGTACCTTATTAACCGCTTACACAGGATACAGCGCTTTTATTTTCTTTCCAACCGTGACGAATCGCTCGTGGGATGTGCTGGTCATTATGTGCGACAGCAGTGCCGTGTGTGGGAACTGGAAAAGCCGGCTGGTCGAAGGAACGTCGATTTTCATGGCGATTTGCTCGGTTGTTAGCGTCGTCGGCGCGTATACGGCTTACTGTTTCCTGTCGGTCATCTGTATAGTTTTTGGAGTTTGTTTTGCCAGTATTATCGGACAAATGCAGCTGGATTATAGTGGCGGTACTCAGACCGTGGGTCAGCATGTTAAGAAATACCGGGTGATTGAAAAACTGGTGCGTCGTCTGGATGTATCAGTATCGTTCGCTACGCTGGTTCTCTACGTGGGGCAAGTTTTCGAACTGCTGAATTTGATTAGGCCCCGGAAACCGTTCGAATACCAAATTACACCAGAAGAATATGGTGTCCACGTCGCCGAGCATGTTTTTGTCCTTCTGGTGAACGCATTTGCACATCTCTTTCTATATGATCAGGTCAGTGAACAAATAAATGCTTAACACATTATTTATTAATGAAATTGGCAAGTGTAATTCAACACAATTAATAATTGCTTAATCATAAATCAAAAATGCACAGAAAGAAATTTTCATTAGTTATTAGCGAATTAAAAATATTTGGTATTTATTTCCACGATATAAATAACGCAGACCACTACTGCTGAAGACGAATTATTTTCATAAATACCGTAATCAAAATTTACGACAACAAGTGGTAAGAAAGGCTTATGTATGCAGGCTAAAAAAATAGTCCCACTTTTGCACGAGCTACTGGCCGATGCTACCGATCTACGGTTTGACCAGCGGTGCCGAATTACCGGCCAGCTTAACCATTGGTCGTCCAGCTGCATGGGATTTACGCTCTGGAGTACGGTTGTAGTGAATCGTGAATTTATGGCGTCAGTAAGTAGTTATTGGCATATGATATTGGTGACCTGTGTGCGACCTGGTCACCGTTTGCGATTCGTTTCAGTTGTTTGGCATTCTTGTGACATACGCTCTTGTCCTGGAGGAACTGGTCGATGCAGACATGAATGTTTCGCGACAAATCAGCAATGGTACCTGCATAAAGCGGTTTTGGGACAGCCCCTGCCTGCAGCAGATATGCGACAACGTGACACGAATCTCTGGTTTTATTTGACTTTTTGGTCATTCCATATGTACTCGTACAATTCAACAGACGCCGTAAAATCTGGTTATTTTCTGATTCGTCGCATTTGCACGTACGAATAAACCGATAAACGCGTTGCATTTGCGCTACATATGAAGCATAATTTGTCGCATTTTTTAAAAGAGAAAATAATTTTTGATGAAACGCTGCATCGTGCATTCACCGCTTTCACGCTCTGCAACAAGGTGAGATATCTCAGATGAACTTTTTCCCCGCACAGTCATCGCAAGCGTAAAAGTTTAAGTCAGTTTATAATATGGTTTTTATTATTCAAACGTTGCAGTTACTGTAATTACCAATGTACTGACACTTCGATACCCTTTTAAGTGATGTTGCCAAGACGTTCGACACATACTTTATGCCGTAACAGTACACGGCATGTTTGGACGAGGATATACCGCCGTTGGCACGCAAATGGTAGGAGTACGCGTCATCGGTGACGGCAGAGTTCATAGGCCTGGCGTGCTAATCGCCTTACAGATACTCATATAATATTTGCGGCTGGTTAAAAAGCTTATTCATGTGGTCACAGCTGGAGGAAAACCCACCAGCAATACCAGCGACTTTGCAGCCTTGGATAAACGCAATATTACCCCAGCTGCAGGCAACACGATTACTCCGAGCTCTTAATTACTTTTCCCTTTTATAGTTCCCTGTCATTTGAGCTAACTGTTGCGGTGATACCAGGCTAGCTCATGGGATTTCCTTCTGTGCACTGAAAAACTGTTGCTCTCATTGCTTTCCGCTCAGAGGTGCTCCCGGTGGCCCATGATTATATTGCTCACAGAAAACGAAGCACTGAAGAGATCCTTGTTGGTGAAACACTTCCGCTTCGTACATGACTATAATAATCTTGCTGTCCCAGTTTTCTGAACGAATAAATCCTTCGATTTTCACTGTAGAGGCAGCTGTTCTACTACGTAGGTCATGAAGCCACACTTTTCAATTTTTATGTAGCCGCGACCTTTTTGGATAACAGACATGGCTTCTTTCGCTAACAACACCTCCGTCGGCTCCCACAGTTCGAAGAGCAGTGGTATCCCTCCGGATTTGCAGATCGTTGTTATCTTTATGAGCTTGCTAGCCATCGGCACTGCCGTGTACAACGGATTAATTGTAACGGCATTCTGTAGATACCGCAAACTCATCACCCCCTTTAATCTGTACATCCTTAATCTGTCGATGATGGACATTCTGGTCGCCATCACCGTCATGCCGGGGTACATTCTACGCTCGTTAAATATGCCGCTGTCACCATCACTCTGCTGGGCCGTGCTGTATCTCAATGACTTTGTTCTGGTTGGACAGTGCCAAGGCATGCTGCTTCTCAGCCTGAACCGATTATGGTCACTGATATTTCCCGTGGCGTATAAAAACACGGCAACCGTGCGGTTTACGATCTGTGTCTGCAGTGGTTGGCTGATTTTCTGGGGCGTTGTCGTACTACCGTATAGGATTATTGATAGGAGTTATTCAAAAAAGAGTGATTTTGCTCCTTGTCATTCAAATTATGCCGCTCAGCGCGCCTATGCAACACTTATCGAGCTTGGTGGCTTTGACGCACCGGTTGTGCTAGCGCTAATTATTTACAGTTATATCTTTTTTCAACTGTTTCGCAGAAGAATTCGGAAGCGTCGAAGAACGGGATTTCTGGCCACGAGCATGATTTCGCGCACTGGTAAGAATTCCCCTGGAACGGAATATTTACAATAATTATGCAACACAGTTTAACTAATAAGCCAGTTATATATGACAAATTGCAGTTAAAGATCTTGACTGACTTGACAAACCGCTTATTATTAGGCATAAATCAGTAGCGCAAGTGCTGCACTACAGATATGTCATTTTGCCCGCTATTTGCACCTCGTATTATATTGACATGCTATGCGGAAGTCGGACCGCGACAACCGCACTAGATGACCAAACCTACTCAATCGGTAGAGTGGGAATATATATGCTCTGGACTCCGTAAGTGGTACTACTGCCTACTTCCGCTAGGTACGAGCGGATTGCTGTGCCTAACGAAAGTTACCGAAACCGAAACACTCAGGAACTTCCCAAATGTTTAATCACCAAACAGAACAGAACAGAACGAGATATGAACTTCCTTCTAACCTAGAGTCACACGACCTTTCAGCTAGAAACAAGCTCACAGATTTAGTTGAAGTTAGAAACTTCAGACTGATTAGTTAGACAAGAATCGTGGATGCAATTAGCGATCAAATGCGTTACATGAGAACAGCAAATCGTAGGTAACAGAACAGACAACACGTACGTCCTAACACGTACGTAAGTAATACGCGCAATCTATGCATAGCGAGTTAATATATAGCAGGGACTCTTAACGGTATACTGCATAAATTGAGCTTCGCAAGAAAACAGGAAAATATTGCACTTACAGAGTATCTCAGTACCTTGCCAGTATGTCTGGTGACTGCAACTAAATTATTAAATAATAATAATTTAAGTGCAGTCACCAGGTGACGGTTCTTGTCGTTTCCGTTGCAGACAATTACCCAACTGCAAGTATGAACCCACCGGAAACGTGGGACTCTATGGGCCACTCGAGACCGGCACCTCGATCCGCACCGGTGCGCGATGATGTCAAGCATCTGCAGCTGTTTGGATTGCTGGCTGTCTGTGTGTTGGTGTGCTACATGCCCCTTTCAATATATTATCTGTTGTCGGATTTAATTGAAGGCTTTTATTATCCGGCTGTTCGGCATGCTCTAAGTTGCATTCAGTATTCCGCGTGCATTTTAAATCCGCTGATTTATCATGCTAATCTGGGAGAGTTGCAGACGAGCCTGCGGAAAATGTTCAAGCGAAGTTGATATATTTTTTTTTAATAAATGAGTGGAGTATACCGCAACGTGCATCCGCTGTTACAGTCTGTAGTACAAATCGAAAATAAATAAGACCTGTTTACCTTGTTCACTGAAATACACTGATTTGGTTTTGTGTTGTTTTTCAACTGGTTGATTGTATTATATAAAAAAAGTGTATTCCCATGTTTTCTTGTTGAAATATATGTATGTAATTGAAAGCCTTTTTGTTTGTACCCAAGATATTATACCGAGCGCTTATCGCACGTATTAATATTATTAAATAACAATAAGTATATATGCTCTGTATATATATAGTAGTTGAACTTAATAAAAAATACCATTGTTGATTTTACGAATAATTCAGTTTTTATACAGGACGTAAATAATTCTGTGATAATTAATAAACCGCTTGTCTTTGCTTGGCTGAATGCTGACGATAACTGATGACACATTCCATCGGCATTCCGCAAAAGAAGGCATTAATTATTTGTAGTGTAGTCTTTTCTTGCGCAAGCATATGCGCTGTAGTACGAAAAAAAGTATAAGTAAAATTCAAAAGTTCTTAGTTTGACGATCACGTGTATAAGATTTAAGCTAGGAACAACTGTAGGCGGCTGAAGCAGCTAGAAAGCAAGTAATCAAGCTTCAAGCAGTCGTTGTCTTCTGTTTAGCATGTTCCTTTAAATGACAGTGCAGGTGTTGCTATCCTGATAACACACCTGCAAAAAATTAAATTCCGACCATAAAAAATGGTTCCCCGAATACATTGTGATTTTTATTGGCCATTATGGGCAGTTACCTTCACATCTTTATATCCGGTGGTGTAAGACGATGAAGTTGTACCGGGTGACACCGAGAAGCGTAGCATCTGGCAGCAATTACCGCTAACGTTTCCGGCGGAATCCTCTGAGACCGTGTTAGTTTGAGCGCCGCATGGCAGATTGCCGTTATTCCCAGCACCGTAAATACCAACTTTGCCGGTATTGCATTCACCGGCCAATGTGTTCAGATTGCTGACAAAAACACTGGCCTCGTTGCCGGACAGGACAGCCGGCGAGTAGATACCCTTATTGGCGTTGACGGCGGCGCCGTTGGGTGCTCCCTGACCAGCGGTCGGCGATGCGTTGGACGGTAAATCCCAGACGAGTGTCTGTCCGCTTGGGGCATTGGTTACCTGTGAATATGCTAACAGTTAGTTGATCCTTCAAAATTGATTAACAATTAAGAGATTAAAAAATACAAATAAACATGATAGCGTCATAAATTGCCAGAAAAAAATCACATTTTGATAATATTCAGCAAATAAAAAAGTAATGAACTCACAACAAAGGAGAGCTGCGGGTAATACGACAAATAAGACCCGCCGGGATTTGTGCCGGGAGGAAATCCGGCACACACTTTGACACTGCTCGGTCCCGCAATCGTCAGCGGCGTGAGCGCGGCCGTAAAGGTCAGGCAAGCCAGGCTGAATGCAGCGGTGGCGAGGATCATTTTTGAAAAGAACAACGGCAAATAACCGAACAGTATTTACTGCAGAGTTAAATAATGCGCACAGCATAACGGCATCATTCACTTGTCCTTTTATATTTATATTCCACAACCCTGGACCGCTCCATGGCAGCCGTTGTACGCCCGTTTTTGCATATACTTGCCTTTCAGTCACTCAGTGATTCTATTATTTTGATTTACTAGAAAATGCTTGAGCACGTGACAAAATTCGCTATGCCAATACTAACTTCTGAGAAAAGTACTTGAAAAATCTGATTGGCTCATAAACTTTGATATGCTAAGCAGAAATATATCATTATGGAGGACCCTCGATCTCTTGAGTGCCAAGTATGACTGCAAATAAAAAAGCTTTACCGGGAATTCCGGTTGCCTAAAAGTCCTTGAACGAATCTAGGCAAGTATCCTCTGTCAGCGCATATCTGGTTATGCCGTAAATGCGAGGCTGGCTATAGTAATAGACTCGCACAAAATACTGGTAGCAGTGCGTGATAGCGGAATACGCAATAATAATGTGATAAAGTGCAGCCGTCTTTTCACAACACTCAGCAATATTAATGTAGCAAGTACTTATTAATGTAGCCACAGGTCGGCTCAGTCATTCAATTGATTGTGAGCGTTTTGCGCTAAACTGGCAAAATCGTTCGGCCTGATATCAGTCCGGTAGCATTTCTGGGTTAAACTGCGGCAGCAATTATTTGATGTACGACAGTATAATCGGCTTAAACGTCCGGAGAAATAATTGCCTGCCAGACACTTACTTTAAAATCGTCAAAATAAGATTCAAAAAACGCCCGGGATCGATCCTACTCGCCAGGTTTTTTTTGTTTGTATTTCGCGACAACTTGATTCAGGACCGAAATCTTATCCAAACATTATACCCGGTTTCGATTCAGGCCAAGGTGTCGATTGGACTTGTGAGCCGACCGGATAATTATGCCGGTAACAAAAGACCACGATTTTCGCTTCTGCCTAAACCGGCTTAGAAACCTGCAAAACGATGCTTTGTAGGCCCCGTGCCTTATAATGTAGCCATGTAGCCAGCAACTTGTCCCCAATACTTGATGGTATTAGTTGGGTCTTGTGCATAAAGTGGCAGGAACCGGTTTAAAAGAATTTGAATGTTAATAACGAATGTATGTAATGGAAAAAATTCGGCACAGCTTTCCGTGCAGGACGTGACCTAGGAATCTGGATAACAACATCATCCAGATATTTGGAGGTGGGCGTAGGAGCAGATCATTGTTCAGAACAGAGATGCTTGCTCTAACGATTGTGTTTGGTTGGTCATCTACATAGTAGTACGGGAGTCGTTGTGCGACTTCCGTATGGCATGTGGGTAACATCTGTATTTAATTATTTCGTCGAAACATGGTCGGTACGGCGCAATAGCGCAAAAACACGGATTTCTTATCAAAATCAGTCCATGATTCTGTCAACCTCGGAAACCCTCCTTTTGGCTGTGCAGATAATGTTTATCAGGTACTGTAGCCGCTAGATGAAATGGCACCACAGAGTCTGGTGTACGGATAACGACGCACACGCTGCTCGATGTTCTACGTAACGTGTGCGATATCTGGCAGGTAGCAGGCTACGGCCGGATCTAAACGTGGTGCCATTTCATATAGCTGCTACAGTAATTACAACCACTACCAGAAAAAAACTCAAAATCCCACCGTCTGTAAGGTATCAGATTTAAATTAAAAAAGTGCAAGTGCACTGGGCAGGACTGGAGAGTTCCAGTATTACTGGCCAGAAGTGACAGGCCTACCGGGCCGGTGACCTACCGGGCTCTGTGCACCAGACAGTAGTGCCAGCGCGGGCACTGGTTCCCTAACGGGCTTTGTGCACTGGACAGTAATGACAACTCAACCGCTCAACCACCGGACTCTTTGCACGGACAGTAGTGGTAAATGGTAATTCGGTCTCTCTCGTTTAAGGTTTACAAAAAAAATCAGTAGGAAAATTCTAGATGGAGCTTTGTAGTTTGTACTGCATTACTGTGCTACACTCAGTACACTGGCAGTAAATGCAGTTACAACTGCATACGGCATGTTTCTTATGTAGCCGCGCCCAGAGGCGTCTGCTACTGCATCAGGGTGGCCCCTGCCAAGTTACTCAGTAGAAGTGGCCCAAAAGCCAGAAAAATCTAAGTACATATGCGCAGGACTGCATACATATCTGTACAGATCTGTAATAAGAGCTACTATTATTACGACCATACATCTGTATTTCGTTAGGCGTGGGTAGGTACACACTAATGCTTTGCCATAAGAAGGTCATGATCACTCAGGATCTCATAACCTTTGATCGTAATTTGAAGACTGCACACACTGCATACAGATTACAGACTCTCCACTCAACAATATCAAATCTGCACACACTGCATACAGATCTGCCAAGATCAAGCCCAAAACTCAGAGTCTCAGACTAATCAACACAATCAGAATCGCTGATAGGATTAGCGATCAGAATTCAGAAGCTTCGGATAAGAACAGGTAAATCGTACGTGGACTACGGCGTACGTACAAAATATGGGCATACTACGCTTAAAGCGTCATTACTCTAATAAATATTTATTCGAAATCAAACAAAGTGGCCTTGGACCACAAGAAATGCGGAGGCGAAGCCGAGATTGTTTTTTGTATATACATATGTGTATGAGTGTTTGGCTTTTTATTAGTTTTTAACACCGTCAAAAAACTTCTAACACTCGTAATTTCGACAAGATCGGCCATGGTATCAGAAAATAACTTCTTTAAGTTCTTCAAACATGCCGAAGCAAGTGCTGTTTGAAATGTTTAAGTATTACCAATCAATTTTAACGAATTATAGTACTCCTATACATCAAATAATGCGTTATGTGTAATTTCCACCGTTATGTGACTGCTTTGTGCAGATAATGCCCACCGCACACACAATTGCAAAGTTTGGAAATTTTGCAACCCGAAAACGTATGTTGTTGTGAGATCGATCATCTTTGGCTGCACACGATGACCCACGGCGACCGCTAATGTTGAGTCTATTGTACCAGTTAGATATGACAGGAGTGTCCGAATTCCAGGAATCCGGTGATTCGAGATCAACCATGAGGCTTCTGAAGTAGTTTGGGAGTAAGTAATATAATTTAATGACACACAGATGGAAAAGTTCTGTAAAATGGAATTGCTCGTCAGTACGATACATCAAAACAATCCCATTTCCGGACTACGAGTGCACAGCATACAATAGACGCCGGTCTGTTCCTTACCGCCACAAAGAGATGCCGAGTAGCGTAAATGAAAATCATATGCCAGCCCTGCACAACGATATCCTGATGTTTGCTTTTGTGCATGAACCTGAAGAACAGCTTCCTCGGGTAGAGAATTGCTTAAGTATGACAATGTTCATCACTGTTTGCTTACAATTGTTAGCTTCTGAGTCTGATCAGGTCTCGGAAACCATCTGACTACCGAATGCACCGACAGTTATGGGGTGCATACGAGTATACGACAGAGCATGTTACTGTTCTTTTCGTAAACGCATTAGCATATCTCCTTCCACGTAATCAGGTCAATAAACAGTTCTCAATAATTTACTAATTAAGGTTTATTCAATAAATTATCAACTGCTTAAAAATATTAAATGTATAAAAAATGCAGATTGATACTTATTAAATAATTATCGTAACCAAAATCTGTTAACGACTGAAACTGTTAAAGAAGGTTGGATTGTGCAGGCTGAAAAGATACAATAGCTCCGCTTTTGTAACGAATTACTGGGCGATGCCGTCGATTTGCGGTTTAATCAGCGGTGCAGAATTACCAAACAACTTAATCGTTGGTCGTCCAGCAGTCCAGCTGCGTGAAATTTGCGCTCTGGACCAAGGTTGTGGTGAATCTTTAACTTATAGTCTCGGGATCAAGATTTTTCACATAATTTCTGTGACATTTCTGTGACATGATTAGATGTACTTATAACGTCCGTGGTCAGAGAAACCATTTTTTGAAACGCTGCACGTACCTACCGCTTAAACTCAGAAACGAGCTGGGAAATCTTTGAACGTTTGTTTCAGATTGTCACGAGCCGATTACTGTTTCCATAATTTATGAATTGCAAATTGCTGTTAATTGCAGTTCAGCAAAACAGCCTTCGGCAAAACAATCTACACAAAATACTGCAGATCGGCGAATAACGCAACTTATGCAGCAACAAGTGACCCCCATGAGATCACATTTTGACCCGATTACCGTAGTACTGTATATTGGAAAATGATCAATTTACTGACATTTTGATCGCATTTTGATCAATGAGTCGCGTCATTGGTGACGGCAGAGATCGCTAAATTGTGAGATAATCATTCCAATCTTATTTTCTCGGAATATACAAACGTAATTCGAAAGTCCTTTAATTTGTATCCAAGATGTTCGTATTGTTTGCTAAACTGAGTGCATATCACAAATCGCAAATACCGCCATAATTTCACATAATGCGATTTGGTTAATATACATAATTAATATTTACTTTACAGATATTACTTGCGAGTACGCTGTAATTTGAGTTTGATCATGCAACATATAAACAGATGATCACCGATGCGCCTTCTATAGGTATTTGCTTGGTTGAGTGCTGATAGAAATACACTATACAGAGTAGATAGCTGATTTAATGTCCCATCGGCATTTTGGTAAAAAAAGCTTTCGGTTCTTTGTAAATTGTAACGTAACATTTTGATGCATAGGCATTTCCGCTGCGATATCAGTAACTAAACCGCAAAGCCGGTTAATAGGTCGTGGTTTAACGATTTCGAACACGAATTAAAACTTTTAAGCAGCTGATGCAGATAGCACGCAAACAGCTACAGTTTTAGGCAATCCTTGGTTTCTGCGTATGAGGCATGGGTTTTAAATAACGGTGCAGGTGTTGCTGTCCTCATAACAGACCTGCAAAATATTAAGGCCGTAGAATTAGCTTCTCGAACACGTTGTGACTTGTGATCGCCGTTACCTTGACGTCTTTGTATCCGGTGCTGTAAGCGGATGAAGCTGTGCCAGGTGACACCGAGAAGCGCAGCATCTGGCAGCAATTTCCTCTAACGTTTCCGGCGGAATCACGGATACCTTGTTGACTTTGGTGGGACACGGCAGATCACCGTTATTCCCCGCGCCATAGATACCGACTCTGCTGGTACTGTTCCCACCGGCCAACGAGTTCATATTGCTGATGAAAACACTGGCTTCGTTGCCGGACAATACAGCCGGCGAATTGATGCCCTTGTTGGCGTTGACGGCGGTGCCGCTGGGTGCTCCCTCGCCAGCGACCGGCGACGCGTTGGACGGTAAATCCCAGATGAGTGGCACTCCGCTTGGGGCATTCGTTACCTGTAAATATGTCAACAATTTGCTAATCGCAAAGGAATGGCCAACATTTGAAAATACTAGAAAAATCTGAATGCGTTTGCGTTATAAAAAATTATAAATAAGAATGCACATTTCCATACTGAGCAACAAACAGAAACCAGAAAACTTCTACCAGAAATAACTTTTAACCAGAACTACCAGAAACTACCAGAAACTAACTAACTACCAGAACTACCAGAAATAACTGGAAACTACCAGAAATAACTTTTATCTACACTTTTGCATTCAAAACAGAACTTACGTTAAATGTCAGCTGCGGGTAATACGAAATCGAAGCGCCGCTGGGATTTGCGCCGGGAGGGAATCCGGCACACACTTTAACACTGCTCGGTCCCACAATAGTTAAGTTCGTGAGCGCTTTCGTAAAGGTAAGGAAAGCCAAGCTGAATGCAGCGGTAGTGAGGATCATTTTTGAGAAAAACGACGGCGAATAAGAGAATAATCTTTCCTCTAATATTGAATAATACGCATAGCGTGTATAACGGGATGATGCAACTGCCCTTTTTATATTCCTTTTTTACAACCCTGGGCTGCTCACGTGCAGCATTTATTTTGCATAGGCTGGCTTTTTGATTATTCAGTGCTTCCATTTGATACACTAACTTATGATAAACCACGTGATAATACTCCCCATGCAGATAATAACTTTTGAGAGAGAGTACTTGAGACATTTGGTTGGCTGACAAAAATGCCAACTGATCAGCAGAAATATATCAAAATTTAGGACCTCGATCTCTTGAGTGTCAAATATAATTGTGAGCAAAAATGCTACACCGGGAATTGCGGTTGCCTAAAAAGTCGAACAAATCCAGGCAAGTATCCTCTGTCAGCGCATATCTGGCCAAGCTGCACACGCGAGGCTGGTTTTGGTTTCAGATACTTACAAAATGTTTGTCATATACACGTTGCATGATATTGGTACAGTGTTTTGTATAATGCAGCCGTCGTTCTGAGCACTCAGCTCAATTATTGTAGCGAATGGTTATCCGGTCGGCTCACCATCGGACAAACCGGCAAAATTGCACTGGCCTGAAACCAGACCGGTAATGGTGTCGGATAAAATTTTGGCAGAAATTATCCTAGGTACGGCAGTATGCCGGCAAAAATTCCCGAGCGGATAATCGCTCGTCGGACACACGTTAGATTCAGAAAACGTCCATGATAAATTCTGCCAGTTTCTCGCTTGCATTTTGCGAGAATTTGATTGAGGCCCGAAATTTCGTCCAGAAATTGTGACTGGACTAGGTTCAGGCTGAACAATTTGCGGCTTAACGGCCAAGCAGTCTATTGGATGACAGAGTCGACTGGTTAATTTTGCCGGCTACAAACGACTGCGGTTTTCGCGCCTGTGTAAACCGGATAACGTTGCAAAAGCGTGCTTGCGGACCCTGTGCATTAAAAGTTATGTTAAAGATATAAAGCGGCCATTACAATTAAGTACTGTATGTAATTCGTTTAATGATTACAGTAGATGATGATATTAGTTTGCTTGCATGTCTGTTGTGGCACTCACTGGCCAAGGCCATTGAAAAAGTGTCTGGAGTGGAATTTGTACAGCTTCACGTACAGCTTAACGAAATTGTCGCACATGCAAACAAATGCTTGTACAAATAACTATTGCGTACGTATAAGGACGATATAATTTATCATATCCATCATATCTTAATTGCATCATATTATATCTAGATGTAGGTATATGATATGCGGATTATATCTGTTTTTTTCTTTAAGGGAAGTGGCCCGGTACATGGTACCAAATTCGTGTACATGCACAAAATCTTTCACTTTCGCGCACTCCCAAACCCTTTTTCTCTTGTTTTAAGACATTCTGCAGCCAAATGATTTGTATACACTGGCCTGAAAACCGTTTGCGCGCGCAACATCCGGTTCGCGAGTTATGGCTGTTAGAAAATTCCAAAAAGTTTAAATGCATTTAGGTATACCAAAAGTCTCATTATGGACCGATCTCTTTCAGATTTTGCACGTAAATGCGCATAACCACGAAGATCGTTTTTACACTGATCCAGACTTTCACGATTTTTTTCAGATTTTAAAATAAATTTTAAAATTTTTGAAATTCATTTTAAAATTTGAAAAACATGCTAGAACAGTGGATCGGTGTAAAAACGTTCTTCGTGGTTATGCGCATTTATGTGCAAAATCTGAAAGAGATCGGTCCGTAATGAGACTTTTGGTACACCTGAATGCATTTAAACTTTTTGGAATTTTCTAACAGCCATAACTCGCGAACCGGATGTTGCGCGCGCAAACGGTTTTCAGGCCAGTGTATACAAATCATTTGTCTGCAGAATGACTTAAAACAAGAGAAAAAAGGGTCTGGGAGTGCGCGAAAGTGACAGATTTCGTGCATGTACACGAATTTGGTACCATGTACCGGGCCACTTCCCTTAATAAAGATCGAAGCTCCTAATATTTTTAAAATGATCATGCCATGGTCACGAAAACATATATATATTATGTACTGTCTGATAATGTTAAAGAGCTAACAACCAACTTAACGGGTTACGTAGAACCTTTAAATCACCAAGTGGGTTTGGTATATCTCATACGTAATTTTTCTCGTCTTATGACTGCTCTGTGCAGATATGCCATATGACGCACATAAATTACAGATTTGCACACGCAACACACGTTACAGATTAAACACATACAAATTACAGATGTCGAAATTTTTCCCACTAGGAAATGTGTGTTGCTGTGAGAGTGCTCATATCTGGCCGCACACGCTTAGTCATGGCGTACATCAACGTTGTATCTGTGGGAGACAATCAACTAACAAAGTCGTTCCAAATTCGAATTTACCGCCCATTCGAGATCAGTAGTGAGGCTTCTGAAGGAGTTCATGAGCAACTAGTATAAACGATACACAAATGGAAAACGTCTGCAAAATGCAATTTCTCGTCATCGCCCGACTAGTATACAATACTAGTTAATTTCTTACCGCCACAAAGAGATGTCGCGTAGCGTAAATCATATGCCAACCCTGCACAACGATGTCCTGATGTTTGCTTTTATGCATAAATAACTTAAGAATTCTTCGTAGTTTGCTATCCTAAAGACGAAATCAGACAAAATTCATCAGTATGCAGCAACATATCCATAAAATTAATCACATAAGCAGAAATCTAATTTTTTGGCTAAACGCACCATTTACAGCTACTTACATACATACGTACATTCTCGTTTTGTAGAATGGAAATTGTCGCATCTGCATAATCGCATAGAACTTCATGTGTATCCATTGCCTACAAAATACACTGTTTTGTTGCAAATCCATGCAGTATTCTAACTGGCTTGTACTAATAAAAATACACTTGGTCATCACCGCAGTTTACACTGTAGAAGCCACTGCGCTACGCAGTTACTCAATGTTTAAAGTAAGAATACTGTAATATAACTCTTTCTACACTTTCAATGAAAGTTTGGATTTAATTTGCGAATTTAGTTGCCTTTTAACAAGCAAAATGAGCAGCTTGCTTTCTAAACGTAAGAAATCAAAAACACTGACGTGTTCATACATCCGGAACAGCGGAATGAGGAAGAATCCGGCACATACAACTAGGTTCGCCGTTATCAGTACTTCATATACAATAATCCACATATTATCCAGCATAAATGTGCTGTTCAGCAACCAGTTCGTCATGAAGGATACAAACGCCAGAAAATCAAAACTATACGCAAGCGCAAAAAACAGCCCCAACGTATCGTTAACACTCCGACATGCGGCCACAACATCCGTGTGCAAATGCAGTAAATCCTGCATACTCTCCGTAGCCTGTGCAAGGTCATGCGGCATTTTTATTTCGCGGCGGATTCTGTCATTAATCTGTGTGACACAGGCAGATAAAATCAACGCACAGAAGATTAGCACGATGGAGATCTGTATGGACAGGATGTACGCCACTTCCATGAACACTTCATACAGCACCACTTGCGTCCACACCGGAAAGAGCTGGGGCAATGGAGCATACAGATTTCCTTCTGTCCACGTTAGATTCAGCTGAAGGAAGGCACCCTCCCAGTTGAAGTATTCGGTTGCGCATAGGTACGCCACACTGCACACTGATAATAAATTTATCTGCCATTTCCACCGATTCCAACAGCGATCCGCATTGGGACCATCAAATGCGCGACCCACAAGATTTTTTAGTTCGTACATTAAGTTTTGCAGCTGGTTTCGCTTGAACGCAAAAGCGGTTAACGGAGCCGCTGCCCGGAGACTCAGTGCCAGGAACGGCATGGCCAGCACCATGTCCATAAGGAAACTGCTTTTGTGTCCGTTGCGTACAACCGGGCCCGGTGGAAAAAGCCGGCAGTAGGTCGAGCCACCAATCAAACCGACTTGAAACCATGCGCCACAGATGAGAATCAACGCAGTCAACGTCATTAGCAAGCGCCGGTACTTTCCCGCATAAGATTCTGGAAGAATACCAAAACATTTTAACAGTTTCATCGGAACACAGACTGCTGTCTCCATTGCATTCTTGGTTGGTTTTTCCTCCAAAGTATTATCCCATTTATAGCACGACTCCATTTTACAGATCACAATGTCGCACGGTGGGAGCATATTGTGGTTACAAAAAAAGCTTTAAAGCATAAATGCCGCTTGAAGCTATTGGAACACCGCAGCCTGTGGCGATAACACCTGGTAATCAACGCTGATCACTGGTGTGCAATATGTACATTCTTGATGAAATTAAAGTTTTCCAGTGAGAGTGTGCGGGCAGAGCAGTGCACTAGCATTGCTTTTGTCCATGAAAAATTTAATTTCGTAGTCAGCGACAATGACAGTGGGCGTAGGTACATAGTGACTTTCTGATTCAATACGTTTAATTGACCCGTTTTATTCGTGCATAGCGCTCTGTTCATTATTTCATAATACCGCACCATGATTCAATCACGATAAATGTAATGTTGTTGGAACAGCTACATAATATTAATTTAGCAAATCGACTACAAAATGTGAGAACCCTTCAGTTACACTAGCCGCCCAATAAGATACAAAATTAAATTTATAATTAAAAAAGGCTTCCTTCACTTTGGTATGATATTCTGTGTATAGCGCGCCCTTGGGAATATATTTCTACGAACCACATACATATCGAATTGCTGTGCAGAAAGGTTTGTAATTAGGTGTACATTTCCGTAACCGCGGCAGGACGGCGCACATTCCGGTTGGCGGCTTTATCGATCAGTGGAGCAATATTGCGACAAACAGAAATTACGGAAACAAACAAGGCACGATGTAATCTGCGATGTAATTATCACCACGTTATTAAAACTTATTTTGTTCGCCGACATCATATTCTACTTTAAATTAATACTGCTTGCTACATGTATAAAGCATAAGCCTTTCTAGTAATTCAATCATCAATAAAGTTGTCATAATGGCTGCCCGAAATAATACTTCAGAGATCTCGTACAATATTACACTCTACAATGCTAATGAAATTTCGCCCGATGTAAAGATAATCGTGACCTTTATGAGTGTACTGGCAGTGGGGACCGCAGCTTATAACGGCATAATTGTTGCGACGTTTCTGCGATTTCCGAAGCTTTTAACACCCTTTAATGTGTATGTATTCAACTTATCGACGATCGACTTTTTCATAGCCATCATTGTTATGCCCGGATACATCCTCCGTACGTTGAATATTTTCCTAACTTCGGCTCTATGTTGGGCACTACTTTTCATGAACGATTTAATCCTTATTTCTCAGTGCCAAGGAATGCTGCTGCTCAGTTGTAGCCGGTTGTGGTCTTTGGTATTGCCACTTTCTTACAAGAACATGGCGACAGCTCGGTTCGCCGGGTACATCTGCGCCGGATGCTGGATTTTGTGGGGTGCGATTTTGCTGCCCTATCGAATTATGGAAAGAAAGTATAATCAGAACACCGCCACCTGTCGCTCGAATTTCGCTGCCGATCTGGTTTATTCTACATTTATTGAGTTGGCAGGATTCAATATTCCTGTCATCTTGGCTTTGGTTATCTATACGTTTATTTTTGTGCGATTATTTCAAAGAAAGCTTAAGAAACGCAGAAAAGCGAAACCAGTGAATTCCGACAGCCAACCAAAAACTGGTAAAGTTAAAAAAACTTACTGTATTTACAAAAATTTTGCATTGTTCATACCGCTGTATACAGAGTACACTACAATAATTAGGTTATTTTTCGTGCAGATTTTTAATCCCATAGAGCACGTTAATAGAGTACGGAATGGGTGCATAATACCGAGTAATCCTTTTGCTTGTATAATTTGTATAATTTTTCAGAGATTGCGCCCAACGAAGCGACTGTTAATCAAACGCTCACCAAACATACATCATCCCCACTAACAGGAGATACGACACGTTTACCACTACCAAAACATTCCGAAAGCGAAAGTACACGTCATTTACAGCTGTTTGGACTACTGGCCGTTTTTGTGCTGGTGTGCTATATGCCTTTGATTATCTACATTCTTTTGGCCGACTTAATTCATGGATTCTATTACCCCAGTGTGCGAAGCGCCCTCACATGCCTGGAATACGCTGCGTGCATACTAAATCCTTTAATTTACCATTCCAAACTGCCAGAACTTCGAAAGAATGTGCGAAAATTACTGAAAAGATAAAGATTTTTTGTTTGCTGTTTCCGTATGGATTGAATACGATTTGTTCTGTTTGTTTAACTGCTAACTGTATCAAATATTTTTCCCCTTAAAGACACAAGCTTTTGTAAACTATCGTTATACGATATTGCGACGAAAAAAATAAAATTAATTTTAAGCACAGTCAACAAGGCAGACGTGCCGTACCAATTTACGTAATGAACACGCGCTGGTTTATTATATGAAAGGGGAAGAGGAAATCGGAGATGCAGCGGGGAGAGCCCCAAGCATCCTTAATTTAGTGATATACGGGTTGATGATGCCCTGAAGATCATTTTCCCAGGCGAATGCGCCGCCCTTTCTATCAATAATAAAGCTAATAATCATCAACAGCGGTCGGATATTTCACGGTACGACGCATTTGAAGATATCAGGTTGGTGCTAGCACGTTCTCCTGTCCCAACGTGAGGTTATGATGACAGATTCCCTTCCGGCGCTTCCTAATGCTACAACATTTTAAGCTGCTATTAAACAATCCTCTACGGTCCTTCACTAGATGTGTGCACAAGGGCAAATCGGTTTGCAAGTTGTGATCAATGAACGCTAACATTACTAATTTCACCGGTAGCCAGTGTTTATCATGGGACCACTCCAGCAACTTTCGTATCTTCCTTACACAATGGTTCACCCTAAATATCCTCACTGTACTGACCAGCGGCATAAATCTGATTGTGTTTTACCGCTGGAAACAGAAAGAACCGTATCTACTTTTACATACCGCTTTATCCGCCGCGGAATTCTTATGCAGTTTTGTCAGTTTCATTGGGACAATTTACCGCGTCGTCGATGTTACACTGCGCTTCATCCTCCTCGCCAAGATTGGCACAGCGGTGCGTGCTGCTAGCGGCCCGTTAATCAACATCCTAATTATGCTCATTAGTGTCGATCGATGGGCATCGGTGGAATTCCCGGTTTTCTACCGAAATAAAATTTCCCGTCGGGTAATTGTTTTCGGTATCTGGTTAATTTGGATCGGCGTTGGTGGCTTCTACTGCATTCTCTTTGTTCTCCTGGGAAACTCCATTCTCGTGGTCACGTGCCGGGATATCGGGCAACTGGTCTGGCGCGACCGCACGTGGATTGTTTTTTACAATGTTCAGTTCTTCGTGACACTGGCGCTGATCGCTGCTCCACAGTGTCGCACGTCGTGGATCGCCTTGCGTATGAAGATGCGTGTACACCGGCGCCGAGCGATTAACCCTGACAATCATGGCGAAAATAATCAGCTAATGAAGAGTGTTGTGCGCAGTGTAGCCGCAGGATCGGCCGTGGTGATGACCAATGTTGTGTGCCAGTCGGTCGCCCGGTTGATATATTTCTTTGCCATGCAGAATGGGCTGCTGGGTTTAACTGCTACGATGTTGTTTACCGCGTTTGACTGCCTCAAAGATATTATGCCCTTTTTTTATTACGTTGTGTTTTTTCCCACTTTTCGAAAGAATTTGAGGGGAATTTGCAAATCAGCAAATGTTACAGTCCCTACCCGTAGTGTCATGTCTGACTTCACGACACGCTGAACATTCTGTTTATTAGTTTAAGAATGAAATAAATACAGCCTGAGTAACATGTCCATTATTATAACCATACAAGGACAAACTGCACGTGCGCTTGTTGGTGACCATAATAGTATAATTGCAGGTTTTCTTTGTATCACTGCTTTTAACACTTATACGTATACATTATAATTACTGTTGGAAGTGAAACTGTAGCTGTTACCTTTCAAACCTCTGCAAATAAAACGAGTAGGTACCTTGTATTTCAAGCGTGTTAATTTTTTTAACTTGTTTCACTGACAATAAGCTGAACGAGTTGAACCTTAGAGTCCTTAACGGCTGCACATATTATGTTATTAAAACATAATTCCGAAATTAGAAATATCTCTGTTATGCACAAGAAATCGGAAATAATTAAGTATTGCAACGTTACGATTACTGTATCGGTATATCACGATATGAATAGTGATAACCATTTACACCAATTACGTGAGGGACATCGAGTCTACAGTTTGGAAATATTGTTCATAATTTCTTGCAAGTTATTAGTCGACTTCCCGTCAGTCGCAGACGCCTTTCTGATTTGCTTGGACAGTCCCTGCGTCTTAACAAAATACGGGCTATTGCCATCTCCTCCATCCTTCCAACCTCCAACTTCCTCGATGATCTCGGCAATCTGTCGGACCGGTGTTGTGCTGGACTTCATCCCGGCCACCGCCATGCACTTTCCTATTCCGCACTGTTCAACAACCGACGCATTGTAATTTTGGTCACCGAACATTGGCCAGGCGACCACCGGCACACCGTACGCTACGGCTTCCAGAGTGCTATTCCATCCACAATGGCTGACGTAGACACCGGTGGCCTTGTGCGCCAGGATCTGCTTCTGTGGTGCCCAGTGCAGAATCAAATACGGTGTTGCAACCGTGATGGTTTCCGCCGTAGAACGAATGAAGCGTTCATCTAGCAGATTCTGCTGCGCATTCCGCAAAGACCAAATAAAGGGCCGTTTTAACGATACCAACGCTTCAGCGATTTCCGCCAGCTGTTCGGCGGACGGAACTGCCGCAGTGCCAAACGAAAAGTACACCACGCTGCGATCATCCTGTTGGCTCATCCAGTCACCAATCCGTTGGGATAACATGTCTTCCGGCTTTCCCTCCGCTTCCGGTAACAATGGTCCAATGAAAGTCAGCGGGATCTTCTCGAATTGGGGGTAGGCCCGGAGCATGGCATGGGCTTGAGGCTCTAGTTCATCGCAGGAATTAAACAGGATACCGGTTACCAGTGTGTGAGCTGGACCAAATTCTAGTTGCCAGGTTTTTAAGCTCTCCGCTACCATTTCACAGCGGTTGATGGTATCGTCTTGTCCACTGAAGAATACCTCATCAGGAAGTGTAGGGGTATTTGCATTAATGGCGCTCTACAATTGACAATTTGCTTTTGTACAAATAGCATTCTAATCTGCATCTTAATCAAAATGCAGTTCCGTGTACGAGTTCTTTATAAATTGCTAACAATTCATTTCTGTTATACTCAGTCGATCATATCGGCTAAGAAAAACCATCCAAAGGCAAACCATTCAAATAACAACGTTCTCATTTCCCGAAACTGTAACGCATTTATGATTTGCTTTGCCGTAGAAGCATTGTACGTTGTGTACATACTTCGAGAACGTCGTATACGCAGTACACAGATACACACCTAATACGGGCAGATCTACTGTCATCAAAAGATGTTAAATAAAACAAAATATTAGAAATTTCCATCATACCTGTAAAGCGAACAAAGTCGCCGACATGGGAACGAAACCATAAACCGGAATGCTCCGTTGTTGACATGTTTCGATCGGCATCGGCATGGATAGGTCGCAAAACACCCCATCTACCGGAGGTAGTTCCGACGTCTTCTCATTGTCAGTGGAATCCCCTCGGATACTGAGGCTGTTAATAAAGTCTGCATAGTGCGGCCGGGCATTCCGCAGTTTGGCCAGGAAGATTTGCAGGTCTCCAATGTGGACGTCCAAGTTGTAGCTGAATCCATCGTCGAAGACGTAGGTACCGATGGGTTTCGGTGGGAGAATGCCGCGTTCCTTAATCTCATCGTATCTGTGACTGGACAAAACGAACGTAACATCGTGGTATTGAACGATCTTTTTCGCTAATTCCAGAGAAGGGATGTAGTGACCAAAGGCCGGTAGAGCGATGACGAGGATATGCTTTCGGTTGGGTACGTTAGGCATTTCTTTGCCGGCGGCCATTGTGCTTGCACGTTGGTGCCTCGTCAGTACTGATTACAGTGCAGACTGTGTACATCAACATGTGAACGGCGGCAACATGTTTTCTCCAGACGAGTGTCTCAATAGCTTTTTCAGTCTTATCTGACGTTATCTTCAGTGTTCGTTAATACTTAGAAATGGACTATTGTTTTCTATTATTACGATTAATCTCTGCAGCTGCTTAATACTGCTCGACATTTTATAGTTACACAACTTACACGTGATTTTACTGTGGATCTCGCCGGAAATATGTGATTACAACATTTCAGCGGCACGCTTGGTTTCTTACTGCGGTATACCCTTTACAGAAAGCAGCAAAAACATACTAGAAAAATTATTTATGATGGGCGGCAGCTGTAAGCAGCAATAAGATGTAGCAGAAAAATCAAATTTCGAGGAAATTAAGTACGATGTATATTTCCAACTACGATGTATATTTCCAACTACGATGTATATTTCCAAGTATATATATAGTTTCCGATGTACATATATTCCCAAGTACGATGTATATTTCAAACTTGTTCAATTTCTTTTTTGTCTATTACAAATCATGCACCCACTAAGAACAATACAAAAGTTGCATGCTTTCGGAAAACGAGTTGATCCAATGTCGTTAAGAATACGGAAAAGTGCCGCATAGCTTCCGGTATTCGATGACCAGATACGAGAATAAAAGTCATTAGTTTTATTTTTACCACGCGCAAACAACTAGTAAGGCCTGCACTGTGGTCTGTAATGCTGCTAACCGTATTTAAAATTCAGCGACTTCCTGTAAAACTTTTTCCAAGTTACTAGTCGACTTCCCGTCGGGTCCACAGGCCTTTCTGGCACTTGCAGCAAGTTCCTGTGCCTTTCCCAAGTACGGTTTCTTTGGCTTTCCTTCATGATTGCAGCCGCCGACCTCCTCGATGATCTCCGCAATTTGTGAGGCCGGTGTTGTGCTAGACTTCATTCCGGCCACCGCCATACACTTTCCCATTCCGCATTGCTCAATCAGCGTCGCATTGTAGTGCTGGTCGCCGAACATTGGCCAGGCGACCACCGGCACACCGTACGACACAGCTTCCAGCGTGCTGTTCCATCCACAGTGACTGACATAGACGCCGGTGGCCTTGTGTGCAAGGATCTGTTTTTGCGGAGCCCAGGGCAGAATCAAGTACGGCGTCGTATCTGTCATGGTTTCCGCTGTGGTACGTATGAATGGTTCGCTAAGCAGAGTTTGCTGTGGGCTCCGCAAAGACCAAATAAACGGACGCTTTAACGATACCAACGCCTCAGCGATTTCCTTAAGCTGTTCGGCGGAAGGCACGGCAGCGGTACCGAACGAAAAGTACACCACACTGCGGTCTTCTTGTTTGTCCATCCAGTGTTGTAGCCGTTGGGATAAAATGTCTTCCGATTTTAAATTTTCCAGTGGCAAAAGAGGGCCAACAAATGTCATGGGGACCTTTTCAAATTGCGGAAACGCTTTAAGCATCGCCATTGCTTGCGGCTCCAGTTCTTCAAAAGAATTAATCAGCAAGCCGGTGGCGAGTGCATGGGCGGGACCGAACTCCAGCTGCCAGGTTTTCAAGCTTTCCGCTATCATATCGCAGCGATTGGTGGCCTCGCCTCCGCTATAGAATACGTCGTCGGATAGCGCGGGAGTGTCTTTGTTAACGGAGCTCTGTAAATTTTTGAAGAACGAACTTCAGCAACGTTTAATTTGTAAGTAAAAACACGACCGCAACCCCTACGGGTGGTAACGTTTCGTTACCCAGTTTACTGATTTTTCTAAATTCTATTTAGCCAAAGCAGTTTCTTGGATCCAGGTAAAGACAGAAGCAATAAACTGTAGAGAAGAAGATTTATTTGAAAGAGCCATGTGTAGCAGATCGGCATCTGTCTAACTGGTGCAAACAACATAATATTGTCACAGATTTTACATCGTCAAGGGTACTGGTTTTTACCTGATGGGCAAACAGGGTGGCCGAGATGGGAATGAATCCATAGACTGGGATTCCCCGTTTATGGCATGCTTCGATGGGTGTCGACATGGACACATCACAGAACACGGCATCAACCGGAGGCAGAGGAGCCGTGCCGCTTTCCGGATTTCCTCGCGTACTGAGGCTGCTGATAAAGGCTTCGTAACGGGGCCGGGCTTTATACAGCGTCTCCAAGAAAATCCGCAGCATCCCAATATCATTGTCCGTATTGAAATTGAATCCATCGTCGAATACATAGGTTTTAATGGGTTCAGGTGGAAGGATGACACGCTCTTTGATATCATCGTAGAAATGGATAGACAGAATGAACGTAACATTATGATACCGGACAATCTTTTCGCTAGCTCCAGAGACGGGATGTAGTGGCCGAAGCCTGGTAGAGCCATGATAAGAACATGCTTCCGAATGGATTGCTTGGCAGTTTCCTGACAAACCGCCATTTTTGCATGTACAGTGGTCTGGTGAAGTTGTGGTGTTTGTGTGCAACGTCCTGCGCATAAAATTAATGATTTTTCCCAGGTTTCGGTCTAGTTGCGTCTTGCGGCTGTAGCAACATTGAACGTTATCTTTTGTGCCATTCTAAGAAGTCCGGAGACTCCGGACCTTGGCCTCGATTGTTACTGTCTTACAATCGCACTCGTGAAAGTTTCGCGAGCGCTGTAGCTGTACATGTTGAAAACAAACGGAAAGCTTCCAGTTAATCAGGTTTGTTAATATTGATATACGAGTAGTGTGATAAACTGAATACGATATTTGTACTGAGCCATTACCCTGGATGTTATCAGACCATGTCAATAATTTATAAATAAGCTTTTACACAGTAAAGAAATCGAGCCGATAGCCAAACCGGCGAACATTCACTGCACTGTGCGCTCAGAGCGGATTGTACTGTATAAACTCTCAGTTAAAAATTTACAGCAGCAAATAGGCATATTTATTAAGTATATGTCACCACACTCCTTTATCCACAGCCAGTTTATCTTTTTCCTGGCAATTGAAAACACGGGGAAAATCTGGACTGTTAGCAGCCACACCATTGGCACGAAATTTCACGGGGCTGTGTGGGTCCATTAACAAGAGAAGCTTTTGCATTTCGGGCCGGTAGTTGCCACACCAAATCTACAAGAGTCATTGGTTGCATTGCGATGCAACTTGCTCTGCAAAGATTGAACAGTTACACAAAGTCACTTTCTTACGGCTTACATGGCCAAATGACAGGAAAAACACTTGTTCGATTGATTCACTTTCAAATCCTGGCAGGAGTTGATCGGGCCCCTATCCCGGGTACGCTTCCGGTACGCCTAAAATGCATGACCGGAAAATGCGGAACTGTCTTTGTTATTGTCGAAAAAAAGATGTACTAGAAGTGCTGCCTTGAATCCGCCGCTATCAGCGATATTCTCGCCTTGTGTCAGATTCCCGTTTATATTCATCCCAACGTCCGAGCGGTACGCGTCGTACTGATGGACAATTCCCGCTGCTCTGTCGTCATATGCTTGTCGGTCGTCGGTTGTCCACCAGTTCTGTAGGTTGCCGTCTTTGTCATAAGTAGAGCCTTTAACAAAATTAACCGTAACACAACTGCCAGGTTTTCGAATGTTAATTTAAATACATAGTTTGACGGCGTTCTCTGTTGACCTGTATCGTCGAATCCATGAGTGATTTCATGACCAATAACCGCACCCAGACGGGCGTAGTTGACATAATCCGGTATGTCGGGATGGAAAAACGGGGACTGGCTTATACCCGCCAATATAGCTGTAAATAATAATTAAGCAACCGACTAGCTCTCCTTTGATATGTGTTAAAAGCATGATTATTTTTTAAATATCGTGACGGCTGTCTATGCACCACAAAGTTCCATTAGAATCAACGAGCCGCGTAGTATTGTGGCGGCCTAAATTGTTACTTATGAACACATGCCGTTCACACCTTGAACCGTAACGTATTGAAAATTATTTCGGGGATTCCAAATCATCACAGCGCTGGTTTGAAAGCTTTTCACTTGGAATTGTATCCACATATTTCATAGTTAGGAAGAGTTTTCATAGTTATGACAGTTGCTGAAAACTTGCCTAAAGCATTGGTACTTGGTTCGTAGAACGCATTGACCTGAGCAGTCGGGGCCATTCGATCAATCAACTCTCGTCGAGAAGGAGCTTGCACTAAATAACGGATTTGCTTCCTCATTTCCATCGTCCTGGCATAGACCGACAGATCGAGCAGCGAAGCGTTCAAGTTAATCTGCAAAATCCCTGAGGTAAGTAACTCAAAATGCGTGACGTACACGATGTCGGCCCCCCGAAATTGCTACAGTCCGAACGTTTTCGTGGTGCGATACTCTTGTACCTCGTTATAATCAGCATCAAGCTGGGATGTATCGAGAAAAAAGTCCGGATACAATTCGTACTCCTCCATGTTACCCAATTTTGCCAACGCCTGATCTCTCGTTGCGGCCTGCATCCAGGTGGTATTGGTAATGATCTCACGGAATGCCTCCCGTAAATCCTTCACCATCTGCTGTACGCGTGTGCGGGCTTCTTGTGGAACGATTTTCTCCGTGTACAGTGCACCCAACGGTTGGGAAAACAACTGGCCGGCCGTATCGATGCAGTCTTTCCAGCGCGGTGGCTGCTGCGCCTTCCCGGTTATTTTCCGCTCGAAGGCTTCAACAAACTCTCGAAGAACTCGAGGCAGTATGTCGTTATACTCATATAACAACGTCCATCCGAGGTAATTTATCAGGTTTCGCTGAGCGGTAACGTTGTTCTCCATGCCCAGTAAACGTTCGTCGAGTTGGCGGAATGCTTCTGGATTTTCGACGTACACCGACAGCTGGCCGTTGATTTGGAAGGTGGAGTTGTAACCGGTAACCACGCTCTGCAAAAATGCTGTGAAATTCTTGGCGAAGGCAGATTTTGAGAAGTAATCAGCCTCCAGCTGCTGGATGGTCATTTTACGAAAGGATAACTGTGCATTACGTAAAATAACGTTGGCTTGGGAAATCTGCAAAGATAAACTATTGGTAAGCATAACAAGTTCCGAGAGCAGTGTTCGATGAGCAAGATCGCAGTAAAAACTAGTTCGCGAAAAAAAGCGCTAACGTCCAAAATGTACTGGGTTTAGTTTAAAATACTATTTCGCGCTGTTGTGCATTACTAAAAGAATTGTTGCATAACCAAGTTTGCGTTGTAAATTAAACGAACTTAACATTGGCCAGGAAAGTCTTCCATTCCACAACACCTTGCGCGTCACTGCCGATTCGGGTTTGGTTGAGATTTGTTTGCGGAGAACTGCCGCGCTGTACAAGCGCTTTGATCACTCGGTTTATCATCAACAAGGTTCCTTCAATGTGGTCAGCTTTCGTTGTGCTGTTGATGATGTCTTTCCCAAACCCGTGATTCAGTCCCAGATAAACCGCCATTTCCGTTGATTTCTCCAGAGACGGACTCACCGACAAATCCACCAAGGGATGTACAGCGTAGTAGATGGATAAACGGCGTAAATAATCGGCAAGCGGTTGGGTTGCGCTGTAATTCCACTGACGTGATGTAACTGCCGGCCACTCGTAAACGGCGTTTTTAAGTGCCATTAAAATAGGCTCCAGTTCGTCGGTTTGAAACTGCTGCTGATCTTTTAATAGATTACAATTTATTTTGCATTAATGAATTTTAATAATCAATACCGCAAAAGGCTTATTCTGCATATCAGAACCCATTAATTTGTTTTTAATATACCAAGAAAATCATCCAGTGCCTTTTCTTACCTTCGTTTGTTGCGCAGAGCTGGAAGAATTTTCGAACCGCTGTTTTGGCTTTAGACGGATTGAGCTCCGTAGTTTCATTTAAAACACCTTGAAAATACATATATGTCGCTATCACAGGATGAGCAACGCTATTTTCTAAAATTTCGTTAACTATGTTTTGGTAACTGGAAAGTCGCTGTGCTTTTACGCTTGTTACTTGTTAGCTATGTTATACCAAGAAGCTGTGTTTTCAGCACATCACCCAACACAGAAAATGTTGATACTGATGCTTTATCAGCTGGCAAAGGGTGGGATTTTATCCAGTTGTTACACGAGTATGCAAAGAAGTCATTGCATGGGTCAACGGTTTTATCGATGGATGCCAACAAATCTTTCGCTAAAATCGAAAGTAAACAGTAAACGCTCTGTTGACTCTCCTTGACGTATGTTATAACGGAACTGTTAGAGTTGATGATATCATTGTTTTTCGAAAAGGGCACGTAAAAAATAATAGACTCTTGCTGATATCCCTTGAATTCCGAATTTTATGGCATTAATTTATAGAAGCAGGAAACGGAGATTTTGGAGCAGGAGATTGCAATATGTAACAAAGACCGTTATCAATGACAAAACCGTTCAGTTAATTAACTTACCGGCGCGCGAGCATGCTTCAGTCTGGCACACATTATTCTTTATGGGTCCGTCGGCGTCTTGGTCTTTCACTTCCTTACTGGGAATCAAGCCGGTTTTGTTGTCTTGGATCTCCTCAACCATATGGCTCTTTTCAATGCCCGATATGATCAAACTCAGCATCATCGCACCAGACTGAATAAAGCCCAGGATTTCGTTCAGAGAAACCATAATACGGTTTAATATCAAAACCCAGGAAAATAAACCGGACAAATAGCCAGTATGGCTGTATAAGGAGTCCGAAGCACGGCCGAACAAAATGTACGGCCCAGCGTACTAGCTAATTAATATGCATTCAAATCGGGCACTTGCCGCTGCGCCAAGAAAGTATGAGACTATGAGTTACGATTTGTATATTAACTGACATTAATGTTTAATGCTGGAGCTTCCTCCACTGGCATTTGTTCCCAGTGTTTGACTAGATAGCTGTTTCAACGTACTTTTACTTTTGATTGTATGGTTGAACGGTACCCATAATAATCATTTTGGCTGAATGTACGCTTTTCACCTGCGTGGATACAAAAACCCCGCGCCGCCTTAATCGCACAGATCCGTGTCGGATATGTACATAAGGAGATGGTCTTACGTTAGCGATGAGTGGAATGCTTACTGCATGTAAATCATTTACACCGAAGATTACTACTCGTATGTTGTTGATATCAAATTTCCGCTATTTACGGGGTATTTGCAGTGCTCAACTGGTTTATACAAATAACTTTAATAAAACACGGTAAGAGCGCCATATGTGCACGAGTACGGCACGCAGCTTGTGATTGCTTTCCCTTATACTGGGTACATTTCCATCCAGACGGGACTGAATCAAAAGCTCCGTTTACAGAGAAAGGCTTTAAGTAATTGGATATTCCAAGCAGTAAGATGTACTGATATGTAAGACGCCGCTATGTGCAGACGACAGTCTGACGACTTGAACGCTTTGAATGCGATGAATTTGCATAATTTCCAAATGCAGTAAGTTGTTATTGTGCGCTGCTAGCACAGCTTTTTTGCTCACAAAAAATCCGACTATGCAGATGCTCGAGATTTTCAACAAAACTGACAATTATTATGATGTCGCCTGAACGAAAAATCCAACGAAAGTATGGGCTTCAAGAATCTGGAGGTTATTTTTGGTTGATCGAACTTGTTTACTTTCGGTACAATAGCTTTGCTAGAACCGTTTTCCAGTTTTTTTGCACACAATGTGTGTATTACAACAACTTTCTGATTAGGTCTTGAGTAATATTTTCGGGTGCTTACATCGTATGTACAGGACTGTACAAAGTAGATAAAATAAATGCGGTAGGAGAACTGCAACTTCAAGCTATGGAATTCACTGCATAACAAAGTATTTGCGCACCCATAAAATATAACGGTAAATTATTAATTGTACAAATCATGAAGTGTGCTATTTTTCACAAAATTCTTTGTGTGAAAGTCATGACAATCAAACTACAAACAAAACCGAAGACACCCAGTTGTCCGGCCTTGACGGCTGAGTTGCATAAACTGCTGTCGCAATAGCACTTTTCGTTGGTGTTCGCCGCTCCCGCGCTGCAGCCCAGAATTCTGTTGTTGCGATCCATGCATCCCTTCAAAATCACTTCTGTCCAAAAGAAAAACAATCCTTATTGCATGACCCCAGACAGTACTCATTTAAATTATTAAGTAATCAAAAGATAGATTAAGTTGCTGTAAATGAAACTGTGGTACATTTAAGCACGTAGACTTATTACTAACTATTCTGTTGGCAGCGAGCTCTACATTTTTTACAGAATAATATGTACTAACCTGTGCTGTTTGGTAACGTTGTTCTGTCCCTATAGCAAACTTCGTTGGAACCAGTGCATGTCGTTCGATCCTGGTTCTTTATTTGCGGCAAAATATAGCAGTCGAGGGCGCTGACTTTGCCTATATTGTAGCAATAATTTACTAAAGAAATACCCTTACATTTCGAACGATATTAGTACACATATTACCTAACACATCCAGAAATAACATTGTTTTAACGGAATACTTAAAGCAATGCTAAAACACGATCGACATGTTTTACAGTACTACAGTGTTTGATTTTGAAAACTAAAGTCTTACCAAAAGCGTTGAAGACCAAGCAGAACACAATTCCGACAGCAAAAAATGCAGTTTTCGTCATTTTGGGAACGAGTCCAGTAAAACTAATAATACTAATTAACACACTCAGTGGCAGATGTGCAATGATTTGTGGAGGGTCGGTAATAATCAAGAGTCTATGATTATTATTTGCTGCTAATGGAAAACCCCCTTGTATGGTGCTTGAGGCTACGTATGAAAGTCTCTTTCGAAGAGCTTCAGAACACATTTATATGATACAGCAAATTTAGTGGTATACGGTAGCTATTTTGCCGCAGTATACTGTGTGTATTTGACATACCCTACAGCGTGTAGTGTGTATTTGACATACCCTACAGCTGTTTTGCCGCAAACAGTGTCAGGATAACTTTTTGCTATTTCGCCGCACTGTAGGTAGTAGCACAGAGACTGGTAATACATAGAGAGGACACGCAATATTTTGCAAGTGATCCAGTTTTTGGTTCAGATTAAAACCCCCTGTCTACATGCCAACCGCCCAATTATCGGCATTAAGACCCCCTGTCTACATGGCTACCGCACAAGGCTACGGTGAAAAGTGCTGCAGTCTGAACCGAAAACAGGAACGCTGCGTTGCAGTGAAATTCAGCTTTGTGTCCTCTCTATGTATAGTAGTCTCTGTGGTAGTAGAATGAAACGATATCTATCTGTAAGCGGAAATGCAAAATGAGCGTAGAGCATATATATATACTCGTACCTTCCAGATTATTAAGACAGCGATATTGAACCAACTACCTAGTTTAGCTTTTTCATCGGCATTGGCAATCACCAACTTGTTCAAACAAACACCTTTGTTAAAACAACACTAGTGTAAACAATTATATCTACAACAGCAAAAATTTTGTTAACAATACGTTTTCTCTGTAATGGGCGTATTTGGGCACGAGATTGTAACAATCAAGCATCATAATAATCCGTAAATGCGGTAAAAAGAAACTCTTAGCTCCACGATTTTGTCATCGAAAGGACGCCGATAAGCAGAGTCAACAGCCAGGCGAGTTGTATTTTACGGGTTGCGGCGGCGTTGCACAGTTCCCGATTGCAGTAGCACATCTCTGTTGTGCCGCTCATGCTGCAGCCCATGGCGTTGGTGGTATACATACAGCCTTTCGTTACAACGCCTGGAAAAATAATTTGAATAAGATTTTATGTATTATTTATACCGGCCAGAATGACCTTGAGAAAAATTTGAAATCATCGCGCCACCGAAATTGCTTCTGACAGTGATACACTGCCAAGTTTATGCAGCATAATTTTGGTAAAGTAAGAGACGTCGAAGAAGGGCAGAGAGCCATAAATATATTAATTCTTTCCAGGTCTTTAAGCACAACTGATGAAGTGAACGCACATGAATTATACGGAGCACAAAAATAATTACTTTTCAAATCGCTATACAGAGCCCGTACCTCCCATTGTCGAAGAGGTGCGGTATTTGTAGCACACTTCGCTTGGTCCGCAATTTAACGTCGCCAACGTTCCATAGCACTGCAGCGCCGTGCACCCTGCGAAATTATAAGTGTAGACCAATTATTGTACAACACTGCCTGCAGATTTTAGTCCACTGATTAGCTAATAAGTCTGGATGAACTGCCATAGATACATAAAGAAGATATTACTTTGTACATGCAGGTACAACTTGCTGGAGATTTACTGGCGGCTGGAAGCCTGGAAGCGGCTGCGCTTACCGGAAATGAGCAGCACGAAGCCGATCAAGCAAGAAACAATTACTGTTAACTTGCCCATTTCAAGCAGTGTAAGTTCAGTGTAAAATCTGGAGTATCCTTCAGAGAAAGAAAAATGAGCAAAATCAGGCAAACAGCGGTATGTTTGGGATGAATTAAATCATTATGAGCTGCTCCGTTTTCAGACGAAGCAAACTGGTGGAACGTTAAACTGGATTTTTCATCTGTGCCTCATTAAGTTCGGCAAGAAGTGTGCGGCTGCATTTGTTTTGTCCACTCAGGCGGAAAAAGGCATAACGCCCAATTATGACCAGTATGATTTCATTCCCTGGCCTTATCGAGTTATGCCGCTGGGTTGTTACATGCAGTGTTCGTCCAATTATTATGATCTGCCGTGTAGCTGCCATAAAGCGAGGAAATGTATACATGTCGGCTGTTGCATTTAATGATTTTATTCGGGGTGATTATTGTTCACGGGAACAACATTCAACGGCAGAATGCGCGTTTACGGCTTTGGCTGACTGATCCGTTATTATTGCCGATAGTATTACCGTAACTCCATCTTCGCCATTGGTTCTGGTATATCAACGTATAAGTTTGCTGTCACAAAAATTCTTTGTGCTATGATATTTGAACTGTATTGTGGATACAATGCACGTACGGCGCAACCGGAAGTAAAGAGGAACTCAGTACAGATATGCAGTCAGGAACGGTACTCGTACAAAGAATGTGAAACCAAAAAGCCAACTTCGGGTGGTCGGTTCGCGCTTCAGAATATTTATAATTAAAATAAATTAAAATTATTAAAATAAGTAAAATAAAATTATTAATTAAATAAATTAGGTAATAAACAGCCTGCAACAGGTACGAGTACGCGCCTGTTGACAAAACTGGTTTCGAATAGAGATGGTTTTGTTTGCGCTGTACGAGTATGCTTTAAAACGAATCGCGCACTTCATTTGCACCTACTGTCTATACTTTTTATCCAAATGTATGCATTGTACAGCAGGTAATGATGTATAGATCCCACAAAAGTGAAATAAACAACAATCTTGAGCTAATTAATTATTGCTTCTCATCCGCAGATTGCTCGATCCTTAATTATACTGACGCCACGTCTTAAGCATGTGTTTCCGGTTATGACTTGAAAGGTCCGTTCAGTTTGAGCTGATAAGATTTAATGATTAATTTAAGGCTCATTTAGTAAGTACTAATACAAACATCTGCACAAAATTCAATCATCCAAGTGCACCTGATAATATTCTGCAAGAAATAATTTTTATTCGGCACATTATACTGATCCATAGCTGGACGTTGCAGCACACTGCGCGCTAAACATTATACGAACTAAATTTATTCCTTGATGATAAATATGTAGAAAAGTAGAAACAGGCACAATAGTAATGTTATCCAGGATTGGCTGCTACGATATCCTATGTTGCAGTAGCTGCGGCTGCAGTAACACCGCTGCAGAACATTGCCGGTCCATTCGCAGCCGGGATCCCGTGTTCCTTGTGGTAAGGTGCAACCTTTCTGTATGGTTTCTATACGTAATATTAAAATTCATAAGATGTGGCAGCGACGCTGTATGGGGTAATGAGCAAACAGATACCTAAAAAACCTCCAATCACTTCGCGATATTTATAACACACTGCATTTGGAGGACAGCGAATGGCGAATCCGCTCCTCCACGTAACAAACATCCGCGGTGTGGGTGGTAGATGGTAGCAGTACAGAGTGTGTGCTGTCCCTAACATACAAAACCCGTTTCTTGACCTTGTGCCGGTTATTAGCCAAAATATGTTACACTATTTGTACTTTTGTACGACTAATGCCGGTTTCTTACGGGCTTGATAAGATAACAGCAGGATGACTGCCGGCAGAAATATATCCATGATCGCTGGGAAATGATACTGGGAAATAATATTGAGATTTCTGCGGTGTGCATTTAATAAAGTAAACGCAAAAAAAATCCTGGAAAAGCCGGAAAATTCTCGTACCACTTTTAGGGGATTGTTCCACTGACTCGAAGGATTTCTGCATACGGTTCTTTATCGTGCGATTGGGAAGTGAACCGCATCCATCGGATCTGTAATTAGTATGTTACTTCTGGGGTCACTTGGCTAACAGCCTTGAATTGTTGACCATCAGCAAACGAACCTTTGTTTTCATTTTTGAACCAAAACCATCAGGTTAATTATATAATTAATAAAGTAAGCCAGAATCATAATCACGACGTATTGTTATTGCGGTATTATGGTATGCCTGTTTTGTTATCTTGTTTATTTTATAAGATTTTAGAACGTGCGCTAGTGTGTCAAATTGTGGGGTTATCTGTACCGGCTTTTTGGAACCCGACATTCCTTACATACTCTTGTACGGATTGTACATGCGTTCGATGAACGCTACTACTGTAAACATTGGGCATTTTTACGAGTGCATTGCACTAATAAAGCTCACAGTGTAAACATCAGATATCGCTTTTGGGTTTGTCACAATCCATAATAAGGGAAATCCCAGTCGTAGATAGAGGCGCAAGCTTCATTAACCTGGGTACAAAATGTCAAATAATCGAAGGAAACTTAAACAGAGATTACAGAATGATTTTATATTGTAAGGAAGCCGAAGGAAATGTTGATAAGGAATATCGCAAAACTTAGCACACAGTCCAACGTCCAAACAGATTTAAAAAATCTGCTGGTAAATACGGAAAGACGGTAAAGTCACATAAAAAAAATAAAAATGTACTGATAAAAAACTGCCGTAAATCAGACTAAAGTGCATAAACATTCGCATTTTTGTGTTGCTTTGATTTTGTAGGGATGAAGTATTAATTTTATCGTGAATTTTTACGCTAATTGCAAAACACCGGTTTCAACTTTTGGACCATAGAAATTGCGCTTGCTGGAGTGAGCCTCGATTAATATTTTCTGAATAAATTTCTTCAGCTTCTGACCATAGCAAATGTCTTTTTGCCACAATTCCTTAATTTGTCCTTTAAGCCGATAATGCGTTAAGCCGATCACGTATACAACCCTCAACTCGAACACAATTAAATTTTTCTTCTGGTTTGGTAGGTTTTATTAATCACAACATTCTTAGGTTGAGGAAGCTAAAAAATCAACAATCTCGGGTAAATAATATTACGCATTTAAGTTGTAGAATATCAAGTGAGTGAATCACATAAATAACATGTAAAAAATACCTGTACAAGTGCCCAAAAATCGGCAGCGCTTTACGACATTATTAAAAAAAATATACCACAATTGGTAACCGCCGAGCATCAGATTTAGAAAAGAGCTCGTGTTACAGCCATAACAACCATGCTACAAATCACTCCCAGGAAACCAAGTTGTCCGGCTTTAACGGCTGAATTGCATAAATTTCCATCGCAGTAACAGTTTTGAATTGTGTTTTGCACTGACCAACTGCAATCCATGTTCTTATTGCTGCGATCGGAACATCCCTTCGTGACGACTTCTATACAAACACAAACGCCCATTTCAGTCAAACTAGAGCCCCCAAACAGTAACAAATTTTTGTACGGCTACGTACGGTTTCCGCTTACGGCTCCTACGGCTACGGTACGGTTACGGCAGAAATAACTGGATTGACCGTACGGTATACCGTATACGGCAGTACCGTATACGGCAAGCCCATTGTAAAACCGTGTTTTTGGCTTACGGTTACGTACGGCACCAATTTTCACTACGGTTGCGTACTGTTGTGCCGTACAGTATGCCGTATACGGCAGTACAGTATACTGTTTGGGGGCTCTAAGTCAAACGCAGGTCAGAATACAGTAATTTACCAGAAGTAATGAAAATAGAGCGAAATTATAACAAAAAGTCGCATTACAGTTCATAACGTTTTTAAACGGTTATTCAGAATTACCGCGCCTCTACACTTTCAGTGAAATAAAAATAAGACGCTGTTTATTTAACTGTAATTTGTAATAGAGTTCTAACTTTTCCTGCTACCTGCAAGAACACCTACAAATTTTTAGATGCTTTTGCAGGCAATAGGTATGTAGGAAGGTAATAAACCTTTAAATAGATACACTGATATTACTATGACTCATACAGTATACTTCGAATGCTGCCTTATATGGGCTCCCCTGTATTACTCTCCCTTATCTGGGCTCCCGGCTAGTTAGCAATACCCGTCAAATTGAATTTATCGGATTATAGCAAAACCCTTTTCTACTCCTTTCAACCGGATTTACAAGTGAGCACACCAAAGAATTCCGAAATTTCACATCCGATTTATATTTATATATATTACATATATAATAATATTTTTCATTAATTTCAACCGGATTTGCCAATGAACAAACTGAAAAATGCCGAAATTTCTTATCACATTATTTTTTCATGGGGTTCTTAGTGCATTTAAGCGGGCGACGTTTAGAAAGATCTTAAATTTAGAAAGATTTTGAATTTTAGAAAGATTCTGAATCTGCCGTTGATGCAACCTGAGCATTTCGAAAGAAACTAAATGCTACAAAAGTACTGGCAAAATAAGTACTTTATATAAATCAAAATTTTCAGTCAGGCATAACACTGATAACAGCTGCGAAAGTGTGAGTTATAACGTAACCGCCCATGTAGAGGTTTGCTCATATTGCCCGGGAGCCCAGATAAGGGAGAGTAATATAAGGGGAGCCCATATAAGGCAGCATTCGAAGTATACATAATTAACAAGGATAATACTGTAAACCGTTAGCAAATTAGACAATAAAAGGCCACATCACAAAAGTATGTATCGTAAAAAGTGCCACTGCACAATATTTATCGCATAATATCTATATACATAATTTTCTATATAAAAAAGGTATATATATATATATATATTTCCTATATTTTCTATATCTATTTCTAATTTTATTTTTAATTTTCTATATTTTCTATATACATAATTTTCTATAGGTGCAACAAAAATGACGCGCTTACCTGGCGTGCCTGGCAGCAGTGTTCGGGTTTTGTAGCAAACATCATTAGCTCCGGTGCATGTCTTTCTGTCATTATCGTTAAATCGAGGCATAGTGTAGCAGTCGAGGGCGTCGGCTTTTTCTACATTGAAAAGGTTTCATGACCATAATTAATATTTATCTAATGCTTCTCAACTATGTGCAAAAGAAGCCGCATTGCGGATAAGGCTGACTTGCATTGCTAAAATAATATTTTAATTAAGTACTTAAAATATCAAATAAACAGATGGAGAATGTTTGAAATTAACTCACCGAAAATGGCAATGGTGAAACACAGCAAAATTCCGAAGAACAATAGCGCGATTCTGGTCATTTTTGAAGGCATGCGATCGTATTTCTCCGGAGAAAATATACTCTTACTACAGTTGCTTTATATTAAATTTATTTAAATTCAGTTACATATATTGAATAGCACTTGTCTTGTTTAGCAATGACACAACTAACTCGCAGATACTGCTTGTTGAAGCTGAAGTGCCCTTTATATACAGAATCTTTCGGTGCTGATAAGGGCTGATGTTGATTTACTTTCCAGCAGTAACACTTCAACTTCACGGAATAATCGGCGATATTCCGTTTATGACCACTAGACTGTGACAACGGAAATCCCCAAAATATCGTGATGGCTATTTTCAACATCAGTGTATGTACATTCCATGTTTATGACTGGTTACACAAACCTCTGTCGACGAGCACTGGCGAACACGGGCAATCGTGCTTATCACCCCTCCGCATTTGTTCAACAAACCTTTGACAAAAGATGTGGATTACTACGAGTACAATGACTAACATACACTGTCCAGTGGGATTGCAATTTTGGGTAATACAGATAGATAGGCCGCTTGGTAGGCAAGAGCCTTTTCTTATATATATTGCAACAGTCGCCTATCTGGCTACTGTTCTAGTGGGTTGACGATCAGTCTTTACCACGATTATGCGGCTGTTATGTAGTGTAAGGTTGGTACGGCCGTAAGCGAAACGGTCCGGTGTGGCCTTAGAATTACTTAGATGGCACCGGTTGGGATGAGGCGATTCATCCCAAGCGGTCAAACGGAGCAACGCAAACACAACGCATAGCAAGGTTTCTTATTCCAAGAGAATCAGCAAGAATTCAGGCAAGAGTAGCTGCAAGAGAACCAAGCGTTCCAAGACTAAAGTGAGAATTCTAGACATCGAGAGAAAGCCGGTAAAAATCCATAGAAATGTGGAGAATCGTTATCAGACGTTATGAATCATAATGCAGTAAAACAACAACCAATCATTGATGTTAAATGACCATTACTATTCGAAACTGGTGGTCTTACACGTTGTACAAATTCTATCGCTACAATATGGCCCGTTTTCTTTCCGTTAGCGGTGGTTGTTAACCACATTAATGCACGCCAGCGCCAATACCACTGGGTAGTGGTACTGGGTTTGGGGAATGGAAAAGTGTTACATGACGATCTTCGTGGCGTCAGACAAATTTTATACTCCTGACGATCGGTTACTAGCACCACCTCGCGCTTCGCGGTCAGTGCAAATTATTATTTGTGCGTGCGACTACAATCTAACGTGCTCCAGGAATTCTTAACTATGCCTGTTGTATTCGTACTGTACCTATTTACTCTGCATTTGCCGCTTCCGCTGCAATATGAATTCCAGTATTCTCTACCAATAAGCCGGTATTCCAGTGTATCATGCCGCCTGTACTTCTAATTTGCAGTATTTATAATTTGTATTATTTTACAATCTAGCCTTAATTTTAATGTATTCGTATAACTGAAGTCTTCTTCAGTGTATCGAGGTGTCCTCACTTATTTCGCAGGGATTCTGCCCGAACTCAAAGCTAATTCTAATTTTCTTAACTAAGAAACCCAAGAATACATAGAGAATACGGGCGGAATACGCGAGAATACGGGGCACACTAAAAAAACAGCAGTAATGCCTAAAAGCTACATGATGAAAAACAACTCCCAAGAAAAGCAGAACACAGGCAGAATACGGATAGAATACGTGGGAATACGGTAATACACCACAGCAGACGTTGTCAGTCGCACTTGCAAAAGCAAAATAATTGAGAATACACCTTGAGTAAATACCGAATACGCGTGGGATAAATAGGAATACTGATACGTGGGATACAGTAAACAAAAAAACGGGCTGATTTTATAGAGTGGTACGAAAAGGGCCATTGGTGGATTAATGTGATTATTGATTAACTGCAGCCACAGAAATGCAGTTATTGTGCGTGTGCAGATACCGCTTATAATCTTTCTTCTCATTAACACAACAAGCGTTATTCTGCCTTCGTATGTGGCACGGGCCGCTTGGTATACAATGAAGGGTATTTACTTATACCTTTCTATCTTGTAGCGCAGAAAGGTTTTGGTCTGGCTTTGAGCTAAGGCGTCTGTCATGAAACAAAAAATTCTTGAATTGAGGGAAAAATTGTCTGCGTAGTGCACAGCGGACGTCATCTTTGAGCAGTACGCCACAGTCTGTGGGGTACGACCGTACGAGTATATAAATTAAAACAAAGTTTATATAAATCCACTTTGTTGTATTGTTGCGTGTATTCGCAGTTACTTAACAATTGATGTACAAAATAGACCACCTGAAAATTTTCACAAGTTCGACAACCATATGGTTAGTGTGTACCGTTTTCTTTTCTCCATCGAACATCGTTTGCGCCGGAATGAACGATCTCGAACAGGGTACACGTACTGATCAGCACTTTTCTCTGGTCACCGTATTCCACGTATGATGCATATGGAAGAGTGGCAGAATACTAGAAGCGTACGCGGCAATAGAGGCGCACTTTGCGGGGCAGTCATTCGCTTATATGGCTAAAGGCACTTGTAATATCAATCCTTGGCAGTATTTCTACGTATTCCGTTCATATTCTGCTCTTAGTTCCCACGCCTCCGGTTCCTTTACTAGGGTAGGAAATTGGGAAGACGCTCTGGAAACAGGCAGCATGCTGATGGAACACATGACAATACAGTAAGCACTAAAGAAGGCTGCATTAATGCCCAAATGCTTCACAACGGGAAACACCGTCAATAGGGCCTGACTGGTGAGTACGGTCAGAATAGTAGAATACGTGGTAGTACTGGCTGATGTGCACTGAATTCTGAAATCATACGGTCAATCGGGATGGAAAACCATGGAATACCGGACGAATACAAGAAAAATACGAAGGAATAGGTGGAATACGGTGCTGGAAAACGGGGTTTACTTTATAAAGTACGAAATGGGCAATTCGGATGTATCAGATGAGGCGCATCGCTGCAGCGTACACCACGTCCGTCTGTTCTTTTCCTGAATCTTTTTATCGAGATGGTAGACTCTTGTAAGTTGTGACCGTGTGGCTTAAAGCGAATATGGCTAGTCTTGATAGCTTTGTGCTGTTCGAATCAAAATGACAATATATCGTCAGTATCCTTTGCTTATTTTCAATGAATTGCGGATCGTCAGCGCATAAAATTTTGAAGACAAGCATAATATTATTACGTTAACACAGCATGCAACATAACGCAAAAAGGCGATTAGGTACCCTTAAGTAAAGTTGAATGTTAGCATGTCTCATAAAGCGCAAAGAGCACATTGGCAATTTGGTAGATGATACATAATGTTAAGCCAGTGTAAAACCTCATCTGGTGTTTACATTGTCTCCCTGTAATTGATTCCTGATGGAAAAGGCATCGATCCAAGAAGGTCGCAGAGGCTTTCGACAACACGGTGCTGCAAATTGATGACTGCTGTGAACATGGTAGGGATTGTTATCATGTCATGCCCATGTAAAGTTTCGGACGCAAGTCGCAAGTCGGTTGTACAGGAGCATTATTGGTTTCTCCCCGAACTCCGTATGCGAATGACGTATCAAAAGACATGCAAGCAGTCGCCAAAAACTGATCCCCGACGATTCCCCGTGACGCTTCCACAGTTCCACTGCTTGACGTGTTTTATCATTTCAATGGCGGTGCTTTGTGTGGCTGATCACTTACCAGTAAAACTGACGCTGTTCTTTGTCTTCTATTTAGGGGCTTGTAGGCATCAAAAAAGTTTGAAGAATCATGGCCAGGAAAGACGCAGGACCTATTGTAGAACAAATCACCCGATTTCTGACTTTCATAGTCAGATAAAATAATGGCATTCCATAACCGGCAAACGCGTCGGTATCATAATCGAGATTTCCAGGACATAAAAGACGTGGAAAAGAACACCGGAATACAATGTCCATACAGTGTAGTCTTCGGTACCAGGAGAATAAACCTTACGTGAATACTTTAATTTGCTGGGACAGCACACAGGACTTTGGCGTGATTTGTATTCTGTAACATACGGCAATTATCAGCATCGTACGATTTTTCGATGTATCTCGAGCCGTAACAGCATACAGTATTGTTACTGTTCGAGAGAAACCAAGCAACTTTTGATAAGAAAACGCCCTTGATATTACAAGTTCGCTTCATAAACTTGTTCTAAATTTGCAAGGAATAGAAAAGTTTTTGGTCTGCAAATGTGAAACTTTTGTGCACTTGCCTTTTCGCACATTATTTAGTCCAAAATAAGATTAGTCTGCTTACAACCCGCTCAATTTTATTATTTGAAAAACGGAAACTCTAAAATTACAATAAAACAGAAAAAAAGAATTTTAAAAGTAAGCGCAGCTAAAGAAATAAACGCCAAAATCCTTGTTTCAATAAATGGTACCTCAAATAAAAATCACGAATACAGAACTAAATACAAAATAAAATTCGACAAACCTGGAAGTACTTGAATCATGGCGTAGCTTTGATATATTTTTATTTCAATAAAGTAGTTAAACTTTAAAAGCTCTCGGCTGATGGCAAAAATCAAGTACGAATGCACAAAGCAGCAAGCGAAATTTAGCAGTTCATATGCTGAAATAATTTATTAGCAGGAAGGATCAGTCGGCCTAGAGACTTCTGTTTTTCTTAATTTTCTTATTAACCGATCTTCGGCCCCGATAATATGGCGTGCTACACGATGAACTGATAGTTGCATACCATTGGTTAAATCAATCATTATTGTAAAAGTAATCGGGTACTAGAAAAGCCGAAGTCTACCGTGCATAATTATCTTTAATGGCATTATGCCGTGCCGTGTAAAACAGTTGGTTATAGCTTGCGAGGTCAAAAACAACTTTTCCGCTATCACACGCTCACACAATTGTGACTATCTGCATGATTGTTTTAATGGCAGCCTAGAATTAAAGCGATATCCCACAACAGCAGCACCGATTCTACCGATGTGAGAAATATTTGTCCAAGTATCCATAAATCAAGTGATATTTAGATTTAGATTAAGTTGTACAATGGTACACCCTCTTATCGGCAAAACCACCGGCAGAGACACATAAAATACAACAACAGCTATTGTTTTATTCTACGAACATTTACATATAAGTGCTGTGCAAGGATACATTTCATATGTCATTTCCTACATTTTCTCGCTGGTGTAACGTTCTATATATTATTATCTCCGGCATCCATAAGACAAAATGGTGTGTACACGTTTATTTGTCGCTGTACTAGTGATCGCTTTATGCACGGTGGATATCGGTAAGAACAGTTGAATACAACTGAGCTGCCATATTTTTCTCTTTATGATATCGCTTAAGTATGCCTTAATAAATCGGTTCTTTCTCCCTATTTCACAGAGAACGTGATGGGATTAAAATGCCATCAACGCGGCGCTGATGGAGTGGACACTATCATTACTTGTCGTAATGGAATGATCGGAAAATCGTGCATCACGAACATTACATATAAGGACGGCGTTCGAGGTTAGCATGCGCATAGTATCTGCGGTTTGTAAAGGTCTTCAGTGCCCCCAAAACTTTTGACGCTTTGCTTTTAAACTATTGTTATGCGCATTACGCGCATCTTGCGTTAAATTGCGTACATCTGCAGAGGTACGGAAGGGTTGCTCACCATCGGCTGGAGACGAGACTTGCTACACCGGTATCAATCCAGGCGGAAGCAGCACCACCTGCTTCTGTTACAGCGATCTGTGCAACGCGGGAGACGAACCGTTTTAACTGATGCACCATACGTAAACGAACACCGCTGTGTTCCTCTCCTTTCGGTTATCTTTTCGTTCCGTTATGCACTATGCTACATTGATGCTGTTTGTAGCAAGCAATTTGTTTTATAATCCCAATACCAGTTGTTTACCAGCCCGCCAGCGGGAAAAAACATCAGAACTAATTCAAAACAACAATGCATTTTGCATAAGACAAAAAACAAAGAGGATTGCGCGTCGTATAAAACACAACAACAAAAAATTATTACCCGATCTGCTTTACAGTGCAAGTTATTATTCAATGCTGCTAAGGTTAGCAGTCCGATTGAGAAGGATTTTTGTTGAGGTCGGTAAGTATCTGCCGGACAGTATCCATACTTTCGTCCATCTCTCGTAATCTGCAATTGAGGAAGTACGCTTTGAATTTATGCGAAGAACTAATGATTTCGAATTCGCTCACTCACCGTTTTAAGATTTCCTTGATGTCGTCAGTAATTTGTATTGCGTTTTTGCGAGTTTTATCGAGAGCGTTGTCCGTATCCGATGGTTGATATTCACGATTGTAACCTCCCGAAACTAAGCGGGCCAACTGCAAAGAAAATTTACAACATCTGTTGAATGCAACTAATGCAATTTTATAGTAGTTTCGCCAACTGAGTCAGATTAATCAAACTCTACCAAAAAAAGGTTCGAGCGACAATAAAAATTACACGTTTTGAATAAAAACAAAATCTTTGACTCAAAAATTGTATAGTGGTCAAATACAAATACAACGGAGAAACGCGATTTGTGTAATGGGTACGATCCCCGATCAGGATAGCATAGAGGAAGTGTTTCTTTTGTAAATGCCGTTTTGTTCTGGTGCATAGTTTGTACTCGTACCATGATACTTATTAAAGGCTTTACCAAGTATAGTGGTTGCTAGCTTTGATTGCTTGCTGGCCTATCAAGGCAAATCAATGCAACATTTTTTTTACCCAAGTTTTCCATCCCATTGGCCGCCCGGGGTAATACCGATATTCGTACTTGCCACAATGTAGATTTTGCCGCCATGAATAAGGAAGCTTCACCGTTCCACGCGTCACAACTTCTAACGCTCGCTCCAGAACCAACAAACCCTGCTCTAGTGAATCATGTAATGAGATCTGCATCTTTAATCTGAGAATGACGGCATTCTGTCGGATGTTGGCCATATCGGCCAGAGCTAAGCCCATCTACAAGTATAGTGCGTGCAACAAAAGATTGCCATAATACTTAACGATTTGACGCCCTAGGTTTCTGTAGCTTACCAGGAGATTATTCAGTAAAATGCACATAATGACCATGCATAGCCCGTAGAAAACGAAGCTAAGACCCTTGAAGGGTAGCATATTTTCCATGTAAGGCGAAAGAAAACGTTCGAAGGCTTCTAAATCGCCCAGCATCAGCGATGCTATGCGCATCGCTGAGGTCTCCACTGTCTCGTGTGTCGTGCGCAGTTCTTCTGGCTCATAGTTGTCCGGCTGTTAAAAACATTTATGTTATATTTAGTTTCTATAATTATGTAGTTTTCTTCGTCAGTGAATTTTTGTTCCTTATGGAAGAGTGCCTGATGCATGTACAATTGTCCGGTTAACGTGTTGCATACATACGTACATTGGTGTAAAAGATAGAGTCATTCGGAAAGATAAAAGTCGGGAACAGCGTAAAGAAAGCTCCACTGAAAGCCGCCGTCAAGATGAAGAAGAATAGTGCCACTTGAACGAGCGTCCGTAAAATGGTGAAGAAGATGAACGAATAGATTCCAAATGCTCCGAATCTTGAGAACAGACACACAATATTATTTTTGTTGATACTCAGAACTCGATAAATTATTATCATCAGTATTATTGGTGATACTTACGGACGGAAGAAGCGAATAAGGTTGAACCATGCCAAAAATACCGCGATGGCGGCACTCTCATACGTGCTCAGTATTACATGTCGGTCTTGACCCTCGAAATTGCTTTCCACTGCTAGACAAATAACAAAGGAAAGCGTGGACAGGAATAGGGCTAACTGAATGTAATTCGTCCAGTCCCTCCAGTAGCGGGTTTTCTAAAGAAGGCAGTAATTGTTGTAAAACAAAGTGACCTCAATTTCATATTACTATACATAAAGGGATTGCCAACTGACCTGAGTGATAAGATCTGCGATCTCTTTTGCCAGGATGATAAGTGCCGCTAAAAATAGTAAAACGATGGCCCAGTCAGGTACCCGCCCAAAATCCTTCATATCTTTTTCGACTTCCATTCGCAGTTCCGTATAGGATACGCTGTTGGTAATATTTTCCTGAGTATAATTCTGTAGATTCGTCAGCGATAAGTTGAGAAGGTACGGCCGCAGAGAGTAATCGACAGAGTAGACGACAATAAAGGATAATAGTCCGACAAAGAGGCTATTCACTACTAATATGAAGGCCGACAAGTATAGACCGTAGATTATCCATTTTTGTTCCAGTAGGGTTGTGCAGATCGGATGAGTCAAGAGCTCGGTGCGTTTATTTACTGCCATTATCTACAATAAAAATTAAAAATTCAGTGCGATTACGCAGTATGACCATAGAGTTCTTTTAATCCGCGCTGTACTTGTATTGTCGTACAGTACATACTAGCCTTTAAAAGGGAAATTAAGGTAAGTAAAAGTCTGGAACATAATAAAAGTTTTGTAATATCTGTACTTTGAGTGGTTCCAGGTGGGATTTTTGTTCCTTTTCCCGACCTTTTCCTGTCTTCTCAACGCTTTTGATTGGCGGCTCTCCTTTTCCAGTGCTATTATCTGGCTTTAACACGCTGAAGTCATACCGCACCTGGTGCGTAGTAAACCGTATTTTAAGTTACTGAGCGAATAATTTTAGAAGTTACAAAACCTTTCTTACATATGGTTCGCCTTTACATTTGTGACCGGAATGGCGCTCCATGGAGCGATCGAGGCAGTACTACAACCAGTAAAAAATTAATAACTGTAGACTTGTAAAGGGTACGGTAAATGCGCAGGCGATGAAAAACTTAGTGCACATGCCTTCATAACGTTGGGTAGGTTCACTATCAATCCGGCAATAATGCTGTCGAAATGGCTGGATGACCTCTCAATTATAGCCTTCCATTGACCACTGGTCACGAAGGCCATTGCTGCGTTCTCTTTTCGGTTGAGAATAGCGAGATCCAAAGGATTGCACGAGCCACACTGGAAGGATGCCTTATTCGACAGCAGGAAAGAAATGGATAAACCGGCATCGTGTACTGCGGCACTATGCAGTGCCGTATGCTATAAAAATTATCAAAAGTAGAAATTCACAGTTACTGCGATATAATATTGACAAAACTGTGTTCGACAAGGCTACAACATACTCCTAAATGGTCCTCTTCATCGATAATATCCGCATAATTGTCCATTAAGTTTTTTAGCGTCTCTGCACAAAAAAAAAGAAAAGAATAAATGTCGTTCACATAGACTCCGTCTTAAATGTAAGACTTTACGGTAATGATTGGCTGCTGCCGCATAATGTAGTGGAGTTTGTCCGCTGTGGTCTTTCAGTGGGATTCCACCGCGGAGGCAAAGTACATCGACAATATCGGAATGACCGTGTGCCGCGGCAATGTGCAACGCTGTTCTGCCTGAAAACTAACCTTTCTGACTGAGGTTTAAGCAACAGTCAAGAAAAACCTGAGACTCACCTTTATAATCTCGGATGTTTAATCCTAAATGTCCATTACCAAAAGAAATGAGCAATATCAAAATTTCGCGAAAGCCATGCCTGGAACCAGAAGGACGAAAAAGAAAATTGTTAGAAATACAGTAGAACTCTGGCGATAAAGTGAATTGGCCTGTCTTAATTACCGGGCTGCAAAATGCAGAGCCGTCATTTGCTTCTGACTCTTTGCATGGATATCCGCGCCCAGATGCAGCAGGCCTTTTACTAAACTTAGTTTACCCGCACGAACGGCGTAATGTATGGCAACAAAACCGGTTTTGTCTGGGAGGTTCAAGTTTTGCCGCCAATCGGCTTTCTGTCGGAATAAAAAGGGGCTTTCGTTAAAAATAATCAGCGAGGAAGTTATACCATAGGAATAACAATTTACCTGCACTGTAATCTCTCCGAAAGTGCAACACTCAGAAAGGTCATAACCGGCAAGAACAGCATGATGAACCGCGGTGCGTTCGTCTACATCCACGAAAAACGGATCGACACCCGCTTGTAAGAGCCTGGGTAGAACTCGCCAGGACCCTTTAGACACGGCCAAATGCGCAAGATTACAGCCGCTGGAATCGAGAACTTGCAGTGGACTTCCCTGTGAAGACCCGCGTTTCAAGACAGCACTAAATTTTTAGCAAATTAAAATTCTTCCCATTGACATTCTCAGCATACTTTTTGGACTAATGCCACGACGACTTCTTCGGAATCCATTAGTACGGCCATCGATAGTGCCGTATGTCCACGCGTATCTCGTACCCTTAAGTCTTTCGACGGCGCTAACTCCACCATCAGTTGCAAAATGCTTAGAGCATTGCGGTTAAAAGCCAGTTGCAGCGGAGTCGCTTTTAAGCCCTAAACAGACCTAACAGCTGTACGCTTCGGATGAATTCGGCGATCGATATAAAAAGTGCCACAAAATTTTTCGAATTTTTCACAAAAATAAATGGATTAAGTGAACCTTTGATGAATAACTTTTTTTCAGTTGAATTTTAGTGCTCAAATAAATTTTCTTACCCGAACTTGCGAAACCAAAATGGATGCACCTCGCTGCAACAGCACTCGTACACATTCCAGCTGCAGTTGCATAACCGCCCAGTGTAGCGGTAGTGAACCGTCGCGGTCCGGCATCGACAACATGATGCCCTTATCTGAAACCGCAGAGCTTATTATGGAACTGGGTTACGAAGACAATCGGAAGCACTGATAAGAAGTGGCGGTTATGGAATACGCACTGAACTGTGAGTCATCGAGAAAGTATGTCAAAACATCGACTGCGCCGTGGATGCATGCCACATGGATGGGCTGTAGTCCGTAGCAGCAAGTCTGTTCCGGGAACGGATTGGCACGATGCTGCAGTAACAGCTTCACTGCTTTTACGTTGTTCACTTCCGCTGCCGTGTGCAGCGGCAATTTACCGCAACTTCCCGCTTCCACGCTATCCGTTAAAGAGCGCGGACTGTTTTGCAATAGTTCCTTTACGACAGGATGTTTGGTTAGATAAAAATAATAAGATAATCAAATTGCTTCTGCAAAGTTTGAAAATATTTTTCATTGTTTGCTGGTGACTAGCATTCTAATTCTGGGAATGCAAAAATGTTCTTCATTTTTTTTGTCTCGCAAATCTGATCACACTTATCACATTTTTATCGATCGTCTTGAAATACTCAAGTGTAGAAAAAAACGGGGTACAAAAGTAACACAAAAAAAAAAGCATAATATGCACAATTTTTAAAATTTCAGTTACTCTTTTACGTTTTTTTTGGCGATTGAGAATAATAATTATTTGCATGTCCCAAAAGGAACTTTACGTCAACAAATCGCCTTACTTCAACGAATTCGTTGTTGCCGTCTCGAATCGCTTTATGCAGTACTTCTCCGCCGTTTTCACTGGAAAATCTCCGTTCGCTACAAGAAACTCTCTCCGCGAGAGCATCCAAAACAACGATATATGATTCCGGAATATTTAAACTAGCCACCGAATCTCGGCCGCTATTGGCGTACTGGTTAATCAAATAGTTCCGCCGTTCGTTCGCCATCAAGAGTATCACTCTTCATAAAACCACACACGGTCTTCTTCCCGTGATTCCGATTGCAGTCGATGAACGATAATAAAATTATTTGGCATGCAACAGCTACCAAATGTGTACATAATGGGTTCGTCGTTTACACTCGGTTTATTTATATTTGTACTTGGCGCGCGTTGGATCGCCACAACACATTTCTTCGGTACTGATAACATTTGCGGTTATCACTTCATAACGTACCCTTTCACCGAAGTATGCATTCTGATATTCGTTCCTATCAGTTATTTGGTCTGACAGGCTGGATATTTACCCCGTATACGTGTTGTGGTTCATCACTGCATCACACGTTCTTTAAGAACCCCATTGTGCGTTTCATGGTAGTACATTAATATGGCACATGCTTGTTATGCTCTAATCAGTCTAATGTATGAGTCAGTAATGAGCCGTGGACTTGTAACTGGTTAACTAACCTTTGATTTCCTCATCTTGCACCATCGATCTTTTGATTATTGATAATATGTACTCTTGATATTGTGACCATGCATGTACGTAAGCTGGCGCGTGGCGGCTGTATGTAGCGCTAACCGTAGGATTTTATTTTTGAGTTTCATGCACGGTAGATTATTGTATCTGTAACAACTTGATCATTATTAGCACGTATGTTAGAAATTTAAATCACAATCAGAGAAACGTGTTGTTATAGTTGAGAACTTGAGATCATTTAGTTTTTTTCGATGCAGTACCTGATGTGACGGTTTACGTAGCACTGATTCCAGTCTCTTGTCATCAAAGTGGTCATCAAAGATGTGAGCGTAGGTATACAGATAAGTGTTGAGTTTTCTGAACGTGTTTTTGTGTTTGTCTGCGCTGTCAGTGCACTAACACTGCATATTTTTGCACCGTAGCCCCGTACCGTAGCCCCGTACCGTAGCCCCGTACACTGAGGACCTTTGAAAATTGTGATGAACGTGGTGTTGGAAACATTTTGAATCTGCTCTCCCAACAGCCGACAATGCGCTTGTAAAGCACGTAGTACACTTCAACTGGAGGGGCGGAGCTCCAGTCAAACTGATGAAAATATTAATGACCGGTTCAGTTCGTCAGTTCGGGCCTCCAGTATAGGCGTTCCCATCAGTTTCACTTGAAGTATAACGCTTGCTTAACCGATAGAACCATCCGTCGGTTCAGAAAAAATTCGTTGTACGTAAATTCTGCTCTTCCACGATTTTGTTTAATGTCATGTCAACCTTGCCCCTCAAGGCTACTGACAGAGGTTGCCATTTAGTCAAACAAGAAGTCCTACCGGCAAAGCCACTAAACCTAACCTAACCTCTCTTCCCCCCCCCCCCCCACCTCTCCTCCCCCCCCCCGGCTTCGCCGGCATAAGTTATTATATTGTCATAGTGAATGATCTGACCTGCATCATTTTTAAGGGAACCGGAGTGGCAAAAACGCCCAGCAGACATTCTTGCTACTTTCGGAGTAACCGTAAAAGAGTAGAAAAGTTTGTCTAGCAGAGAGGACAATATTTCTAAGGTAAAACAACATGCTTTCTGCTTGGTGTAGCAGAATTACATTTAAACCAAACCGTTCGCTTGCGAAACACAGTTAGTAGAGCAGTGGACGGATTTTCTGTTAGATGGCTTTCCCGATTTAATTGGTGATTTGGTATGGCTGCTCTGTTGAAAACAGCTTAAATTGCCTTACCATTAGAGGCTTACCACAAACTATTGTAATTTAGACACATATTCCTGCTACGCTTCGGTCATGCAGTGCCCGCAAAAGGCGTGTGCACTTTCATAGTTAAAGTGTATTCTAATTACGTATAATCTTACACAATAGCACCTCATGTCATCCATGGTCGGAAAAACCTGATTGTGACTTCCGTGTTTGCACCATCGCTGAACTGGAGTGCTATAGGTAATGCTGCATATAAATATACGCGTTATAAACAGTTGATAAATTACCGAATATTTCTTCAAGAGCATATTTCCACGCAGCAAGGAAGTACTTGTTGTACAAACGCTATGGCAATCAAACGTCAGAGTGCGGCACACCCTTATAAGATACTACAATTCCGCTCGCAAATTTGCCACCGAACAATAACATCAGATCAACAGATACGTAGCGTTATAAGGGCGGTTGATGCTTGGTTAGTTGAACCGCACGTTAAAAAGTGCAGCCAACTTACAACCAGCCGCCCGATGTGGCGCGCTACATGCCTGCTGCTGCGGTTACATAATTACTGTTCATTCGTATGAAGAAAAAGTTAACGGCTCCACCAAAGTTTTATTTTCTTTGTTTGTGGAATACAATTACTACGATACAAACGTCGGTATCCACAGTTACAGTACAACAGTGCTGCATCAATGTTGAGCGCGGCGCGACTGTACATTGACCATAAAGTAGTCATTCACCCTAAATATTTACCAGTTCTAGGTGACCTAACTACCGCGTTATTATGCCGGCGTGTTTGCGTTGGAGACAAGATTTACGCGTTAGGTGGCGCCGTTGATGATGATACGGAAGGGTTCATTGAGGTTTATGATGAACCGTCGGATACCTCGTCCCATATCGAAAGCACACTGCAGAGACGTGCATTCGGTTGTGCAGTGATGCGCATTCCCAAAAGCTCCACTGACTCGAAAAAAGAAATGTGGATTTCCGACTGTACTGCTTCAGTAAAGTTCCTCGATAACGCCGTGTATAAATTGTTCGGGTTATTCACTAAATTCAAGGTTTGATCACTCTTTTCAAAGTTTGTGTCCTGGCTGAAACGTTTCCTGACTCCGAATGTCTTGTTCTTCGGCATTTCCAACGGTTTCTTCTATTATCTTGTAAGCAGCCAGCGCCATGTGGCACATTACGGATACATGATGGACTGCTGATGTCATGGCCATTAATTTGAAATAACGCTTATAATAATGTCATATTCGATTTCACTTCGTTGTATCGTATCCCCTCTGTAGCGCATGTTAGAAATGAGCTTGTGTTGGGAATTCAAACTGGGCCAAACACATGTATGTAAACTGGAGCAGGTTTGTGGCTGCCTGTACCATGATGAACCTATTATTACTTACTTATTAAACAACGATGATTACAGTATTACCATAACCTTTAATTAGAATACTCGTATATTCTAAAACGGTGCTTTTAAGCATCTCAACTCGAATGGCTCTTTCAACGCTTTGAGGGAGCTGGCGACCGTTCAGATTAGAAAAGGAAGCGAGGTTGAAAGTAAGCGAACCTCGCTTCCTTTCCAACGTGAGCAGTCGTCACTTAAACGATAAGCGAGGGTCGCAGGCAGCTTTGATTACGAGTTTACGATTATGTACCACAATCGAGAAACACCGGTGCACTGTGTGGCCAGATCGCCGGCCTTAGTTATTAGAAAGTCTCGTACGAACAAAAGAAGAAGAACAGTAAAATCAGTGTGTGCCAGCTTCTAATAATGTGCGCGGTCATTCTGCGTTCATGGTAAGTTGTTCAGAACAATTAGGACGCTACCTGTTGAACCACTTGGACAATATGTTGAACCACTTGGATAACTTTTATCCGCCTTAATACTGTGCACGCTTATGAGTCTCTCTACTTAAAGAAAGAAAGCAGAAAAGGCAATCTAATTACATGAAAAAGCGACAAATCCGAATATTAGGGGCGGAACCAAACCGGTACTGGTCGACGCGACGTTGCAGAAATCGCTGTTGCAAAAGCAACTCTCCATGGTCAGCCCGGCTGTTTTCTCCGCAGAGCATTTCATTTCGTTAGTATGACTTGTGCAAGCTCTCGCAGTAACTGTAAAGAAAGCAATGAATTAGTACAACTTGTCTTTTAAAAGTAAGTACTCAGTCCGTGTAGGCTTAAGCTAGAACTAAATGAAAACTGCTTAAAATCGTGCCGAATATTAAACGTAAAATGCTCATTTTGCAGAGAAATTAATTTTTTTATTATATCCCGAAATCACAAGCAACGGTTTTTGTTAGAATGTACACATGTACACAGAATGTACACGTTAGAATGTACGCATTAAAATGTACACAGAATGTACACATCTGGTTGCCATCATGCCATGTCATAAGAAAGAGAGGAACGCTCCTAGCCTCCTACCGACATTGCCGTTCGTGGTTGTGGTGACCTTAACGCACGTGGGATTGTCGATAGGCCCGCAATCGGGTTGTGATGAATTATGCTTTGCGCCGTCCAACTCCGACTGATGATAGCATTTTAAGGTCCAAACGCCGTCTACAGCAATGATCAACAGCAGACGTAGCTATTTCAATTACAACGACAACTCACCACTGGAACTGCAAGAAAAACAATTTTAACTTACCACTGCTCAGCAAAATAGTTAACGAGCCCGCTATCAACAAAAACTGTCGCGAACCCGTCATGACTTCCGAGGTGGTAATTATGAGGTTTGTATAATCAACAAGCCAGAAAACTTATGCCAGTACATGAATATTTAAATGATGCATTTCCCGTGTATAATCGATTGTCGTAGAAACTTTCAGCATTTTATTCCCAGCCGTACCAACAAACAAGATCTACCATCTGTTCTCGCATCCACGGTGCAACAATATTGTATTGATTTGCATGCACAGGTAGTTTATTTCAGTCAGCGTATTGTTATTATCGTTTTGCCAGCAGTGTACGAGACGTGCCCGAGTGGAAACCAACGCTTCCGGTAGGCAGTACTGGTGACTGCGCAGTTTTTTGACTTTATCGGATCAACCGTGAAATGTACATGTAGTAATTTGCCTGAGGCACCGAGTTTTGCTTATAACCGGTTTTGCCAACCACTAAATTGATCCTTCAAGTTTTCTTTGCAGATCATAGCAGAGCGGTATACTGTACTTGCAGTTTCGCTGCAAATTATAATTTTGCAAAATGATGCTTATTGAGTCTCAAATGATTATGTATTGTAAAGTCATGGTGCTTCTAGTATTATGATGTCTGTATTAATATTAGGAGGTGTTGTTAAAAGAAGACTGCTGAACTTGACCACATTATTTTCAACATTTCAGACATTACAGATAATACTCGTCGTCAGACTGAAAATTACCGGCATCACCGTAGATCCGGACGGATTACAACCAACGCAAAAATACAACAGCCACAATTCCCAATACCAATAACGGCATCGCTGTCCGGCGAACAGCAGAGTTGCATAAATCCGTATTACAATAGCAGTGTTCATAAGGGGCACTGTTGATGCTTCCCGATACACATTCCATTTTCAGATTCGTTCTGGGATGGGTTCTGCAGCCTTTCTTCATATCTAGACCAAAATTTCGTATTTTAATTTAACAATGAGAGTGTGCGTACAAATAAAATTTAAATGTATGCGGTGTGGAAACATTTACGCGATTTTACTGGTAATAAATGTTTAGTTTTTGGTGGATGTATCATGTACCTACGGTCCTACGGATGCTGTTTTATATAGTTCTCCAAAATTATAGTCATGTGTTTTTACCTGTCAAAGCATCACCACTGTTAGCATCCTGTACAGAAGTTGATTTAACCCAGACCATCGTCAGAGTCCTGTCAGCAGGCGGCGGACAGGTGACTTCTTTATCGTCCTGACCAACATTGTGTCGTACGAAGCATTTCAACGCTGAAATTTCTACTGCAAAAGACACGACTGATTTACAGCCGTTAAAATGGCAGGATGCAGATCTTGCATAGCTTTTCGTACTGTATCAGCAGATTCTCTTTTTGCTGCTTGTAGCTGAACTTACGGAAGGCCAACGTGCCAAAAACAGCCAGTGCAAAAAAGAGGCGTAACGTTCTGGATGTTTTAGCGGCATAAACCCTTAACGGAAATTGTTTTCGTTTATTTTAATAAAATCGAAAGTATTGGCCTTTGTCCACAATATTGTTTCATTAATAGGCCCAGAAGACCATTTACGGAGTATAGAAGACCATTTACGGAGACCATTTACGTGTAGAAGACCATTTACGGAGTATATATTTACAGCTGGCATGTCGGTTAAACATTGCGTAACATTGACAATCGTGACTGATTTCGGTAATGATATTTATTAGAACACATCGATAAGCGTTGTGGTTTGCCATTCGTCTTTTAATGTTAATTGTTATCCGTCGAGTTTAACAAACATTCAGGGCAAACAAATAAACCCAAAATAAACGCAGTGTCGATTCCTTAATGGATTTCACAATAATGTTACTGATACCTGTACCGGTAATTCGTCGATTATTCAGCGGTTTCGGTTGTAGTAACCTCGTACTTGTAGATACGCTACGTATGTAGTCATCATGGAAATTTCCTGTATGTTCTTTAGTCGACTATATAACGTGGGGAACATTTCTCCCGATCCTAATATTTCGCAATTTTGCTATCACTGAATACAGCTATATGTGCAGTTCGGCGACAGGCCGACAGCGAGTTATAGAAAATTGTTGTAGGCAAGGTACATAAACATATCATGTACATACAAACCCATCCGGAAGCAAGAGCATAAAGGTACCCGCGAAATAAATTGACTGCGTGAAGTAGTGTAGAATAATTACCGTAGTGTAGTGACCACAGATAACTTTATTAACTGTACAGTAACACAAATCCACCACCGATACAGATGCTTTTAAAACTCAGTTTATCACAGTTATGAAAAGTAGCAAACGCCAAACGCCACAAAACGCCAGTTAGCAAACGCCAAAAAATTTTTAGCTGATCGAAGAATGAATAGGAACGTCTTGCACATTCTGTTTTAATCAGTTTCAGCTTTCAGGTAGCGCTGAGAAAATGCCGAACAGCAGCAAGAGCTACGGTACATGCGACACCAATGGAGGCCAAATTTTTTTTAGCTGCATTGCAGGAATCGGTGTTGCAGTAACAGGACGCCCCGTACACTCCTTCCTCTGTAACCTCAGTGCACTTCATTTCACCGGCCCAGGGCAAGCATGTCTTCGCAATTTCTGGAAAAAAAGGTTTGTGTAAGAAGATGCAAGAAATTGTTTCTAAAAGCGCAATACCGCATTAGTGTTCAACGAAGTTTAGAGGAAAAAATGACTAGTACCAAAAGTGGTTCGATAAAAATACCGAAACGAGAAAATTATCATTTGAAGTACTACACATGCAGGTTGATTTAACTTACAGAGCTACGTCGTTTCGAAAACGTTTTGTAGTGGGCGAAATTCTGTGATATAATATTATGTAGCATGTACAACGATAATATGCAGGCGCCGGCATGCAGTAATTAAAATGGTCGGGTTCTTTTATTTTTTCTTGCATGTACTACTACCAGTTACATAATGTAACAAAAGTTTCAGGAAGGCCTACTTGTTTTTCCGTTTATTATGCTGACAGTTTTCACGCAAGCTGGGTGTACTGCGAAGACGGCTGGGCAGTTTAGTAGTTGCTGGTCTTGAGCGTTTCCCAACCCGAAAAGTGGAGTCTGGTAACACATCAGTGCTGAGACACTTCCTACCGAGGAACACAAAGCTTCGCATGCGATGTTTTCATCATTATCATAATATCATCACAGTTTGCAGGAATAAAGCCGATAAATAAATAGGTATGTGGGTGCAGCTTACCCAAGTCGCTCGAAAGGAGGACCACAAAAATAGTTGCAATGAATAGTGATGATCGCAACATATCTATAATCTGCTACTATTTGAACAGACTAGCTGGACAAATCCAACAGCAAAAGCTGGACAACTCCAGTATATAAAATACAATATTATTCAAGCCAATCCTTTGCGAGACTCACATCAGGAGTCTGCGCCGCTAAGCTGGCTTCCTCTTTCGATAGATGCAGATTATGGTAGTTTCCCACATAAAATTATGAAAAAATAGTTTGCCGATACTGCAGTAAACAGCAACAATTCGTCTTTACAAGTGAATATTTATGGTGAACTTAAAACGGCTTCCGGAAATTTCAGTATAGCTGCTGCTCGTGTAGATTCTTGCGTTTTGATTTTATACAGCGTGAGAAAACTTAGTACTGCGATGATGTTCTTGAACATTTAATACTCGTACTGCAGCTGCAAATACTGTGCATCGTACTAAAAATAACATTGTGTTACTAAGGCCGAACAAACTGAATACACAGCGTTCTACAAAATTCCCGATGTGCTTACAGCAGCTAGTTTCCCTTGTCTTTTACGCAAATGTTACAGTGTAAATGATACAGTGTTACGGCAGTCAAACTCGATTTTTCTGTTGGAGCTGCGAATAGGATATAAGGCGGTACCGACGCTCGTAGTTCTGTTGGACACTGTAGGTACAGATGCCGAACGTGCACTGTCCCATTGCGCTTATTTATAGTCGTGGGTACTAACGTAGTGCGGACTGAGCTGAGTGACGTACTGTATACAAGGGCGGCCAAAGCGGTTGACTGATTGCAAACCACTGTAAGATGATGAATATATATACGTAATCATTTTTACATAAAAACTCCTACACTGTGGTTGTCAAAGCATTTCGCGCTTAAAAATTAGCTAAACGTTTATAAAAATGCGGTCGGTAGTAGAGTAGCGATACAGCAGCAAACAGAATTTTGATGAAAAGATGTAGCTATCTTACACAGTACTTAAGAGGATACATGTGCTAGTGTCAGCCACACTGGGTAATTAAGAAGGTACTGTAACAACACGCATTGGTCCTTTATTTTGGACAATAATTTTTGGACTAACCTTACTCCCAATACGCAGTACACACTAACTTTCTCGCTGTTTCATTTCAGTATATCCTATAGTTCGAAAAACGGAAGAACATTGTGAAATTTATTTGCGTTAGATTCTGATAAACGTCAACTATCTGAGAAAGACAACTTGTTCAACTTCAGTTTCCTATATAAGCGAGACTTTCTGCGGAACCTCACAAACAAGATCACAATGAGTTTGCAATCTTCTATGACCTTCCGCATTATAGCTGAATGCTGCGAATATTTTTCACATCATTCTCCGGCGGGTTTTACATCACGCTCAGAAAACATCGACCGGCGAAAACAGCTAAAGCATATCCGACGATAATAGAAGGCACACTTCTCTTGGCTGCGTTGCAGGAATCAGTGTTACAGTAACATGTTGCCATGTACATGCCTCCCACCGTATCCTCGGCACACTTCATCTCACCGGGCCAGGACAAGCAGGTTTTAGCGATTCCTAAAAAAAGGTTTGCGTAAAAAAAACTTATACTGCATTTGTGGCCTTTTTGTGCATTTTGCGTTTTGCTTAGTTCAAAATATTTATAATGAAGAAGTCGATTAAAAACATAATTTCTGTAAACGTTTTGTATATTGGAGCGCGCAGCCGCGTGAACAATAGCGAATGGTCCAGGACTCCAGAGTACAGGAATGTAACTGGTCACTGTCCAGCACGCTACCGACTACATCGAGCGCTGCTCCAATACACCCCTACTCTCCACGATTAGACTAACGTTGTGAAAACTATTTGTGGCTTTTGTGCACTTTATATGCCACAGCTGGTTACAGTGCATGAATAAAAGATGTCATACACGTACTTGTTTCGCCGTTTCCGATGGTGATCGCCTTCATGCAAGCTACATCAAAGTCGTCTGGGCAGTCTATTAATTGTTGTTGGTCCTGAGGGTCTCCCAGTGGGAAGACGGGACTTCGGACGTAGCACTTCAGAGCTGATACACATCCTAAGAAACACAAAAACGTAGTACGGCGACAATGTTCAAGTGCTTCTCATGATTAGGCTGTACCACAATCAAATTCACGTTCATTCATAACTACAATAAAGTTTGCATGAATAACGCACAGTGTATACTTACCTAAATCGATCGAAAAGATTGCCGCCAAACTAGCAACAATGTATAATAAACGTTGCCGCATAGCTATATGTTTTTCTTTTTACTGAAATTAACGAGTTCGACAGATCCAGCAGGAAAGCCGCAATCCACAAAATATTCAAGGAATTTACCGGCGCATCTTATACTATTTTGTGATACAGCAGCACCGGAAATTAACGCCGGGTTTCTTTATTTGCGACTAACGAGGTATGGTAATTAACTCCACCCAAACAAACAGTTAGTTCGGACTGCTTCACAGATGCAATTTAAAATGCCCACGGATAATCTTAGTCGCGCGGGAATACTTTTGGTTAGCACGACACAATGAATGCAAAGAATCAGAAAGCAAGTGCTTTGATACTTCTGCGAGAACACACAGTGTTTAGTCCAGTTTACAGTAAGTAAAAATAATTGTGTTTGTGCAGTTTGTACAATATAGGATGCCGTACAAATGTACGTAGTGCACGTTTTGCGCTCTTCCCTTCCGCTTATTTATAGTCTTGGTTTCAATGCCGTGCAGAATGACGTATCCAGTACAAACCCGCGAGCTGTCGTAGCGGGTGATTGCAAGATTATTAATTTATGTACGAAAACTCTGTCACTGACCAGCCGAATTTGCATAGCTGTGAGCGCAGAGCTCTCTCTACATAGACACTATTTTTGTATATGCCACAGGGCACATGCCAACACTAGCTGCAACCGGAAGTAGCGATGCAGCGGCACTCGAAGAGGCTGCAAAGGCGAACCGCAACTTCATTTGTCTTCGGCAAATTATTTTCTACTACATATTAGACCATCGTTTCCGGTATATTAGACCAACATTCGGTGCCGGTAAACCGCTTAATCCTTTGCAAAAAATAAAATATTGTATAAGGGTTCATTTAAGTACAGCGATACTCATGATTTCTCATTCTACTGTTATGCACATAAACCTTCCTTCCATACAATACAATGGTTCGTTTTTACGCAAGAAAAGCAAAATTAAATTAATTATAAAATCTGAGTGGAGAATACGGAGCAATAAGAAGCAAGCCTAAATTATTATGAAATAGTATTCCGTAATACTGTATTTTATATTTTGACACCATTTAAAATATTGTTTTTCGTTCACGTTACGGCCGAATATGCTTTAAATTTGGCTTTCGATCTTACAGTGTTGATCAGTTACGAGTAGCATAAACGACTATGTATACATACATTTGTATCGCCCTTCAATGTTCAAGCGTACGACCATACAAAAACATTAAATTAAATTCGTGAACTTTCGCAATCTTACCGTAATGAATGAACCGTAATAATAAATGTTACTAATTATTGCCTCTTAATTCTGATAGAACTAGTTAATCTGTGTCGTTCTGACCACTGCACAGCTGACACTGTGCTGGGCTTTATATTTGTACAATACCTTCAAACTTCAAAGATAGTACTTGTACTGATACATTTATATGGTATTATTGACTGCTCGAAGAAATTTTGATGTTTATCGTTCGTGTTGAAATTTTCCACGTTATTCCCAAGCTTGTACGTGTGCTCATCGTTGACGTGATGAACTGCGATATCAACTGATTTTAATCCACATTGCCTCCTGCAGTGTGGAAAGCACCACTGCAAAGCAGCGGAAAGCGTGGAAAGCAAAGCAGCACACAGCCAGAATGAAAACACAATTCTTTAACTTTATGCGGTGCAAAAGAAGACCCACCTTTTATCGGCTATTTAAGAATCATGATTTATTGCTGGTAAAAAATGGCCATAGCCCATGTTGAACTGGCGAGTTTTGCGGAACTGCATGCATCGAATTTCAGTTCCGGTCAGTCGGTGCCACTATACACCTTTTACCATGTACAGGAGGAAGGCAACCACAGCGATTATTTTGTCAATAATAAATGGGAGTACGACTTGTTTCTGGCGTATGTGATATGCTCGTGTATCGCGGCCATTATACTAAATGGATATGGTCTCATCGTCATGTTTATCACCGAGAAAGATATCATCTACAAATGGTCCAGTAGGAATTTTCTCCTGGCGAATTCCTGTGTTATCAATTTACTGATCGTCACGCTGACGTACATTTGGGAGGCTTTCTTTATGTACCAGAAAAAATGGACCTTCGGACACGGATTCTTTGTGTTCTGGTAATATGCTGAATCCTTATAAAAATTCAAATTTTTAATTATGTAATAATTATGGTGTGCTTATGTCGGTATTTGTGCCATATACAGATAGATGTTATACAATGTAAACATTATTTAATTTTTTAAAATAATTAGTTTCTTTTTTGCTTTCGCAAAAAAACGCACTTAGCTAATTCTAGAAAATCATAATATGGACGTAATATTGTCGTGTTTTACGCTGAAACAAAATTACATAATACTAATTGGTATTTGGCGCATATGACACCTGCAGAAACGTGTAAATCCGTTGCTTTAAAATTTGGAGGAACATTTCAAATAATATCGCGGTCATCTTCTAAAACGCTATAAAACAGGTAATTAATAAACTGTCTGGCAGTGCGCCATACTACAATTCTGGAACGTGTCTATAAATTTATTGGTAAAACTCAAATCTGGTGGTGGTTACCATCCATCCAGGCTGTTTTCATAATAACTGTCATGACCATAGGTCCATATTACATTCTAAATTACTGCAAAATTATGTAGCTTGAACTGTCGTGATATTTATTTTCTTGTTGCAAAATTTTCAGTGTGAATGCGGAAGAGATTCTCAATTGTGCGATGACCATCGTGACAGTATCCTTATGCCTGCACCAACTACTGCGACTGACCATAACCTATGACCGGCGAATATTTTGGATCGTTGTCACGGTGGTGTTGACGGCATTACCGTGGGTGTACGCGCTAATATCTTCTGGACCATGGCTGATCAGTCGGGGCTTCCTTGTGATCCACTATGGAGATGGTGTCGTTGATATTGCGCAGTGGCATGGCCATCAAGCGGTGACTACCTACACGTACCATGTTTTCTTTGCGTATGTATACATTTACACGTACGGGTCTTATGGCATGCGGTGTCCAGCCGTATTTTACAGTAACTGATTTAGACAAAGTTCAGATTTGTTCCGTGCTGTAATTATTGTAGAAGAGCATTAAAATAATCCTGCTTGTGCGTTTTAAAATAGTTTAGATGTGTTTTAATACCTGATTAAATTTACCTTATGTATCATATTTTATTTATTAGTTAATTAGTTTCTATTTTATACAGCTAGTTGTATCTGTATCGGGTTACAAATGGTTTATACCTCGGCTTGCTTTAAGCGCTGGAATTGGTTGCGGATTTAAAAGAATTTTTATCATTAACAGCATTTATTATCAACAGCAGTTTACGTATTTATTTAGAGATCTGATTTATCCACTGGTCCTCTCCGTCATCCTGTTCGCCTTGGCCTTAACCGTGCACATGGTTACCAAGCCCCGCCCTGCGTACTCACGCATGAACAGCCGCGAGACCACCATCTTCTGGCGCGCCGAGCAACCGGAAGTCATCGCCGGCGAAGTCCCCGATTGGCTGATTAACCAGCAATATCCGCCGACCGAAGAAAAAATGGACACATCGTGGGACGACCTATCGCCCATTCTGGAAACATCCAAGCCGAAAACGCCGGTCAAGCGCCGAGCCAGCGTAACGATGGCCAAAATAAAACACTTTGACTGGATCCCCGGGATGTTCCTGTGGACGAGTGTCATCCTGCAGGTGCCGTATTATGTCCTCTTTCTCATGGTGGCCATGGAGGTGGAGACGCCGGGACCGCTTTTTGAGATTTTCTATGCCATACACGCCTCGGCGGTGTTTGTGCAGCCGCTGATTATTTGTATCTTCTTGGCGAGAGAACGTAAAAACCGCGTGCAAATTAACCAAGAGGATGCATAACACGGGCATCTGGGAAAGTACGGAAATTTTCGAGCTTCCATTTTATTGCATGTTGTGTTCGTTTTCTTGCTTTCAGTCTTGCGCTGTATGGCTGTTTCGGGGCGCAATTGTTTATAAACCTCACTTACGCGTAAAAATTTCGTAGAGTAGTGGCTAAAGCATAAAATGGACAAGAAATAATTAAGAATGCTGCAAAATACATAATAAATTGGCTTTACTATAGTACTTGGCAGGATAGGTTGTGATTTTTATTAGTCGGCAATAAAGCCATTCAATCCTTTTCTTAAAGTACTTCTTTGCAGCTGAAAATCGAAAAACGTTGAACATGAAAGCGCTGGCAAACAGCAAAACAAAAGTATTCCAAAGCAAACACCGATGCAGCCCTTTATGTAATTTTACTCGATACCGATATCTACACGTCTCCACGTACGCATATCTGACCAGCCGCTATCTCGACATAATAATTATTATAATCGCATAAAAATACATATCACAGGAATTAGCACGTTCCGTGCATTTCAAATTCCCTGCGCTGCCGTTGCTTCCCCTCGTCTGTGGGCGGGGCTTGAGGCCGGTTAGGCTGTTGTCGCCCCCCTGGTAATGGTATGGCTCGCAATCCGGTTTTTGGATCCACGGCGTAAAAGCCTAACATCAACGAAAAATCGTATGCGCACATATTCCGAACAGATAATTAATTTTTATATGTATAAAACAACTTCGTACCGGTATAAACGTCCCCAGCATACAGTCCCCATTTGCTTCTCCGATCTTCGGGGCCCTGCCATGCCATACGGCAGGCATATGACCCGTTTTTATAGTGTGTGCAAGTGGCGAACCACTGCGTAAAAATGCATTCCTGGAAGTACTTCACAATGCCTGTAAAAAAATTGAATCTGCTACAGCAAAATACACTAGTAAAACACAAGCACATAATTTTGTACAATATACAGAGTATACTCAGTACGTATATCTAATACTGAATAATTCTGCTGTTGAATATATTTTTTGTATATTGAACTATTGATTAAGGGGTCCAGCATACCAGGTGCAGCGAACAGATGTCGAGCTGAATTTTTTAAATTTTACCAAATTAATAAATTTCTCTCAAGATATTGAATTATTTACCGTCGGTCTTGGTCGTTTTCCCGGAAACGGTCTCCGTACAATTAGAAACCTGACTTCCGCTACAGGCGACCGGAACGATGCATTCTCTGACGTTGTGCACGGAATATTTGCAGGTGATGTCCACCAACGTTTCGTTAGCGTTGGCTTTCAGTGGAGCGACAAGCTTTGACGCATCAGGAGCTATTTTTGTCAAAGCATCCGCGGAGTCAAAGAAATTTGCCCATATGGAATCCCAACTACAGATATAAGAAGCGAACGCATACTTCGTTAATTAAAAAAACCATTTAACTGAATTTCCTATGGCCTTATTTAGATAAGTTCAACAGCTGTACGTGTCGGTGATGTATTAAAAACGAAACACGGTAAACTGCAGAAAATTTTTACCTGCGCTTCTGCCGCATAGGATTTCCGGTGCATATTCCAACCGATACCAGTAATCCAAATAATAAGCTCAATCGACCCATTTTGCGCAAAAAAATCAGTTGTAAAAGGCTGATTAATTTTGCTTGTAAAGCACTCGGCAAAATTAATGTGGTTCTCTGCGGTTGTTAATTAGGATTTAAACTGAGATGTTAAAAAGTGGTACCGCGTGGCTTTACTGCAAGGTGTGTTTAAATTATAAGCAATCCGCAATGAGATGAATGGCTAGCAGCAATTGATGGCTTATAGGAATCAAGTTACATCCGGTTGGCATACAATAAACCACGCGTAGAAAGTGTTTTTTAAGCCGAAAAACAATCCGTTGTGCACAGAACACGGTGAGATACTGTACCTGTATGCGTATTAGCCGGTTAGTAGAATAATAAGCGGCAACCGACTGAATTTTTAATTTACCAGCAGACGTTTAAACCTTTTAAGCGGCACGTGTGTTGCGAAGGTACGTTGTATAAAGCTGCCTACCGGCAATGTGAAACAGTACGCACCGTGCGTACTGTCAGTTATAAAATAAAAATACACATTAGCAAAATGGTGGCAAGATATGCGTAGTATGATGGATCAGCGGCTAAAAAATGAAAACGGAGAAGGTTTAATTAAATGCTTCGTATAATGAAATAGTTCGTATCCTACTACTACTTCGTATAATGAAATTTATTTGGCAATGACAGCTCACATAACCGATAAAAATTAACCTTACTGACAGAATCTAACTAAACTTATGCGAAACTTACACATTTAATTTAATTACTTGGACGGAATAAATACAGATATATCAGTTAATTTTCTTTATCTATGTTCATTATTTAGGTTTCTTGTAAGCGTTAACTGTACAGTTGTGTCCTTAATTGCAAATTTGAGGACATTTATGATAAGCAACTTCTGATTAATTGTAGAATATTGAAATCTAGGATTCTTTTTAACTTTAGAAGTATACATCCGCGCAACAACGCATAATCTTGAAAATTCGCACAATTCGCACTGTCCATTCGGCCAATCTGTTTTTTTTTTCACTTCCTTGACCATACCAAAAACGTGCGTACCGGGATACTTCACACCTTAAAGGACCATGGAAACACTGCCCGCTATAAATGTCGGTATCAGAAAATATCAAACGTCTGTCCATTCAAGCGCTCTACCTTGATGTGGCTATGTATGAATGTATGATGCGTTAAAACAAACACAATCCGTATTTTTTGTTTGCTTTATGAATCAGTAATGCGCTAGCCGAGCACCATTTTCAGCCGGAGAAACGTAAAACTGTTCAGTCAGCAGTAGAATCAGCACCATGATATTATTTTAAACTTGAACCTGCTAATTTGCCACTGTTTAGGCTGTGTTCTGAAAGCATTTTATGATCCCACCACCTGCCTTCCGATATCGGATTAAAAACCGTCTTGAACGATTCGCACGCTACTGGATCCTATCGCTTTAAATAATCACGTATTATTCTAAAGTACAAACTCTCCTGTATACGCAATGGCGCATTCGGGCACCGTAATAAATATTGGCGGAGATAATTCTGGTACGTAAAACTTATTATTTAATGATGGAATTCAAGGCAGCAGCCTGGAATATTTATTTCTTACCTTTTGCATTTCGTGCATAAGTAATGTAAAGCGATTGACAAAAATTACCGCTCGATCAGTACAGACTCTGTACTGTCTCTAATGGCTCTTTTGTCTGTACATATTGAGCTGTGTAGGTTTACGCCTTGTACCGAAGAGCAAAAGCCACACAAATTCAAATAAATCAGTAAGAAGTAAATACGTTGGTGACCTTTCAGGCTCCGGCTTCCAAAGCGATTACGGGAGCCGCCCGCCGATTAGCCCATCCAGCCGGCAGTTTTCAAAATCAGATGGTAAACGGGTGCTCTTCAGTATCGCAACGATCTGAATCGAATAGAATTTTGTAGATCTTGGAACGTTCAAAATCGGCGGTCCGCACGGCAACCACAGCCGCTTCGTTTATCATCCCACTGAAGGCACACTAACGCCCAACGGAAGTCGAAGCCCGTCATTCTCGCGCGACCTACCCAGCCCCGCCTACGATCTGCCCATTCGGATGCTCCCGGACAACGACAACTACCCGCCTTCCTCACCGCTCTCGCCCCTACCCCGAAGTCCCAGTCCGTCACCAGGTTATCACACCCTTACTCCTTCTTTTCTCTCCGTGGCCACGGAACGCAGCACCCCCATCCCCATCGGACGACCCTCCAGCTCGCTGTCGCCACCGGAACAGATGGTCTTCTCGCCGGAACCCCGTAAAGATCCACCTTATTTCCCGACGTACGAGTCGAATCTGAGCTTCCCGCGGCAACAGTCGCAGTTTAACGGCGGCGCGACGTCGGTCGAATTCTCTCCCGTACCGGATGGATCACGTGTCGGGGCGGTGCATCGTTTCCAAACGGAGCCGCAGGTGGTGATTGTCAATCAGGATGGACACGTTCAGCCGGCATCGACGTTATCTAACCTTAAACCGTCGAAGAAGTAAACGGAGCTTTACCTCTTGCTAAGCTCGTTTGTCTGTTTTGATGCAGACTGATATTCGGTTGACAGGAGCTATTTTTAACTCGGTGTTGCGAATTTTGTTGATCAAGCATGATTTCTGGTTGGCAGTCTGTAAGAGTCTAAAGTAAACAATACGCTTCAGAGCAGTATAGTTTACAAACTGTTTCTGTTATGTAATTTCGCTTGCTATAATGAATTACTGGGAGAAAACACCATTAAATTATTTTATCCAGGCAGGGCTTGTTAATTACCAACTGGAACTTGCCGCAGGAACACGAAAGATCGCGTTGCCAGCACAACCAATCGAAGCAATCGGGACGCTTCGCTTTTATTATTTTCTGTACGATATCTGAAAATTCTACATGCCAAAATGGATGTAATGCTGGCTGCAATTACGGTGATCGCCGTTATTCTGAAACAACTACGACTTCACTCTGACATCAGGAATGACAGCAACAAAATTTGTTTTGAAGCTAAAGTGCACGCTAAACAACGTCATAACGATATCGCATTCTTTCATATCATAGAAGAACAAAGCGTGTCCGCTTTGTATTTACACACAATATTCCCTAATCCCCACCGAGTCGTCAGGCATTCCGATGTACCTTGTACCCTAAGGACGCTGTGATACAGATCTTCAGGCCTATCCTTTTTCCATTCTCAGCCAACTTGGCTCCGCGGTGAAAGTGCAGGAGGATAAAAAATGTGGTTTACCCATTTATAAATGGCTGCGTTGCAGCGATACAGCACCAAACTAATCTGAATCCGAGTCTGTAAAACAATGTTATCATTGTCTATCTGAACCCTTGTATGAATAAGTGTTATGATATTGCTGATACCATAATCAATAATGACACCGCTAATGTTTATGCGGGTGCTCGTGCTATTGCCAGCTGTAGTCAAAGCGAAACGTAAAAATATTTTGAAACTTGAATTCTCGCGATTTCACTCACCATAAAGTTACGGAATGTTTATATATCGGATGGCCCAGAGTATGGAAAAAATTACATTCAGTATTTAATTCAGTTCGTTCCAGGCATGCTGAACTTGACGACGCCGGCAATTACTATTCCATACAGCGGCTTTCAGATTCAAATCTTCAATGCGTCGCTGACCTCTTCTAACCCAGTCTTTTGCTACCTGCCGACCGGGATTCTCCTTCTCGACACGGCTGAAACTATCCCCAACAATACGACGGGCATTCGTTCAGTTTCGATGGAATTCAGTTATGGGATGACGACTTCCTGCGTCAGTTAAATAGTTTCCTGCTGGGACGTACCGGAAGCCCGAGTGTAACAATCTTACCGGTCCCATTCAAATGGCTGTGCATGCGATATTCCACAGAACACGGACTGTGGAAATATGTGACAACCGAATGGCAAGCAATAGCACACCACCCGCAAACGGTAAATCTGTGCATTCGCTGCGCAACGCTGACCAGTTGCTAAATGATTTAAAATCACGCTATCGTAGCATGTGATTTTAGTCACACTGAACCGGAAACTGGCTGTGACAGGAAATACTTCGTTCGTTGATACCCAGTATTTTCCAACAACAAATGTCGACTTTGACTTCAATTGTAACACTGAAGGAACAAGCCAGGCGCCCACTATTTGTGACATTTACATACAGAAAGGCTACTTAGCATGGCTGGTTAAAAGACACGCCTTAAGTCGACAGGGTGCCAACTTGCTTGCTTACGATGATGTGATAAAATCTTCTGGCCTAACATTTTTCTAATTAGAGCCAACTTAGCTTCGTGGTGAAAACGGAGAACGGCAAGAAAACATGCGCAAAACAGTTTTTAAGGCTGCGTTGAGTGAAACGCCACCAAATTTAAATTAAGTTTGAACCGATAAGAATGATTACATATTTAAAACATTTTGCTGAACAGTGTCAGTAATTCTGTTTTGTCCCAAAATGGCACCGCCGACGACGCTTCTGTCGGTATTTGTACTATTGTCAGCTGTGGTCGTAGCTAGAGGTAAAATTATTTCATGTCTTTGCGGCAGCGAATTGTGCGTTTCGCATCGTTACATGCAGGCTGCAGCACGGATTTTTTCAGTGTTTTGTCTGTTTCGTTTTTAGGCTTGCCAAATTTAACGACCCCGGCAATTACGATTCCATACAACGAGTTTCACATTCAGATCTTTAATGCGTCGAAGACATCCAGTAACCCGGTGTTTTACTATCTGCCGACGGGAATTCTTCTCCCCAACACGGTGCAGATAATAGCAAACAATGCAACGGACATTCACTCTGTTACGGTGCTGATTCAATTATGGAACTATCATTTCCTGCAGAAAATATGTTCCTTCTTGATCGAGCGCACCGGAGACCAGAACGTCACCATTTTACCGGTCCCTTTCAAATGGCTGTACGTGCAATACTCCACGGAACATGGATTGTGGAAAGAGATGACCACTGAATGGCAGCCCATTGCGCACCATCCACAATCAGTTCCGTTGCGTATTCGCTGCGCCACCATGCTAGAATGCGAACACATTAGGGAGTTGATAGTGCACGGTCGAACGATCGCTGAGCTTTCTGTGCACCTGCACTTCGCGTACGAACGCCCAAAGACGAGGAAAACGACGCTAAGTGTCGATAACGACCATCTTGTCGGATCCCCGGCTTTCAATACTCTGACAGAGCACTTTGCTGGCCAAACATATGTCTACCTCCAAAGGCCAGATTACTACAGTTTGATTTATGAAGTTCTAATGGACTGCATTGGCGCGGTTCTGGAAGCTGATGAATTTATTGACGACCAGCAAATAATCAGTTTTATGATGAAGATGTTGCCGATATTCCGCCGAAATATAACCTCTACTGGGGAATTTACCGACGCGATGTGGGCGGCAACGTACTGGCCGGACGGGGGCCAGCGACCCGATCAAATGGCACTACATCTGCATAATCTATTCAGCAACCGCACTTGGCTGCGACAGGCAATGATGGATGGAAATATCACTTTTAAAACGGATGGGTTTTTACAATCCGAAGCAGTAACTAGTGCACTGAGGGAATTAAAACCAAATAAGAACATCGTTCGGTGGGATGGCGAAAAAGTCATTATCGCGCCAACAAAAATGTACTGCCTGGATTTGGAGAAGTTGAGAGATCAACAACACTTCCGGACTTTTCCTATACGCACTAGTAAGGCTAGTGCGCAGCATGTCACCAGTCTAATCCTGCCGGATATCAGTGCAAAAATCAACCTGCCGGAAACGGATGGAACCGCCTACTTTTTCCTGAAGCAGATCGAAGCTATCAGTAATGTGTGGATAAACATAACCGAAGCTGCCAGTAAACGTATTGAAGAACTGTGCAATAATACCCACAAGGAAATGTTACAATGGAAAACAAAAAGCGACAACACTAGCAACGCTCTAACGGAATCAACGATGAACCTGACCCAAAATATCGATCAGGTTAAGCATAACACCGGAAATATTCCCGCTCGCATCGAAGCACTGTACAATAACACCGCAGAAGAACTGTCGCAGTTAGCATCAAAGGTCGAAAGTATCGCAACAATAGCAGCGGAAATAAAGGAAAAGGTCATCAGTAATATCGACCATACTTTAGCAAGCAATGCAGGTATTATGGCACAAATCCAAGACTCGCACAGGATGGCATCACACGAAGTGGCAAAGCTAGCAAACCAATCGGAAACAATGAAAAACTGGCTAATGAATTTTTCCAAAATATATGCAAACGAAACTATAAAAAATGGAAAATTATTTGCACTTGCAAGCGACACGAGCAGAAATGTCATTTCTGCCGTTGGCGAAATAGTGTTTTTTGGGAGGAAGATTGTGCTTCTGGAAGGAAATGTTTCAAAAACTATCCAACAAACCACTGCAAGACTGGAAAGCAAAGTCGCCGGCATCGGTTATGGGAATGAATGCCGTATTTTGACTGAGCAATTTAAAACATGGCAGACATCAGCAAAATCAGTTACTCTACCGCCAATCCTAAATCTCAAGTGCCCCGCCTGCGAAACATCGGCGATAATCGGAAAGCTGGATACGCTGCAGCAGTCGGTGGACAATTCATCCCAGCTATCCTGTCCCACGCAAGTAACGCAACCATTACCATCCTCGATTAAATTCCAGATTTGCGAAAAGGGTAAGTCCCATTGTCACTGAAATAAACGTCCGACCGGATAAGATATTCGGCAACGGTTTTACTTCTCAGAACCGATCCGAAAAACGATTCGAAAAATGTCCGCCGTATAGTTTTCCTGCCCATTGTTTTTAGCACTTTTGGGTACTGTGGAACACGCTGACCCAGATTGTCACTCTGACGGTTTTACTGGAAAGTGTTTTGAGAGCCGCACGGTTTGCTGGATTGTAGTTTTGCAGCTATTTCATAGCTAGACAGGAAAAGAAACACTGGCAGAACCGTTTTCTAATTTTTTTTTCTTTTTCCTGGTAAGATAAAACTGTTTCAAGCCACGTGCACTTTTGCTAATTTTGCGTATCTTCATTGCAGGGTCTGAACACAGATTTCACTGGCAGGCCCGAAAAGTAGAAGACGCGTCATCCATTGGGAACACAGTGTTAACCGCTACGCTACACAGTAACAGCTGCGCGATTTTCCGCAGGGTTTTCGTTTTGACGAACAGTTTCGGAGAATTTTCTTTAGCATTGCGAGGAAATTGCAGTTATACGATAGTTTTCAACTTGCTGGAATACCGTACCATTACGTTTCCGGTTTTTGATTACGATATCAGTTCCAGCGCTGACACGTTTATGGAGCCACTAATTTTCATACGCACAAAATTTAGCGGTAAATATTACGCTATAGAAAAAGTGATTTTGGACAGTTCGGCACCTGATAAAAATTTGGCTGGAACATCCATAAAACTGCGATCAGGCTTGAGAAATTACAATGGATCTGTGGTTGCTGAGGACCAAACAGATGAATCAGGACTGTGGGGAGCATTCCTTGAAACCGGCTACTATACGGCTACTCTCTAGAGGAAAAATTATCAGACGGAGTCGTTGACAGTCGTCGCAGTGAACGGTTGTTATGGACCGTATTTCCTGAGCGAATTCCAAATGATATCCCAGACCACAAACGACGAAATCCGAATAATAATGAGAGGAGGTCGTGTGTACACGAATCTAACGTGCTGGCATGTCTAGAGCTCGTGGTTAGCGGACCTCTTGAAGGCATTCAAGAACGAGCGCGAGTTGAGCATGCGCTTTCCAAAACCACTAGGGATGGTAACATTCACAACGATTACGCTGGCACCCTTGTCGACAGCACGTTGATTAAGAAACAACTTCCTGGTATCTATGAGATCATAGTGTACGATTGGAACACTCGCAGGAACGTTAATGGAAAGCTGCTGAAAACTTCTAAAGCCGTGGTGCAGATTTACCGCGGCAACGATTTGTGGGGTCAGTTCTACGTTCCAAATCAAGATGGCAATACCTGGATCGTGGCAAATATTACTGGCTCGGACCTAATTGCCACCAACCAAGTAACAACAATCTTACACCAAATGGAGGAAAGGTCACATTAAAAGCGACAGGACATATTCCGGCTCATCAGATACATGCAGCATCAATTCAGGCTCTCCGTTTTATTCTGAGTATTGGATAAGCCCGGAAACGACCGTAATTTGCGTCAAAATTAAAACAAAATTGCTTCATTAGTCCTGCAATGTTTTTTCATCTTAAAAGCTCATCCCATGAGTTTTGTTAACAATTTTTATTGTACAACCACTTTCTGCTCCTAACCCGCACTGCGGATGGCTATGACAAAAGAAGATGTCAGCCGCGAACCGGAAGAATTTTCTCAGTCGGAAACGGTTCTTAACTTCTTAGTTTGTTGAAAGAATTGAAATCTAGGAGCAACATCGTTCAATGGGATGGTAAAAAAATCATTATTGCGCCAACGAAAATGTATTGTCTCGATTAAGGAGAAGCTTAAAGGGCAGCAACATTTTCGGACTTTCCAGATTCGCCCCAGCAAAACAAGTTCACAGTATGTAACCAGCTTGATTCTTACAGAAACAGCGGCGAAGATTAGTATACCGGAAGCGGATGAAATAATCGATTTTCTTCAAAGACAAATCGAAGCTATAGGCGTGTGGATAAACAAAACTGAAGCTGGTATTAATCACGTATGTAGACGTCCAAAACGTCCGCCGGACGTCTCAGACGTCCGGACGTTTTGGACGGTTACACACGTACAAGAAATGTATAACAATACGCAAGAGGATGTTCTGAGACTGACAGCAAAAGCGACTATATCAGCATCGCCCTTTCGAAAGCAGCGGCAAATCTCACGCGGAATATCGACCAAATTAAACGCAACACCGGAAATATTAGTACGCGGATGGAAGTGTTGCACAACAACACTTTGACCGAAGTATCGCAGCTAGCAACAAACGTCAAGAATATCGCCCTCGCTGTAGCGGTAACCAAGGCAAAGGTCATCAGCAATGCCCATCAGATTTTGGCAAGCCGTGGCCCAACTCGAAGCTTAAGCCCTAAGTCCGTCGATTCTATTTCAAATCTGTGGCATTGGTAAGAGAAAGGATACTCAAGACGCATGTATTTCCGATTCATAATTATCAGACACTGCTGCTTCAAAATTAGATTAAGAAACACTTCCATAACTTCCAATACCGTCACTAGCTTTATCAAACCGTTTAATACGCGCCAAAATGCCAAAAACTGCCGCCGCATTACCACGAACAAAGGCAGTGAGTGCTGAAGCGTTTTTCCAAAAATTAAGCCGAAAGCGCTTTTCTCGTCTTCTCAAAAACTTTACAAAAAGTTGATTTAGGCTGCTCTCCTGTCGTGTATAAGCGTTCACGCTGGTTAGAGCTCCATGAACTATCTTTACTCTTTCACGCCTGTAAACGTCAGTCGGTAGGCAACTCTCATCTCAAACTGTAACAGCTAATTATGGTGGAATAAGAAGAACGATTCAGGAACACAGGAACTCAGGAATCCCTAAGCTGGAACACTCCAATCACAACTTCCGGTCGCAGTTTCTATGAGGATCAGTAAAGAGCTAGGACGATTGTGTCACGAGCAAACCTGTATTCTATGCAACAATCCGGGAACGATCATGTACATCAGAAGCAACAAGTATTGCTGCCTCTTCACTAATTCTCAACATAGTCCACAACGCAAGGAAATCGTAATTAGAAAGCAGTCTCTAGAAGTAATCCAAGACTACTGATGCCGATATTAGCGAGAACATGATCTTAAATAGACGTCGCGTTATGACATAACATACACCGCTAGTAGAAGAGAACAGCAAATCACAGAGTAGATTGACCAGATTATCCGTTATGTTGCAGGTGGAAGGCGGACAGTCAGCATGCGTACGTACATCCAGGCGTGTGATCCTACTCCCACACGTCACTCCTGTGAAAGAATACTTTGACAAAACGGTGCTTTCCTCGTCACGCACCTTCTGTTCGATAACACAACGACGGGTTGCATAGCAGAGTGTTGTATTTGGCTTATTTGATTTACTTACAGGTGCAACGCATAAATTCTATTGGCAGGCCAGAAAAGTCGAAGATGCTGCACCCTTGGGTAACGTAAAAAATTCTAAAAATATCCGCTACGCTACAGAGCTACAGTGGTGTGGTGTTTCGAGAACTATTCTTCTCGACAAATGCCTACGGAAAATTTTCTCTTGTACTGCGAGGGAACTGCAATTACACGATTGACTTTCGACTGTTTGGATACCGTACCATTGCGATCCCCATATTTGATTACGACATCAGTCCGACCACTGACACGTTCATGGAGCCACTCATCTTCATTCTCAACCGATTCAATAATAACAAAACGGTGACTGTTACAGGAAAAGTAATTTTGGACAACTCCGTCCATAATAAAGAATTGGCTGGAACGTCTGTTGAGTTGCGATCTGGCCTGAGAAATTACAATGGACCCGTGGTTGCCGAGTGCCAAACAAAAGCGTTCGGGCTGTGGAAGACAGGTCTTTCAACTTATTATTATACGGCCACTTACCACAGAAAAGATTATCGGACAGAATCATTTACCGTAATCGCAGCGGACGGAAATTTTAGCAGCCCCTATTCGCATAATCAATTCGAGATGAGATTTGAAACCAAAAATGACGAGATTCGAGTAATCATGAGAGGGGGCATTTGGACTCCGAAGCAGACTGCTCTCAGTGTCTGGAACTGGTGGCGAGTGGACCTGTTGAAGGCACTCAAGAACGAGTGCGGACTGAACAACGGCTCTCCAAGATAAGTAACGACAGCCATATTCATAACGATTACGTTGGCGCCATTGTGGACAGCACGCTGATTAACAAACAGGATGCCGGTATTTATGAAATTGTTGTGTACGATTGGAGCACTCGTAGAAGCGTCTACAGTTCGGCACTGAAAAATTCTCGAGCCGTGGTACAGATCTACCGTGGTAACGTTTTGTGGGGTTAATTTCACCCAACCTGGACTGGATGGGAATACCGGGACTGTGGCAAATATTACCGGATTGGAATTGACCGTCGTCAGCCTGGTTTCATCCGTCGTACACTCAACGGAACTGAAATCCAAATAGGAAATGCCAGGAAATATCGGAAGTCAATAGCATTCCGGTTTAGTTTACAAAATGCTTCCGACCACAGCAATTTTATTGGTTAAAAGTATATCACTTTGTTCAACTTAATTGTTAAACCAAAATCAGTAACGATCACACTGCTCGTTAAATTTCAGTAAATACTAATATCCGTTCTTAACCAGACGATTAAACTTTTTACTATGGCATCACATTTCACTTTGCCTACTGTGATTACGTTTGCATGGCCGCTGCAAGGATTAGTCAGGAAGCTAACTTTATTTCTTTTCGTCAACTTCATGTGGTTGTTGACTGGACTAACGTGCGAGTATACTTACGTTCGTACAATTTTATTCAACATACGGATTGAACACCAGCAAATGACATCAAAACAATTAATTGATTTTATTTCGTCAAAAACTTTTGCGCCAGTTTCGTACACCGGTTCGTATACTGAGATTGTGCTAGTTACTGTATAGTTGTAAATAGACCAAACGAGCACCGAATCGGCGCTAGTTATAACATCCCGCTTCGACTGCAGCTTCGCTCGGATCCAAAACCTGGAGAACTTTCTTGTAAATGTCAAACCTTTCCAAAGCATGAGCCACACTCATGGTTCCATTACATTCCTGGCCATTGCTGATTATTTTTGTCGACACACCAAACTGACCATTCCCAATACCCGGCTCGTTGTGGACTTTATGGGCCCAGAACCAGAACGCCGTATCCCAGGCCACCGTCGTATCGTTTTTCACCAAGTCGGGGTTCTTTACCAACCGGTCATCGCCATACAGCCCTTCAGACACTTCCTTGTAGACCGGGAAACCCCGCAACATCATGTACCCCCGTCCATGATAATCCCGCTCCGGGTGATCGGGATCTGTTGCCGCGGGAAAATATGGTGGACCGTATTCATCCAACTTCTCCAGTCCACTAGTCTCATGCAGTATATTTGCCAGGAACATGGCTAGTTCACGCTTCGTTGTGATGCTGGCTTTTGGTGCTGCGGAGATCATGAGAGTGTTGTACTGATCGTTTGTCGGTGGTGGATACCAATAGCCAATCCCGTTCACAGCCGTCTGGAACTGCTCGCGTGTGATAATTGCCGTACTTTGGTTATTTGGCAAATTTTTCGAACGATCGAAACATCCGCTGTAGTCTGGCGTGTCGTTCACACCAAAGATAACCAGGAGCTTCGTGTAGATGTCCAGCCGCTCTGGGAGTTCTTCATATTCCTGACATTCTCTGCCACCGGTGATGATGTACGCCGACACACCGAGTTTTCCTACTTGGGTACCAGGTTGACTGTGGACCTTATTGGCCCAGAACCAGAAAGCAGTGTCCCAGGCGGCGGGCGCATCCTTAACGAGATCGGGGTTCTCCACCAATCGTTCATCGCCGTACAGTCCAAGGGAAACTTCCTTGTACACAGGATACCCACGTAGCATCAGGTAGCCGCGTCCATGGTACTTCCGTTCAGGATGAATGGGATCTTTTTTATAAGGTACCCAGGGCCCGTACGGTCCTTCCGGTCCCCGCTCTTCCGTGGCACCCATGCCTTCGCTTTCGTGGAAGACGTTGGCAAGGAACATTGCCAGTTCCCGTTTCGTGGTGATTTTTCCTTTGGGTCCAGCGTCTCTCATGATTAGTTCGTATTGCTCATCCGTGGGAGGCTGGTAGCGCCAGTAACCAATGGTCGTGACAGCACGTTCAAACTGATCGCGTGTGATGAGACTGCCACCTGTTGAACAAAATAAAAACATAAGTCTGACCAAAACAAACATGACTCAGTAAGGCAGGAACACAATGCATTAAAAATGCACGTAACTAAAAATGGTATATATCTATATATGAAACCGTTTACGCCGACGGCTTATTAATAATTATTATGCAAAATGGGCTGGTTGACATTTCACTATGCATCTGTTTACTAATTTATGGGCTGTTTACGCTGTCTCCTTGTATATATCATGGAGATGTGTTTTCTTATAATTAAGATGTACAGTATATGACGTACCGGAAATCGTGTTGTCAATAACTGCAGTATCGTTGCTGCATATTCCATTATCGCAGCGCAGGCCATTACAACACTCGGCGGCTATTGTACATATGGCATTTAGGTTCTGGCAAACCGGGCTACCGTTAACGTTCAACACCTGCAATTTTTTAAATTATAATCAGATCCACAGTGTTTGATAAAAGCAGCGACTGTTTTGCAACTTACAACAAGGCCCGGAAAGAGGAAGAGTAATCCTACAGAAATCATGTTTGGAAGACAACGGATGTGGCTCAACGACAACAACTTCTATCTGTGTTTTGCTGCTAACTTGCTGAGCCATTTATACCGGTTTTGGGTTGGATCTCTTACCCACGCTGCGAACATTTGCTGTGAATCTTGCGTGTTCTTCGGGCAAAAGGTGCGGTATGACGGGAACACATATACTGCTTCTCGCTACAAACGGCTTGAGCGACCACTAATTGCGGCAAGCGAGATCGACAACAACGATTAGGCTATGTATGACTCACTTTTGTACAAGAACTGTTGATAATTTCAGAGCCACTTTTATTTGACAGCCAATCAAACGCACGTGTAAAGTGCAAGAATTGTTGTGAACAGAACACAAAATTCTTTTGGGCGGTCTCGCCTTTGAAACGCAACAAGTAATTAATTACAAAGTTTATTTCAAGAAAAACACCCTGCAATCAAATGCAGCCATTGTTATACAACGTACACAGGTCGTACGATTAATAAGAGCCTGCCGTGTTCTGACTGTATTGCATAGCAAAGGCATGATAACGCTGTTGTGTTAAAAGACTGGGTATTCTATTTTCCTAAGGACACCTTTAGCGTTAAAAGACAGGGTATTTACGTATTTTCCTTCTAAGGACACCTTTAGCGTATGCAATAATAATGGATCTAATACTATTGACAGGTAACTTAACTGCAACAAACAACAGAAAAATTCTACAAAATAACAAAAGTAATATCTATCTCTTGTTCTAGGTCTTTTATCCTGGTCAGGTTGCGTTCATATCACGCAGATGACATTTCCTCGCTGAAGCTGTATGGATAACCGATGCCGGAAGAACTCTTTTGATCGTTTTATCCAGTTGCTGCGGCTAGGTTTTCCCAAACTTTTTCTGTTGTTGTGCTTGCATTTTATTATTGAATTTTATTACAATAAAAGCCACTGTTCATTCATGCATTCCGTCAACCGTACTGCAGATCTACCCAATCTTAAATTTGCGGCTAGTGAGTTCTTTTCGATTTGTGCGATGGCGAAAACAATCGGCTGGTCTAATAAACTAAGCAGCAAAGCATGAAAAAAGAATATTACGAGTACTTCGCTTTTACTCGCGTTCCCTAGCCGGAAATGGGCTACCTGCTCCACGATGAATAATAATAAAAATAATAACTGGTCGAAGAGTGCTTATGTGTTTTATGATGAGTTGTTTCATTTTTCTTAATGGTGCCTTCTGAAAGCTTGCATCACTCCAAAGCGTACGAGCGCAAAGTCTACTTCAAATCCGGAATCAGCCGCTCCTTTCATTAAATTTGAATACTGTCTCATTTAATAACTTAATCGCTCCTGGAAATTCCGCGTTCCACAGCTCTGCTGTGTTGGAATACAGAGTTACACACTTAAGGGGAGAAAGGCTCGCTTTCGTTTTCTCACAAAACGATGTAATCAAATAGTCGATTTAGAAATAGAAACTGTTAACAGAAAAAAAAATTAGTTCTTTCTGACAGAAAACTTTTAATCCAATGATATGACTCTGTTAATGGATTTCCAACTGGATTATCAGTGTCTCTGATCTTGAATGATCCATTTTTATGTATTTTCTCCCATTTATGAATAAAAGCTATTATTTAGGGACACCCCATGTTTCCCCATATTGTAGATTATAGGATATAGGTAGCACTACGTATGACAATATGTATTCAAACCAAAAGGAGTTGGATCTTGGAATTGTAATTCTGCAGTTTTCAGTAGACTTCCAAGGCAATGGGCAGTAACGAAGGGTGCATTTTTGTGAAATGCAAAGTACGAAGCTGGGCATTTCTATAGCTAATCGCCATCATGGGCGGTTATAGGCTACACCGTGACACATGCCCCTCCTCCCAACAAGGGCTGCCCTCAGCCCGTAGGTAAAAGAAAACAGAGTTGCATGCATGCTTACATGCTCGCAAAAAAAACAAAAAGGAACAACAAAGAGCAGTTAACGCTCTTTCAAGCCGAACGCCGGTCCTACTGGTGTCCTCTAATCAGGACAAATCATTGGAAGCAGGACGGGGAAAAGGGCCGCTTGTGGCCCTTCGGTAACTACAGCCGCAGCATCCGACTTGTCCGGATCTTTCCAGACCCTTATCCGCGCAGGTGCATTGGCCACACCGGCCATGCTGATGCGCACTGCACGATTCATCTGCTTCTCGGTCCAGCAGCAGAGGAGGAGACGGTTCCATTCCATCTTGGCCTCCTCCGAGATCGGAGGGCTTTCACTTCGGTACGCAGCAGTAAACCTCCGTATTACTGCTGCGGAACGTTTTTTGAAAGGGGCAACCTTTGAGCAGCACTGTGTGCGGCTTGCGGATGAGAACGGGCGTATGGACAGCTACCGCTGTATTGTGGTGTTCGACAAGCGGCAACACGTTTGAGTTCCGTTGCCAAATCCATCGTCCGGTAGTCAGCAAGGGGCATGCGGTTGCGAGCCACTTTTTCCTTTGGTAAGCGCATCACTAAATTCGCTGTCATTATTGGGGCTTACCGATGACATAGGGCTTTGGGGGGAAGCTTGGCTAGGTTGCATACGGGGGTCTGCGCCACATAACCCGAGCGGCTCTGAAATGGCAGCTACTGCCATTGCTGAAGTATCTGGAAGTTCGGTAAAAGCGGCTGATTTATCCCGGCTGCCCACAAGGTCGACAAAAATTTCGCCGGGGCGCTGGGGCTTTTCAGGCGAAAACGGTATTGCTTGCTGTAGCGGAACAGAGAAATTCTCTGTTATTTTGCGCTGTGCCGATTGGCATCGTACAGGGAGAAAAGAGTTTTGCAACTCTTGTAGAAGTGCATTACTTCTGTCAGCGACTCCTTTAAAGAAACGCATTTCTCTCTCTAGCCGAACTGCAAGAGCCCTGTAGCGCTCTTTCTCGTCCCACAAATCAGTCCACTCTCTTTGGTGCTCCTCGGCCTGTTGAGCGACTGCTGACTCCATTCGACGGACGTGCTGCCTATACCAATGACAGCCACTGCAAGCAACGGTGCTCACCTTTTGTGCACTGTCTGGCACATAACGATCCCTGCAGGCTCCTTCCGTTTGTGAAACCGTAGTAGGGAGACATCCATAAAATAAAGGGTTGGAAAAACCCTTAGGATAGTCCGGAATATGTTGTGGAAATGGCCGAACTGCACCGGCCTCTTCGGGGACCGCGTGACGCCTCTGTTCCACGGAAATTGCGAGGGGATAATGGACGGGTGCTTCCTGCGGCCATCCATAGGCAGGACATGTGGCATATGCGGCTCAATGCCGCGAAATCGCGCCGGGAACCGACGGCAACTGTGTCGGCGTCGGCGACCCAAATTCGGCTGGGGCAGAACCACAGCCACCGTCAGGTTGGTACGGTGTTCTAACCAGGAGCGCCATTTGTCATACGTAGTGCTACCTATATCCTATAATCTACAATATGGGGAAACATGGGGTGTCCCTAAATAATAGCTTTTATTCATAAATGGGAGAAAATACATAAAAATGGATAATTCAAGATCAGAGACACTGATAATCCAGTTGGAAATCCATTAACAGGGGCATTTCTATAGCTAATCGCCATCATGGGCGGTTATAGGCTACACCGTAACATAAGTACTACGTAGACACCAGAGGTTGCCCATCTCCATTTTATTATGGGAATGGATCCCATTTTTTCCCCATTTACCATTTTTCCATACTAAAATGGTATGGATGGGAAAATTGTATTTATGGATGGAGATGGACGGGAAAACGAAAAAACTGGCGGAAATGGGAAATTTAGAAAACTGTATAAAAACGACGAATTAATGCATTTCTACAACCATTTTGGTTGGCAAAATTTACAAAAACCGCCGACACCTTCGCGCTTCGCGCGAAATCGTAATAATTTTTGCATGGTGGGATCTCAAAAATTTCGGCAATAACAGCGCTGAATTCACGCTTTGCGTGAATAGCTGATTGGCAACGAGGTTTTCCGTAACCCGGCGTTAAGCAAATTTTCGGATGTATGTTGTATTTTTATTTTTGAAAAATGGGACACTGAAATGAGAACGGACGAAAATGGGTCTGATCCAAAAAATTTGGGAGGGAATTGCGTAGGGAAAACTGTAAGAAAATGGGGTATGGATGGGATATGGAAAAAGCAGAAATGGGCAACCTCTGGTAGACACCTTTGTGAGAAATCACGTGCTTATATGAAACATCGGAAACAAAACCACGGTGGCAAAGCCAACAGGTATGTATAGTACAAAGTCGGCCAAAATATACTAAGCAAACGCTGCAGAATAGAGTGGTGACATTACGGTTTGTTATCAGTTTGGTTTATTACACCAGGCGCACCAACGATAGAAAAACACGGTCGCCACAGTTTTTTCCCAGTTGCTTAAATGTCCCAAAAATAGAACGGTTCGGTGGCTGCGGTGCAGTTGCACACATTTCCGGTATAGACCCTCCCGCAGCACCTTCGCGGGGCATTCTCACAACGGCCTTGCCCGTACCCCATTTTGTGGCAAATCCGCGGACAGTCATCACGCACCCGTTGCCCATTCTGCCATCGGCCACAGCGGAACTTTTGGCTCCATGGCTCCAAACAATCGGAGCATAGATCGGGTAGAGATGTGGGCGCGGCTCGCTGTCTTTGCTCGCCTATAAAAAAAAAAACGGTAAAATTAGGGTCAAACATCATCATAAGAAGAACACGGCTGTTACCTGGCGACGCGGACAAGACAGCAGTTATACCGAGAATAACGGCAACCAGTAGAACGTCGGAAATTCTACCCATATTATTTTTGTAACCCTTTGGTACTCTTAAGCCTCACTAAAATTCAACAGCGCAAGGCAACAAAGAAGGATGTTTCCGGTTTTTGTTCCGTTTGTGCGATATGCGGAACAACTGCCTCGAAAAATGTGTTAATCTCAGCGTTTTCTGGAAAGCAACCACTTGACTGAACTGGTATTGCTAACTGCATGGCTCATTAGCAAATATGGGCTACGCAGTGTTTACCGTCGTGGTTAGCTGTCTTGCAGTGTGCATAACATTTTATAGGAGAAGGCGGCATTTGTAGTGTAGGTATGCTATGTATTTGTACTCGTACACTTCAAAGTCCAATCTTAAATAAATTTTTACGGTGCGATTTAATAGCTTGATGTTCGATTATTACTGTGATATGTTAGTGTTG